GAACGCGTTCACGAGACGTCCATGTCAATGCCGATGTTAGACACTATGAAATGTCAACAGCTCCCATCGATGGAGACAAGTGGGACGGTTACTAGTGCCGGAAGTGAAGTTTGAGGGAATGTAGGCCAAGCCTACTAGCTTATTACGATCGGAGTTGAAGACACTATTGTTAGAGGGGATTTGAAGCAGTCTTCGTCTTACAGAGGTTGACCTTCGTAGGCTAGTAGAAACTAGAGCAAAATTGCTCGTTGACTTGGAGAAAGGGCTTCTCCCACGGCATATCGTTGATGGCCTTGACAAGGTCTTGTAGGATCGCCAAGGTCCACGAAAGCACCCTCGTTAACGGCTGTTGACAGCATTCCAGTGAATAACAAGTTAACGACGATTGAACTGGAAGTTATGGACTTGGTTTTCAATGACTACAACAACAAGTGCGAGACCGTAAACAAACACCACCGACTGTCCCCCGGGGCAGTCGAGTACGCGCTTCAGCTATAACCCTTATGTTCAGCTATCCACATATCACGACACGAGGAGAGCAGTTATCTCATCTTCGATTGGTCTGCGCGTCTAAAACGGCCGGCGGGAACGGCGGACCGGTGGAGGTCACCCTCACACCGGGGCATTCGCGAGTCCAGAGATGTAGAAAAGGCAGGGACCTTTTTAGACTAGTTAGTACTGTCCGACATAGGGTACTTTACCCCAATGGACAGAAATTGGAAACAAAAAAAAAAAAACACCACCGAGGCTCAACTTGAACAATAAATACAGTACACTTATTCTCAAAGACTATCGAAAGACGACACGGTTGACACCCATAAATTCAAAAAACCGAAGGAAAATCAGGTCGTTTTGATTTTCTATGATGATTGACGGCCACAAGCGAAAACCCAATCTCTTAGACAGAACATGCGCCGCGTCTGTAAACGAAAATCAGTAAAACTACGCATGCCTATCAACGGGAAAAACAATCCGCACCACTTCGAGATGTTCATCACATCAGAGGCCAGAAACTCCCAAACACGCCCGACGAATCCTTTATCAAACTCTCTATCAACGTGTTCACTCCCCTTTTTCGACTGTCCCGCTCCACCAGCACCACCCCTTCGGCAATGCCCTCTCCGTATTCCGCACAGAGTTGCTTCAGGATGATGTCCCGGCTCAATCCAGGATATCCGCTCATGAATTTGAGTATGTACTCCGCTATAGACTCAACACCCTTGTTAGCGGTGTCCGTCATGATCATACCCCGGACGACCCGGAATATCATTTTCGCCCCTGGATCATCGATCACAAAGCGAACTGGTTCACCACTGGCAGTGAAGAGGAAATAATCGACATTTTTGTCGGCTTCAAGCATCTTGGTTTGACGCTCCGCGGCAGGGGAACGCTGGCCCTTGCAGGGACCTACGCCAATGTCTCGGATGGTAAAACTCCCATCCCGTGGCTGTGGGAGGCTACGAAGCATGTCGGCGACAGGAGTGTCCAGTACCCAAAATTTGTCTCCCTTGGTTCCGCTCAGGCCCTTTGACACTTTCTTCTTGCCACAAGCCTTTTTGTGAACGGGCCAGTCTTCTTTCTGGCAGGATCTAGCGGATGAAACATGAGGGATTATGAAGAAGATAGGCTTATGATTTGTACGCACTGAGAACAATAATGTACCTCGAAGTTGAGTTTTCCTTTGCAAGTACCGCACACCATGAAACGAACACCTTGACCGATGTCTTCTGGTGTCTTCGTGCAGTTCTCGCAGCGGATACAAGGTTTGTCCCTGATAGCCGTTTTTGTCTCCGCTAAAGATTGAGCGAAGTATCCTGGCGTATTGTCCATGACGTGCAGGGCATCTTTCATCCCATCGCTACGATGGACAATGTCATGTAAAATTGATAACACCTGAGGACAGGACAAAATGCCCTGTTTATTGGTTTTAGACGGGCATGATGTCTAATGAGCGGAAAAAAAAACTGACCTATAAACTTGTTCCTAATGATAGTCGCGACTTCAAACACAACCTTCGTGCCTTTGGATTGCGTCTTTGAAACATTCGATGCCTCTTCCCACCATGAGTTTGGTAGGAGCGCTGGTGTAGTAGGGACCAGACGACTCGAAGGTCTTCAAGAAACGAGTGAGAAATTTGACGAAACCCTTCCCGCCCTCCGATAGGAAGTTTGAAACTGTGACCTCCGGGCAAAGAGCACGACAATCTTGGCCCCAGAACGTACGCGCCTCCGAGTCGGATGCCTTCTTCAGGCCCTCAAGGATATATCTCCTCTGCTCAGCGGTATCCAACAACAACCAGACGGTATTAAAGTAACCGCCGTTAAACAGGCTGCGCAGCTTTGGAGCTACAACGTTTTGAACCATGCGGAGATCCCGGTGGAGGAATTCGAGGTGACTGGGAGTCAAGAAGAATCATCTAGGAATAAGGAAATTTCCTTGAGCACGTCCGCTGCATTCGATGACGCGATGACCGTCTCCCACTCCGTCTCCCATTTGAGCGCGTCTTGCTTCATATCAGTGATGTTAAAATTCTTGGAAAAGACTAGGGGGAAGCAGGAGAGCAGGTTTTTCTGCGGTAGAGTAGTCCTTAGTTGCTGATGCCATCGCTAGACGATGACTAACGCGTTTGTTGGGTGGAGAGTATGCGAGATCTGGGACACCAAACACACGCGTTTTAAGGTAACGCTCTGGAATCATCACAATAGGGTGCCATTATACCGTCGGTGGAATTGTCACCGAGAACCCTACCGCCAATCCACCGCTGATCGCCAATCCACCGCTGTCGCTAATATTAAATCCACCGCTAATCAACCGCTATCCACCGCCAGTTCGCGAGTCACGCTTCACGGGGATTTCTGTGACATACCGTTGCCTCACGAAATGGTGGACAATCAATCGAGCGCAATAGATGATGGTCAAAGACTCTTGAGAAATGAACGCCATAGGACCGTGATGTGATAGACCGTAACTCATAGGATTATGGTTTCGAATTAGTCTCGAACTAGCCTCTACTGACATCCCAAATTGGGAATCTGTGAGCAGTAAGTTTAACCTTTTGGGATGGGCTGGTTCGAGACTATGTAGTACATCGATGCGCCATGCCAGATGCGGCCAGGAGCCTTTTGAATGGCCATCCGAGTCGTTTGATCGCCATCGCGTCTTTTGAGGGCCATCGGGACTTGAAATGCGCCATCGAGCCATAGATGCCAGAGACTTCTGATGGTCAGAGATGAACGTCCGAACGTTGAAGCTCAAGGATGGCATGAGTCATGCAATCTTTCTTTGTCTTGGTCGAATAGTGGTGACTAGTAACTTGGTACGTACATGAAGTTTGAACTAATCAAACGCTGGCTTACTAAGCGGGTAACGTCGACCGCTATCATCGATGTCGATTCTTGAACCTTTCAATATCATTCATGATTTTCTTGACCACCCCACCTCGCTGCGGGCAAATAAGCCCGCGATAGGGAGGAGGTCAAAGGTGGCGAAAATGTAATACATTAATGTATGGGTAGTTGACACAGCAGGGGGGTGGCTGCCCTGCCACAGCGTATTGGTCTTCATTTTGGTTGCGTCACGGTACCCTCAAAAACCACTCGAGGAGCTTACGCCTCGCGTCACTGGCAGACTTAAAAAATCCTTCTCCCCCGAAAACGTTTCACCTTTGCTATCCTTTCGTTATCGCAATTCACTCGTGCACTAGTAAGCCTAATGTAGCCCATCCACGCAACTACTCACAAACGCATTTTCCTATTGCAGATCTCATACTTCCAGCTGAGAAGCGCACTTGGCAATGGTGGAACTTTCATTCAGTCTGTCGATGGACAATTGAACACTTAGTCGCACCATATTTGTCTTAATTGGTGGTAATCTATACCCATTGTATTCTTCCGAAGCCAGCTTGCTCAACCACGGCTCACCAGCTCAATCGCTATGGCCATGGCTATCACTTCTCGCAGTGGAGAGGTTTACCATATCGGTCACCCGACAGTAGCCCGTGCTGTCCTTGGCACGTAGTATGCAGCCCGCTAAATAGTCCCCGCTCGTGCTGCAATGGCGGTGATATACTTACCATAAAGCGTAAACATCTGAAACATCATAAGACGGGCATTAAAGTCCTAGCAGCATATCGGATCAGCCTGTTCTGTCATGAACATGCACTGAACGTGCTTACAGCTTTACAAGCATACCTAAGCCGCGTTGGCTGGTTTTGCGACTCTAGCAGATGCTTGCCTTCTTCATTTGGTTTGTACCCCTAGTTTCATTCATATCAGCTTCACTGATTCTCCCTCAAGTACAGCCTACATAACGGTCTCTTCGTCTTTTTCAGTAATATTTGGCCCCCTTCCGAAAGGAGGCAAACCAATTGAGCGTGGCAACGGGGATATTGATATGTCTCGTCTCTTTTGCTACATGCAGATGGCTTACCATGTTTGCATTCAACTACAGTCTAGGAAATACCAGTACTACAAACAGCATTCTGAACCGGCGCAACCTCTCGTGCTGCGCGGGTTCCGGTCTGGCCTTCAGATAATTGCGAATCAGATCCCAGTCACGTCAGGTGCGACATCCAATAGATGTCAACATCCGCGATCAACAACGTTTGGGTTGGTGGTGCCAGTGCGATGTAATTACAGGCAAAAATAGAGCGTCGCGTGCGGCACGCTTCGCCCTATTTTTGGTCGTTGGTACAAACGTTGTATACCATTCAGGAGTGTTGCCACGATATCCCGTGCGAGCAGTTCGATTCCGTGGATTCGTTCTCACCTGTCATGCTTTGCGGAGCATCATATATTATTCACCAGCTCCTTGAGTGGATACGTCGCTGACGAGTAGGTGGATGTGACTAACGTGTAACAGTAATGTTGGGCATTCCTCGGTCTATCTCTGAAATCTTATTGGTATGCGGGCGTGCAAGCCATTTCTAATCCAATGGAAGGAACTCTATTGACATACAATGGTAGTACAAGATACCTACGAGCATCAAAATCTGCGTTGACAGAGATGTGATATTTACTTCATTACTGCAGATCGAGTTGTCAGCAACTACAAATCTCCCTCGACATATTTACTCACCGTGATGACAGTGGGCTTGTCCCTGCCAAGGAACTCCTTCAAGTTGCTGATTTCCAATGCAACCTCGATGAGGCCCTTCAAGCCCTCGGCGGTGTCACCCGCTAACACTTTCTCACCCGCCTCTGGTCCAACATACCTCTCCACATACAGCCTAACAGTCGCACCAGCACTACCAGTACCACTCAACCTGAACACCACCCGCGACCCATCATCGAACAGCACGACCTGCCCTTGATTCTTGCTCACACTTCCGTCAATATGGTCTGTGTAGCTGAAGTCCGTGACAGATGCGATGGTAAAGTCCTGATTGGTACTCTTCGACTTGTAAGTCTTCTTTGCAAGTGACGATGAGGTAATTGCGCCATCTAGAAGCGCAACGAGCTTGTTGGCACCCTCGGAGGAAACTTCTTCGTAGTCATATCGACTGAAGAATGATCGTCCGTAAACAGCGTAATGCTTCTTGAGGAGCTCCTTGATACCGATCAGCTCATTTGGCGACTCCTTATTGGCAGCAGCAATAATATTCAGCCAAGCTGACTGGTGGTGAGTAATTGTAAATGCGAACGAGATCGAGACTAACCCATGATTGCCCAGATACCATCTTTCTCACGAATGTGGTCTGAGCCTGTTCCGAAAGACTCTTCACCACAGATGGAAAGACGGCCAGCATCCATGAGGTTGCCGAAGAATTTCCATCCTTTATTCAATGGCTGTGAGCACCGTATGGCGCTGTCTTAGCACCATTGACCTACCGGTAGGAACCTCGAAATATTCCAGTCCCTTCTTCTTGGCAACCAGATCAATCGCCTTGCTGGTTGGCATACTCCTCGCAAGACCCTTTACGCCTCCCTTCTTGAAGTATGGAATCACATGTGCCCAGTCCGCGATAATGGCGACTGAATCACTGGGAGTGACAAACGCGCCCTTGCCATAGATCATGTTTCTATCGCCATCGCCGTCACTTGCTGCGCCGAAGTGAATATTTTTCTCTTCGACAACCTCGACGAGTGAGTGCGCATACGTGAGGTTGGGGTCAGGGTGACCACCGCCAAAGTCCGGCAGTGCGACACAGTTCTGAATGGAAGCTTCAGGGAGCTTGAGGGTGTCTATCAATATCGCGCGTGCGTAAGGGCCTGTAACACCATGCAATCCATCGAACAGGATGCGGAAGGACTCGACGTTGTTCTGGAGGAAGTCTTTGATGAGCTGGAAGTCGAAGATGCCTTGGAGGAGCTCGACGTAATCTGCTACTGAGTCGATGATCTGGACTTCGGTTGGTCCATAGTTCGTCTCGCCTATCACGGAAAGGTTGACCTAGTCTCGGATGAGTATTATTCTGACGGATGGATGTATATGAACGTACGGGATCAGCCTCAATGACCTTGTACCTTTGGATAGTCTTCGTGATCTCGTAAATCTTGTTCGTCACATTTTCAGGCGCTGGTCCACCGTTAGAGACATTGTATTTGATTCCGAAATCATTGTTGGGGCCTCCGGGGTTGTGGCTCGCAGTGAGCAGGATACCACCATATGCCTTGTATTTGCGGATGATATTGGATGCTGCAGGTGTAGAGAGGATAGAATCTTTCCCGACGATGAACTTTTTCACCCCGTTCGCAGACCCGATCTTCAGGATAGTCTGAACGGTCTCTGGGGAGAAGTAACGACCATCGCCTCCAATGACGAGCGTTGCACCATCCGCCTTGATAGAGTCAAATATAGCTTGGATGAAGTTCTCTGTATAATGCTGACAACGAGAGAGAGAAAATCCATCATCTCTCAAGACTATCGCGGTGGACTATCGCGCACCTCCTGCTGGAACACCTTCACCCTTCGAAATGCTGATTAGCGTGGCTTATCAGAGTGATCGACCTAGTAAATACCTCTTTCTGAGGCCTGATGTACCAGGCTTCTGCCCCTCGAAAGGCGTGGTTGATATCTCCTTGACTTGATAACTCATCGGATCTATGTGGAGAGTTGACCTCGAAACTGACCGCACTGGTCTTCTTTTATCAATGACGGTACCTGTGATCACATGATATATGATTTTCATCACGTGCATCGCATTTCGACCCTGAAAGCACGTAATGATTCATGCCATCAAGACGAATGAGGGCCGTCCTGGCGCGTCGATATGTCAGCGCTGTAAGTCCCTGGCCGAGCGTGCATTTCCCTGATCCACGAAGACAGAGCCCGCCCGATGTGGTTGTATTCTGCCTTTGCTGTCGGCTACGAAAGCTACTACTACATCAGCAAAACCCTAATTGGATGTCCAAGGATGTCCCCAAGGCCCATATGGACAGCACTGTTTAGCGCTGTGTATTGCTGTGCAATGCTGTACAATGCTGCCTATATGGGGACCTCAAATGGTGTTTTGCTGATGTAGAGCAAATAGTAGTAGTGCTAACTGACCAGTTGCTGACAGTCACTCCAAGAAGTGATAAGGCGCTTACTTCCAGTTATGTGATCAACGGCGTATGATAACGAAACAGAAGTTTCGATGTGGGCGCTTGTGGACATCTATCGTTCCGAAATCAGCTGTGCTGTTAAAGATTCTCAAATTTATGGAAGTTTTTGTTTTGTCCCGCCACTGACTCAGTCACCACAGTCATCGCATAACCCTTGTTAGTGAACGAAAGATCCTTTACACTAATATATCCTCACTGACATTTGGTTCTAGTGTACTTGTATCAAGTTGGAAGATATTCGCAATTTGTCGCCCCCAACGATGCGAGAACTCGTCAAAAGTTATGAAGCATGGAACTCAATATCTGAAAAGCTGGACCATATTGCCATTGTATAGAAGGAGGGTGATAATTATTATCAATCCCAGCATTCTGCAACGACCAAATCATTTGACCTCGACAACGGTCTTTCTGCCACCATCCCCATTCCCATGCATATCTTCAAGGGCCGTTGACATCCATCTTTAACGGAATTACCTCCTTTGGCTTCCACAGACTCGTTCTAAAGCGCCCGTGTATACTCTTACCCGAAGACTACGACGCAGACGAGCCAGACAAGCTAGACTTGCGGACACCTGGAGACCATTTGATCCAGGAGGCCAAAATCTACGAAATCCTCGAGCAGCACCCTCACCCTAACATATACGTTTACTGTGGATGCGTCCGTGACGGTGACTATGTTACCGACATATATTTGAAAAAATATGGACGCACACTTATGCACGCAGTTTGGAAAGGGGATACAACCCTGAACCCTGCCACAATTCTTGATGGTATTTCAAAAGGGCTCCATTTCCTGCATGAGACGCTCGGTCTTGTGCACAATGATATGAACCTCGCTAATATCATGCTCGATGACGCGGGACATCCCGTAATAATCGATTTTGACTTTTGCATACCGATTGGGGAAGAGATAGGAATTTCCAGCAAAGCGGGGACATTCGGCTGGACAATGGGGCCAATGCCGACCATGGCTCTTCCAGAAAATGATATATACGGCCCAACACAGATTGGCGAATTCATGAAGGGAAAACGTTCATAGATGTGAGTATTCACATTTTTTCCGCGGTACCATTTGCATTCTTTTCCCATAGACTGCGCCGATCGTTCAAACTTCAGATGAAATAGGAGGTGAAACATGACTAGGATGCTGCGATGTAGGTCAGCGTTTGCGCAACGAAGTCAGGGAGGTGGTGTTCTATACCTGCTGTCCCAAGTGAGATTGACACAAACGCGTTTCAAAGAATGAATTAACATAGTAGCTCAGCAGATGGAGGTTGAGAATCTCAGCGCGATACTTTCAGGCTTCCATGCTCTGTAGCCGCTCGTGTCTAGTCTGCAATACTGTAACTGTCTTTTAAGTGCTGAGTGCCAGCCGTTTTCGAGTGTGTCATTGACGCCTTCCCGTGCCTCGGGGTCGGAGTCCTCCCCTCGGAAAATACCAGTCATCGGCCAGGTTCGTCACATATAGGGGGGAATGATAGATAGGTCTTCCCAAGGTTGGGTGCCTGTCACCCCGTTTCCCTGTCACATTAATCATGTCAGAGCCCGAAATGTTCCCTTCCCGAACCAGGAGGATACAGAGTCGAACTTCTTCTATTGCACATGCATGTCTCTTCTATCCCCTCGTCTTCAGATCTAGCGCCTCCCCTTATCTCCAGCCCACAGATCTTCTCCAAACACCTCTGAGAAAGACTTTCCAAGCTGCGGAAGCATATCTTGCGTAACAAGACCTCTCCCCTCAAGCTGAAACGCCCTTCGGCTGCTGGTCCGAGTGACCATACTTCCGCCTACCGCTGCCAGGAGCGGGAGACGAGAAGCTGGAATGCTACCATTACTATCCACCAATAAACATCAGCCACTGACATGTCTCATCGCACATCGCCGAGCCAAGACTCACCCAAAGGCCCCATCCTCGTAGCATTTCCCCCACGCAAGTATCGCCCCAACCGTTCCACTCAGAACATCGCCCTGGCCCCCACACCGCTTCAACCCACCTTCCACATCTACCTCAACCACCTCCCTCACATATTTCGGCTGGTCATGCCAGCCGTCCAACGGGTGCACCACACGACTGGCACTTCCCGTAGTATCACTCACTATCAAATCAGTAGCGCCTTTCTGTAGCACCACAACACCTTCCAGTAGCTTCGAAACCTCACCAGCGCGCTCTTTGGAGGGTACATCGGGTGAAACGCCCGCATCCTCGCTTAAACGCTTGAACTCGACCACATTGGGAGTGAGCACTGCGCGGCGGTAGCCTTTGATAAGCTTAAGTTCTTTTCCGACCATCCACAGAGCGTCAGCGTCGAGGACCACAAACATATCTTGTTCGCGAGCGATGGACAGGGCTAGACGTGCGTAGGACTGCATGTAGTCCTCACGGCCTAGTCCTGGTCCTATGACGAGGACATGCAGTCGAGAAAGCAGCGACTTGAGTTCATTCTGCACTTTTGCAAATGGTCTGGGATTGTCAGATGAGAGCGTAGAGCGTATGGAAGGACTCGGACTTACGCTTCTTCGCGGAGAATGGGATGTACGATCAGGTCTGGGGAGTAGGATTTGATAGCTTGGGCGGCTGGGGGTGAGCAGATGACGTGCGATAGATCTGCTCCCTGTATGTAATATTAAGAAGCTTAGTATACGCTTGTAGAACATCGATATAGCGGAATGTACCAGCCGCAGAGCAGATATTGCCGCGAAGAACGGCGCGCCAGTGTAACTGCAATACAGTCAATTCCAAAAATTGCAGACAATAATGATGGTGCTTACTCCAAAGTTCCTCCGAGCACACCAACTCTGCCTAAGTGGGGTAGAGGTCATGTAAGGTCAATACAGAGTGGGGAACGGTCGTTACCTGATTGTCCTTTATGCAACGTGCCGTTCAGGGGAGGGATGATCTGCTTGATCTCATGGATTATACTGTGTGGCACAGGCATGATTGGGATTGATGTAGCAGACGATGAACTATCGAGAGCTCCTACGACTCTACCAGTCGACGTTGGAGTAACTCGAAGGGAACAAGCAGTGGCTCATCCTGACGTCACGCGTTAACTTCATTGCATCATCAGATAAAGAACTAACACACATCAATCATACAACCACAACCATGCAAGTATATCGAACAGCCCATCTGAACGCGTACTATAACATACATCCCATGTACAAGACCGATTGCAAAAGTAGTATAGTCGGTACGAAGTACTACGATCAAGTAAGTGCGACGAGCAGCCATAACGATTAATCTTATAGTCGAGGGGGGGTACTATATGCGATTGCCAAAAAAAAAGATGAAAAGAAAAAGAAATGGAGCGCGTGATATGGTGTTGGTCTAAGTCCAAGGGGTGATATATAATATGTACCGAAGAACAGGACAGAACTCGCAAGACGCGGGACCTGAAACCCGGAGAACCAGTAAACCGGGAAACCAGGAGACGGGAGGCGAGGCGATGCACAAGGACCCAAGCGAAAATAGTCCCAAAATAGCGGTTATAAGTAAGGGTAAGTGTGATTAGGCGTCAAACTTGGGTGGAGAGGGGGTTTGTCATTGCCATGGTTGAAGTGGAGTTCTGCTCGCGTTGACCGGGTCCAGAATCCAGAATCTAGATGCCCGCGTCGGTCTAAATCCTTCACGGCGCAGCAACCCCAGCACTCGCCTGTACCTGCGCCTGCGCTCCACTATGCCAAAACGCATTCAAAAAAGCCCCCGCATTCGACATGATCTCAACAGCACGTCCAACAAGCGTCCCACCCTGCTCGCCCCTTGTAGGACTTCTTGACGTAGACGTACCAGTCGAAGCTTTCCGTTCATGCCTTGGGTTGTGCTCGTGTCGTGGGTCGTACGCAGTGGGATTCGAGTTGTTGCTGTACGCAGTGGAGTTCGAGTTATAAGCAGTAGGGTGCGAGTTATAGGCAGCAGCATACGAATACGCTTTCAGAGAAGGAAGAGCGGGGCGCATAGCAAGCACAGGTGAGTTGGCAGGCGTAGGTTGTCGTGAGATGCATTCTTGTTCTTCTTTGATTGATTGTGCTTGGGTGGGAGTGGGTATGGTCGTTGACGAGGATGTTACGGGTACGGAGGCGGGGGTAGGCGTAGGAGTAGAGGTAGGGACGGAGGTAGGCGTAGGAGTAGAGGCGGAGGAAGGGGCAGGAGCAGGAGCAGGAGCAGGTCCCATATTCACCACAAGCCTAGGCGACGGACGCATTGTCGACACCGAAACCGTCGAGGAATCACTAGACGAACTGCTCGCAGACGTGAACTTTTTCTTCGGTGGGGGTGCGAGTGCGGGTCCTACTTCTGGTGGTGCTGAAACCACGGCAGGCACAACCACAACAGGCCTTTGACTTTGGCCCTCCGGGCTTAAACTCGAAGCAGACCCCGAATTCGAATCAATTCGTCGCCCAACGCCCCTTCCCCGTTCCCTCTCCCTTTCCATAAGCCCCAACCTCGACCGATCACCACGCTCCCTTCCACCTGTATAACCACCCCCAATCCCAATCGCCAGTCCAAACCCTCCATCAGGACTCAAACTCCCCAAAGGGCTCTCCGCACCTTCACTGATACTATCCCGATCTGAAAATGAAGACGTGCGTGTGATACTCCGTCCTCGCGTCTTCTGTTCGCCTTGTAAACTTGATGAAGATGCGTTCCTACCACGAGGTGCGTCTGGGGGCGAGAGCAAAGCTTGTCCAGATGTGGATGGGGTTTGCGAGCTGGACCGGGATACGGGGACTGCTGTGCTTGGAGGAGGCATCTGTACCTGTATGCTCGCCAATGAAGGCGACGGGGTACGAGACCTAGAATGAGACTTTGATCTAGACCGCGATCTTGATTTGGATCGCGATTGACGGTCTGTAGGGGTATCCTCAGTCACGACTACTTCAGGCCGTCCCAGGTTCTGCGTAACAGGGACGTTCCCTGTATAGGGTAGCACGTTCTCAACACGTTCATGCTCCTCAAAATACGCGCAAGCGTCATCCTCCTTCATCGGCACATCGTCCGGACTGGGAGAAGCGACAAGCGGACCGTCAAAGAACTGCCCAGGCTTCAAGCGATTATGATAAGGCTCCGCCATTATTTCATCAGCTACCCCATCTGCGTCTGCGCAAGCGTAGCTCGGGGGAACATAGACAAGTTCTACGGGCGAGTCCTGCGCACCGTAGGCATACCACTCGCCACCTGATAGGGGATGAGGGTAACCGTGAGAACTGGCGTAAGGCTCGTCCTCTTCAGCTCGGGTCTTCAAGGTGGTGGGTGCGATGAGGGCGATGGTGATGAGTTCCTTGTCTGAACTGGCTGTGCGCATGAGGCCATTTGCACTTGGTCTTCTATTGCGAGATGCGGAACCATTCGTGCGATCTGAATAGGATGCAGAGCGAGCTTTGGGTGGACGGGATCGGGAAGAAGAAGAGGAGGTGGAGGAAGATGAATGAGAAGATGATCGGGGAGGGAGTGTGGCAGCGTTTGCATGCCTGACGCGCATCTCGAGGACTTCATCTTCGTCTTCTTCATCCGAGGTGGAAGATGAGACAGGGGAAGGATTCTGTGGCGGTGGGGAAGACCGAGGATGTGAAGGAGTCGTCCGAGGATAAGATTGTTGAATATGTGAAGGGGTTTGTGTACGGTCGTCTTCATCCCCAAAAAGAAGCTCATCTGTTTCGTCGATGATGCCATCTTCGGAGTCTTCGTCATAGCTAAATTGATCGGTAAGTATACTGTGGATAAGGGAAGAGCCGAAGACTAACCCATCATCTTCAAAGCTATAATCGCTCGAACCCACAGTGTTGGAATTTTGATATTGGAGGTTCCACATTGTGCGTTTCTTCTTTGGCTTCTCGATCGCGATGCACTGTTCTACGAAAGTGTTGAAACTGATATGTTTCCGTTTCTGGCCAGGCACGATCAGAGGATCTGATGAGGAGGTTTGCCTAGAAGATGGGGGGAGTTCAGTGGTGATTGGGGTGCCAGAAGCGATGATCCGCGGGGGAGAATCCCGCCGGAATATACGGTTGTGTGTGATATGCGTATCACTCTTTGTGTGTATGAGAGGAGGTCGCTTTATTATGGTTGTATGGACGTTATCTGAAAATATTTGCTCTTCATCTGAATCTGGTGGACTAAATATGGGTGAAGAAGGGAGGTCTGATGTTAGTAGTTCCATGATTGAACGGTGTTTGAGGATTGGCTTTGTTGTTGGTGGTGAGCCAGGGATGATAGGGAGATCGAGAGCTGCGGCTGTGTTTGGAGAAGGTTTTGGTGTTGGTGTGGGGTAATCTGCAGTATGGAGAGGACCGTATAACCAAGTAACATCAGAGTCTTTTAACCTATATAAAAGTGATTAGGAAGGGTGAAAGTTCATGCTCTATGATCACTCACCAATTAAGGGTCTCTGGGCTAACTGTACTGAGGTTATTGCGTTGTTTCCACCAAGTTCTCCAAGAAGCGTTCTCTAGTCTGACACCGTTTGCGATTTCGTTCTTTAGACGAGTCATACTGCGCCATGAACGCCATACGTCCTCTTCACGCCATTCATGAGAGAGGTAATCGACTTGACCACGAGGAAGGTCTGATACAGCAGTATCATCTGGTATGGCGTTTGGGGGTAAAAAGTTGGCCATAGTGTTGAGGAAGAGAGTGCTCGAACCGAGATAGGATATTAAAAAAGGAACAGAGTACAATGTACTAGTACTAACACAACCATTTGGATCAAGGGTAACCCCCCATCCAACAATTTTACCTTCATCCTCAAACCTCCTTTCGGGGTCTTACCTTCCGATTCATCCGATTTCTCACCCGGTTAATACCGTAATAAAATAATAAAATAATAAATAAAAATATTTACTACATCAGATCCGGCCCCGCATTACCCCACATTCATATGTCCCAACTCATCATCCTTACTCACTCTGCTAGCCCTTCTTCGCTTCTTTCCCCCGCATCCGAACCGTTCCCGAATGGCCGTGTACACAGCGCCCTCCTTCTTTAGCCTAGTCCCGCTTCCTCCCCTAGCAGTGTACCGGGGTCTACCACCCGCACTCTATGATCCGCCTACTGCATTCACCGTCGCCATGCCCGTTGATCGTGTCACCTCGGAACTTTGCCAGCAGTAATATCATTTCTTCACCGGTGATACCCCCGCGCCCTAACTTACATAATGATCCTCCATGTCCCAGGCCCCCGCCAACTACGCCCTAGTGGCGTGGGCCCTGAGCGCACGACCCCCAAGGCGGGACAAAAGATAAGCCTATTGCATAAGCGCCTACTCCAACTCGGGGCGCTCGCACAACAATTAGTGAGGGAAGCATAACACCGCTCTGCATTTTTACCAATGCCATCATCCATGGACCATACCCACCTGGCATGCGATACATACAGCAAACAACCAATCACATGATCCCCCGGATCTCGTCTATCCCCCCTCACAGCAACTTAATCCGTGGCCGAATCGCATGCTCCGTATTATTACTAAACCCCACATTTACCTCCTTTACATCTGGTACAATTATTTCGCCCCCAAACCCCAAACAAAATTTCATGAACCACCAATGATCGACAGTACTGCGTGTCTTTTGCTCACGACAGAACCCTCACATGTGTAACGTGCGTTTCTCACTTCTCGTGCCTGCAGGGTGTTCTCCTCCAGTGCCGTAATTTGTAAAGCGCCTCCTGCCCTGTCCCTTTCGTTTCTGCTACATAGCCAGAGTTATCGAGAACTACCCAAATGCGTTTTCCATAAGTGTGTACCCTGATATGATATACGAAAGCCATGGAGATATGTCATTCGAAAAGTCTTTTTCAGGAACGAGATTCACAGTCCGAAACTTTCCATTTCTAGCATCAACACGATACACAGGCGCCTACAAGTAGCAAGGTGTATTTCGCATACACACCGATCGTACGATCAGCGGACTTGAAGCCGGGGGTTGCGTGCGGAGTCAACGACATCAAATCTGGTGGAGCGTCATAGACTCTTGTCCAGACTGATATGACGAAAGACTGGACTGATTCAAAACTTCAAAGTCCAACAGTCACAAGTAAAGTCAACTGCCTCAAATCCGTGGTATACAACAGAGTGGAAGCTTTGAAGACCGAGTGGTTGGGTGCGGAATCAACGACACCGTATCAAGTGTGGGGCAAAGCACAATGAGTTTTTCATCGTACTACACGTGATAGTAAAAAATGTCGACGAAAGCCTGTACTGATTCAAAATTTGAACCATGGTCGGATCCGTAAAAGCCAGCATAAAACTATGCCTCGAATCCAACGAAATGGAGCTCACATGTACACTGTTCAATCAATCATTCAAAACTTCCAAGTCAAACTGTGATAGGTAAAGTCAACATAAAAACGATGCCTCCCATGTATCATTGTGTAACGCCAACGATTCGACGACATTATAAAGTCTGATGGAAAGAAGAACACGTAGAGTCGGTGTCATTTTTCCCACCAGACTTGATAGTAAAACACGTGGACGGAAAACTGCACTGATCCAAAACTTCGCAGTCGAACCATGGTCAGATCCGTAAAAATAAACATAAATCCATTAAATCTGCGAATTAGGGCGCATGCAGCACTCACGTGTACTTGGGTGAGAATAACGTGTCGATCGGTCGATCTCATTTTTGAACCATCTATTGTCGCTCACTTAACAGTCGAATGGTTCAAAAGTGAGATTGATATGATCATTCGGGTTCACTGGCCATGCCACCGCTTCAGTAATGAGGTGAATGATATCTGCGACTTTAGTTTCGTGAGACAGAGCAGCGAGTAAACTAGGAAAGTAGGGCTTACATCACAGCGTTTGATGATCGATCCCGGTCACGTCAGGGAAACCCTACATGCCTGAGCCACAGCTGAAGCGCTTCGGATGCATAATGATTCATCAACCGCAGATTCAAATGCATGCTTACCAAAGTAGAACTGGGCTCCAAGCCGTCGAATTTAAGGTCTAAAATACGACTCAACCACTCGAAGTATATAGCACAACAAGAACTCACTTACCATCAGTCCAGTGTCCACATCACACAAATGCCGAGTTTCACTTCGTAAAAGGCAAAGGGTATGCGGTCGTCAGTTCGAAAAAAAATCGGGGGCGATTATAATTACGACTGAGGGCGGGATGAATGACATATATATGCGCAGGCAACATATGCTGAATCTATCGTCATCAGAGTTCCAGCATGTGTTAGGTGCGACAGGGCAGGTGGTTAAGGGTAAGCAATCTAGTAGTTGAACTATAGCATGTGGTGGTTCGTGCGGAAGAGGCGTGGGAAGGTGCAAGAAGCTGGGGTGGGTGACAAAGGGTACATGGAACGCCGAGAACATTGTTTACTTGGTGTGCTAGCTTCGTGCACTGGAAGGCTCTTTCACATCGACTTGCATTAAATTTCAAGACGAGGCTATCTAGACACTGGGGCTCGCATTTGATTTACCGTCGCCGCCAACATGTCTTCACTGCATCAGTGGTCATTTTCAACACCTCATGCGATCGAGGCGCGCCTACGGGTAGCTAACTATCAGTAAAGGTCATCAAGCACTAGGCTGCACTTGACGTACACATTGATCGTCGATGATCAGCGGAGTGGTAGGCCTAGGGTTATGTGCGAAGTCAATGTCAACCTCGACGGCCGTATCAAATCTGGCGGATGGGGAATCCCCATAACATTCTTGTTTCCCCCAGACTTGATAGTAGAAAACGTCGACGAAAGACTACTGATCCAGGACTTCAGGAAGTCGAACTATGATCGAAAAAGCCAACAGGAAATCATGCCTCGAATCCGCAAAATAGGGTTTATGTAGGACTCACATGTAGGCGGGAAACATGTCGATCAGTCAATCTCATTTTTGAACCACTGTACCGTTTAATATGCAGTCGAGTAGCACAAAGATGAGATTGATATAATTGTTCGGGTTGACTGTGCTGCGTTACCGCTTCACTAAGGAGGTGATCGATATCTGCGGTGTTGGTTTCATGAGACAGAGTAGCGAGTGGAAGCTAGCAAAGTAGCGGCTCGCACTGGGCGTGCTTGATGATCGATGATCGACCATACAGTTTGAAACCATACTCCAAACGCTTCTGGCGCATAATAAGCGTTGATGAACTAAGATTCAAGGTCTGAAGTGTGACTTAGCGACTCGAAATGTACAGCACAATAAGAACTCACTTACCATCAGTCCACGACACGCAGCAACACACACATGAGGCCTTCGAGTTTGGCTTCGTAATACGAAAAATAATCTGGGGGGCGATCATAAAGCGGCAGATCTAGAGTACGACTTGAAGGGTGGATGGATGGCCCATGCGCAGGCGACACATCTCGAATCTGATCAAAGAGCAATGGTCGGACTGGCGAGATGTGTTAGGTGCGAAAGGGCGAGGTGGTTAAAGGGTAAGTAAGCACTCGAACCATTTGAACTACAGCATGTGGTGGTTCGTGCGGAAGAGGCGTGGGAAAATGCGAGAAGCTGGGGTGGGTGAACTTCAAAGGGTACATAGTAAGGAGTCGCGCCTTGCTGTAACCTGGCACAAGAATGTGATTCATATGATTATTAGGGTAGACTGGCCGTGCCACCCCTTCGGTAGACGGGTGGTCGATATCTGCGGCTTTGGTCAAGTACATGCGAAAGTCACTGCCTGTCATCATAAGCGGCAAAGTTGCCGGTCCCGGTTAATGCCTTCCGGCCCCTATACGCCGGTCAGCTACTAACTAGGACATCTGATAATAAAGAAGTATTAACGTTGTGCGCAAGACAGTCACAGCTTGTGCGATGATTTGTGGTCCAACTCCAACCATGCTGGTACGAAGTAGTCCAAACTCAGCCTGGGGCTGATACGCACCTATAGAGTGCATAATCATAAGGCAGGCAACTTACATCTTCAATCGAAAATCGCAATCTTGGATACAAGAGTGACCCAGTACTGACTACACTGTTTCTTGATGTGTGAGGGATTTAGTAAAATCAACAACTCAGATCATCAAAGACACACTCAGGCGCCTACAGGTAGCTACGAGTAGCCAGCTAGTAAAGACTAGTAAGCACTGGTGTATTTGGCGTACACATCGATCGTCGACGATCAGCGGAGTTGAAGGCCGAGGGTTGGGTGCGGAGTTAACTCAACAGCTCAACAGCCGTATCAAGTCTGGCGGAAAGAAGAATGCGTAGAGGTTCGGTTTCTTTCTTTCCCCCCGACTTGATGGTAGAGTGTCGACGGAAGACTGTACTGATTCAGGACTTCGGGGAGTCGAACGATGACTGGAAAGTTACCCCACATCTGCAAAAGAGGATGTATACAGGACTCACATGTACGCTAGAATAACGTTGTGTCGATTAGTGAATCTCATTTTTGAACCAATTAACTTTCATGTGCATCCACATAACAGCCACTTGGTTCAAAAGTGAGATTGATATGATGATTCGGGTTGACTGGGTTGCGTTACCGCTTCGGTAAGGAGGTGATTGATATCTGCGACTTTGGTTTCGTGTGACAGAGCAGCAAGTGGAAGTACGGCTTACAGCGTTTGATGGTCGACTTATGTTCAGGCAGAAGTCATCGTGAAGCGTTTCTGGCGCAAAATGAGTGTCGATCAATCGCAATATTCAAGGTCTGAAGTGCGAATTAGCGACTCGAAGTGTTTAGTACAATAAGAACTTACTTGTCATCAGTCCACGTCACGCAGAGGCTAACACTCTGGGTTTTGCTTCGCAATAGTTAGTGGACGTGTGGTTGGCACCTAAATCTTTGGGGAGATTGTAGAGTACGACTAGATAAATGGCTCATCCGCCCCGTAGATGCAAACGACACATTTCGGACCTGGTTGTCAATTTCTAAACAAGTGCGCGATGTATTCGGCGTGACAGCGCGAGGTTGAACTATCTGAACTACGGTCCTTGTGGCGGTTCGTGCGGAAGAGGCGTGGGAAGGCAAGAGAAGCTGGTGACTGAGGAGGGCTACTAAGTAATACATGGCAGCGCTCGAGGTCGTTCGGCCAGTCAGTTGTATGCCAGCTTCGTGGAAGGCTAATTTTCATAGCGACTTGCGTTAAATTTGGCTTGTAGCTGAGCAAAAATTGAGCTTCGAGTCTATTTAGACGCTTTGGCGCTGCGCCGCATCGATGATGTACTTTTATGGATAGTGTGGTGCTGTGCGTTATGCTGTAGTACCAGTACCATCTACCTTCTAACTTCAACGTCGTTGCTTTCAGGTTGGCCAGGGCCTGATCCACGATATGCTCGAACCTCAGGAAAACTCAACATCAACGTCCAATTTTGATTCCCGTCACTTCTCTCCCGATTCAGGTCCTCCTCCTGGCTTACTGACTCCCGCTGTGCCATCCGTTGCTGAAACTCAGAATCCATGGTCGGAGCAGCAGCTGGAGCTGGAGTTGAAACCAGCACATACTCCAGACCTAGCAGCAATTACCGCCGCTGCACCGTCTATCTTCACCTCACCGGCAGACAACAGCACTCTCCACGAAGAAGTGCGTGTTAACAAGGATGTTCTGACTCAATTCGATCCTCTTACAAACGAGGACGAGCTGAATGCGCACCAAGCATGGGCCAGCTCAGAAGGACATCCACCACCTTTCCGAACTTCATCGCGCCCTAGTAGTCGAGCGCACTCCAGGTCCGCTTCGAATGATATTCAACGTGATGGGCCTTCTTCCAGGTCAAGCTCACCCGCCCCACAACCCTTGTCTTCTTCCGCTTTTCCATCACTCGCCGCGCTAGCTCGTACCTTCTCCATCCCAAACGTCACGAATAGAGCGCGTCCTCGGCCTTTGTCAGTGGACGCGGCGAAACCAATTGCCACTCCCTCGCTTGCGACCATGGCTTCCTTTGCGCAACAACAATCTCAGTCTGCCGCGCAATCCTCTCTTTCCAAGCAGATCCCACTTCCGTCAGATCTCACTGTCTTGAAGACCCACAGCGCTCCGGACACGCGGTCCGCAACTCCAGGTATTGATTCACCATCTGGATCAGAGTCTCCACGCAAGGATAAGGATCCTTCTTTCAACTTTCAGAAATTCCTCGACCAGATGAAGTCTAGGGGTGCGGAACCACTTGGCAAATACGTGCGATCGTGCGTCTGATGTTCTTCTGTACGCTATTGGAGCTCACTTCGCCATCCTTTGTACAGGTTTCTCAGCAACTTCACTAAACGGACGTTTACCGTCAACGACCAGATCAAGATAATCAATGATTTCCTCAGCGTACGCTTCCTTTGACTAATGTACTTATATTTAGAATAATAAAGCTTTTCATTAGTTCATTGCCACAAAAATGCGGGAAACAGACATCTGGAGAAATGCGACAGACGAAGAATTCGACAACGCCATGGAAGGGATGGAGAAGCTCGTGATGAATCGGCTTTATGAATACACTTACACGCCTTGTCTTCCTCTCCTCACTCCACCCCGACCAGTCACGGCCGATGACCTCGAACGTGATCGCGTATTGTCCCAACGGATTGCGTTGTTTAGCTGGGTACGACCTCGCCATCTTGATATACCTGAGCTCGAGTCCGGCGACAATGATGGAAACACTGGGTTTTTAGAATTTGCCCAACAGGGTAAGTCGTGTTCGTCCCCTTTGCAAGCTCATTCAATTCTGAAATGGAACGTGTTCTGTGGCAGAACTTTGCAAAGTGAACCACTACAAGGCTCCGCGGGATAAACTCATCTGTATTTTGAACTGCTGCAAGATCATCTTTGGTTGGTGCTTTTCCACTCGCCACCTCAACGCCATACTTACAATTTTTTCTTGGGTGCTATTCAGGTCTAATACGACATTTACGCAAAGACGAAGGTGCCGACTCTTTCGTGCCGATATTGATTTATGTTGTTTTGAAAGCAAACCCTGAGCATTTGCTTTCGAATGTCGAGTACGTACTGTTTTTTCACCTCCCAAACACAGCGGAACTCAAACAAATCCCCCCAGATTTATCAATCGTTTTCGCAATCCTGCAAAGTTGCAGAGTGAAGCAGGCTACTATCTCTCAAGCCTCGTCAGTTGGTAGCTGTCTTATCAATTACGTGCGCTAATCATTGTGTTTCAGATGGGTGCTGTGCAATTCATTGAAAGTATGGATCATACCTCCCTCTCGAGTATATCACAAGAAGAATTTGAAAGGTTCGGCCAACACGGATCTGGTCCGTGATTCACACTCACTCTTTCAAACAGAAATGTAGAAGAAGCGATCCGAACACTCCCACCATCACTTCCTTCTTCACCAACCACATCCCAACAAACGCTGAGTAAGCCTCCACATCCATTTGCGGGAGAAGAGTCCGCGCAACCACTCGCGCTCGCTGTTCCATCATCAGCGCAGAATCTCACGATTGGCGAGGATGCTCGGAAGCTATTGCAAAAAACTGGGGATGCAGTTTCAAAGCCTCTCGGTGCCATAAGTCGTATATTTAGCGAGGCTCTAGATGAGAAGATGGGATACCTTCCCGGACCATTTGCACCCTTTGAACTTGGCAGAGAAGAGAGGGAAAGACACTGGTCACATCCTGACCAGGTCGCACAATTCGCTAGTGGAAGTGCTCCGCACACACCGTCAAGTAGTGAGGGCCTCCAGGCACCCATGCAGACACCTTACAAGCCCCGTGTTCGCCGTCCATCACCTGTCCCAATTCCACCCACGCCCATGGGTCTACCGTACGGATCTGACGAAACTCCAAGTAGACCCGGCCCCGGAGGACCACAGGTACACCAGGCACTCGCGCTCGGTCCTTCCCAATCATTGCTTCCACCCAACGCTATCCCACAGCACCTTCAGCAACCGTCTGCGGCCCAACAGATTTCTCGTACGCCCACTCCCTCGCTTGACTTGACTGCTGTTCAAGCAGAAATCGATCGCGTACATGCACAAGCGAGCGCTGCTGCTCGTGCGACTCTGGCCCAGATTTTCTCAGGAGTCGATCCAGAGGTACGCGATTGGGTACTGGAGGCTAACGGAGGGGACTTGGGCAAGAGCATAGAAGGGCTGTTGGAGATGGCTGGCGGATCATGAACGGGTGTCCGGGACGAGTGTGGGCTTTGACAAGTATCAAAGGTCCGAGAGGTAGTGACTTGCGATTGGATCTTACAGGCGGAAAACATCAAGAGCCGCAATTAGTGACCGGTTCGTGCGAGATTGATATCTCACGTCGAGATGACTCGGTGCGGGCGTTAAACTCTGATGTCAGTGTCAGAGCGAGAACACTAGTGTGACGGCGCGTCTGTCATCCATTCTCTTTAGTTTCACTTTTGTATGAGGAGCGGAGACTGGTCGTGAGTCTAACCAGGAAGGCTTGGATGTATGCTTGTATGTGTGATTTATCTTATTTGCAATGATAATTGTCTTCTTTCACTTTCACTGTCGTCTTATTCGCCTGTCAGGGAGATCTCCCTTATCCCGCTCAACGACTGTTTCATATAGAATTCTTGTCTACATGATTTTCTTGCATGGCCACTAGACGGATACTGCAATCTCGCTTTGCCTAAAATTCGCTCGATGGATTTTCGTGCAAGAGGGAAGTCACAATATTACAGTGTACGATGGGGTCTCGAGCCTTGGCGAGGAGGCTGGAGTTGCTCGAATGTTGCGTGGATTGTGTCGCTGGCAAGTTCACACTGCCTCCAGATACCTACGGTTTCGTAGTCCTTTCGGCCACGCGATGACGTCTTTGTTATAATTCGAAAGGCGCGTCTGAAAGGGGCCAAAACGTTCATGGTGCAAGCTCTTGGGACTATCGATGATCGTAAGTACGGATCTTCTTGAGAGTACCCCTTGGGCGCTACGTTGTAAGCATAGCTTGCCTCTAGTAGTAGTAGCACCCGCGGATGAGCTCAAACGCTCTGGGTGCACATTCGGAAATCACCGGCCACCCTCCACAACGGCGGCCATGTACTTATCATGTCAACCTTAACGTCCGATTTCGATCCCCTCCATATAGTATCTCGTTCTATGCCTTCTTTCCTCTAACTTACAGACTCCGGCTATTCCGCCCGTTACCGGAACTCGAAATCCATAGCCAGACAGATCAGTTGACGCTGGAACCAAGCTTCCATCTTCACTGTTGTTCCAGCAGAAATTGATCGTGGGCATGCGCAAGGCTGCTCTGGCCTATATTTTCCCCAGGAGTTGATCCACGCGACTGAGTACTGGAGGGGACTTGGGCGAGAGCATAGAAAGGCTGTCGGAAATATCTGGCGGATCATGAATAAGTGCACGAATGAGCCCGAGCTCATCACGGGCTTCGACAGGTCACCAAAGATCCGAGAGGTTGCGACTTGCGATTGGATCTTACGGCGGGAAAACATATCAAGAATGTTTCCCCGCAATTAGTGATCGGTTCGTGCAAGATTAATGATGACTTGGGGTGTTAGACTCTGATGTCAGAAAAATCTGCGCTAACAAAATAAGAATGGATGTCAAATGCACCATCGCAAATCAATATACACTACTTTGACAGCGCCTCTGTCATCCATTCTCTTTATTTTCAAATCACCAGAAAGGCTTGGATGTTTGATGTGTGCTCCTTAAAGGAAGCAAGACAGTCATTTATTTAATAAAATCCATAGAGGGAGTCGTGTCTCAATGATATGGTGAGCACCAGTCAAAATTTGACGCCAGTATGACTGAAGCTGACTGAGGTACCTAGCACATGCCATAGTGGCAGTTGGCACGATTTTGCTGGGCGCGGAGCTCCATTCCGTACGTCCCTCGAGTCTGCACAGGTCTGCACCCAAGGATACAGGGATGCCGCTCCCAGATCCCTCACCTTGAAACTGCTAATAGCAGTAATGCCTCGAGTTGGCTCAGCATGCCAAGGCAGATGCGATTACTATGTACGGGAATCGATCGAACACCAGTGTGACACAGAGCAGCACTCAGAAGTCGTCGAGTCTCGAGCACTCATTTAATTTAATGCTCTGCAAAACACTTTTTCTTTCCCACCACCAAAAAATGGCTGGCCACAGCTTGGTCCCTTCTATACAGAGCCCAGAGGCAAAGTGATTTGCTAATGTAATCGAGCGACTGTAGGCTGCCGAGGATCCATGGAGCAAGAGCATTTGCGGTCATGGTCGGTACTATACTAATACCAAAAAAGACATTTTCTGTAGTTTCCCTTGCTGTTCAGTCAGGTCATCTTTTCCTTGTGTGTTTTTCACCCGTGTCTGACAGGTGTTTGATATGGATTTCCGTGTTTTTGCTCGCTTTCGAAGTGATGCCTTGAATGAGCCCTATAGATTATATCATGTTCCGTTCTACATAAGCGCATTTTGAAGACACTGCGTTTGTAGTGTGGAACGAGAGTATACGGGCGTTGCCCTCTCATACAAAAATGAATCAAGTATTTGTCTGGCTATGCTATGGGCGAGCGCTGAGTGTGTGTTTCTTCTCAAGGTCAAACTAGCGTTCACTGAAATTTACGCATCAAGGTTGCGCCAAGGGTAGAAATTTAAATGAGGTTCATCTCCTTAGCGCTGAAGCGCTCACGCGACTTAAGTGTACTAAATTGGTCTGATCCGAGTTACAGGCACAGGAACAACAGCTGGCACACAGGAAACAGGTAAAATGTAATGTGTTTCGACTTACTGCAAATTTCACCCCATGCAAGATTTGAATCAAAATGATCGAACATTTTTCTTCGAAAATGACTTTCTTTTACAGTGTCAAAATGGTGCATAAAGTGTACAATTTCGCCCAGGAATTTTGCCACTCGTCTAAATTTCTTATTTTTATCGTGTCAAAATATATAGTAAAAATGCTAAATTCATCAATAACATTTTGAAACAAATCTTACATAGCGAAAAACTCCCAAACCGCCGGTGTGTGGGTTTCTGCCAGCGCATGTGGCTGAACCTAACACGCAGCTTCCCCAGCAAAGTACTTAGTCCTACTTAAGCCTACTTAGTCTACGCGTTTGTCTAACAGCCTCGTCGTATAAGCGGTTGTCTGGGAGGGTTTCGATCGTGTTTTAATTTCCAATACGACACAAAAGATTGGAAATTGAATCACGTGGTGACGCGGGGACGCGATGAGGAGGAGAGGTTCTTCAAGTTCCCCAGCCTTTCATCTCCATTGGAAAAATTGCATGTCAGTGCCTCAATTACGCGCCTCTTTGTGTTAATATGTCATCGCCTCTTGGGTTGTCGCGTTCTGTATTCAACAACAACTCATTAAATGGAAAAGCAAGTCTACTAGTTAGCAGGGATTCATCTATATATAGCAGTGCGTCGAAGGGAGCACGAGAACGCGTACTTCTATGAGCTTCGAAGCTTCATAGCCACAAATCAGTGCCGGCAGCTTTTCTCAAAAATTGTGTCCCAAAAGATCCCACGCGTGTCAATGTTGACCGTCCCTAAATCTAATCGCGTGCTTGTTTCCCTGGAACCCTGACGGAACACAAGCCAATGATAACAGTTACCCCATATTTTGCACATATGAAGGAAAGATGGTCGCACCCCCAGGATATGATCGAACTGAAACAAAGACTTGTGATTGGCCTAATGACCGGTTATGAGCACTGCAACGCGCTTAGCTCAGACAGGCTCACCGGATTGGATAACTTCAAGTCATGTTCCTGGACTCCGGTTGTAGAGTGAAGGCGCCTATATGTATGTCACGCAGAAAACATCTACCTATAAAAGCAGTATCTTTGTACATTCCAGTTGAGGTCCGTTTCCTACTACCACCCCCACCCCACCCATCGATTGACGAATTATACCATATATCATGCCGCCTTCTTCGTCACCTAGCCTTTCGGAAAAAGGTGATGTGGTCCATGTCGAGGATGGAAAGACCCCTACCGAGGGCGGGCTCTACAACCCTCATGTTGACGTTTCGGGTGTCGATGAGCGCGCGTTAATGCGAAAGGTTGACATGCGGACTGTACCGTGGTTATCTTTTCTGTATTTGCTTTGCTTCCTCGACAGAACGAGTATTGGAAATGCAAAGGTGAGCGTCTATCGACTTTAGGATTGCCTCCATGATATCTGATCCCTTCGTACCAGTTGTATAGCATGGAGACAAGCTTGGGGTTGTCCGATACCCAGTATTTAATATGCCTGACCGTCTTCTTTATATCCTACGCACTATTCGAGGTCAGTGCGATCTTTGGATCGATGGACGAAAGTTGACCTTGTACCAGGTGCCCTCGAACGTTGTCTTGAAACGTCTAAGGCCATCCGTATGGCTTTCAGTGCTCATGATTCTTTGGGGTGTTATGATGGTTTGTGTTTTTGATGTTATTCCCCACACCCGGTCACACTAATCCTGTTTCCCCTACAGACCGTGCAAGGCCTAGTCCACAATTACAGCGGTTTATTGGGTCAGTACATCCCCTCACCTGCGGTGTCGGCTACGCTTAAATGCTTTGCTTAAAATAGTTATGAGATTCATGCTCGGAGCCTTCGAGGCCGGACTTTTCCCCGGAGTCACATACTATCTCTCATGGTACGTGCTACTAGTACATCTGGGTATGAAACGTTTTCTGATCTGGAATGTGATGGTCCTGCAGTTGGTATAAGCGTTCGGAATTTGGTATCCGCGCTGCCATATTCTTCTCCGCCGCGACCATTTCCGGTGCATTTGGTGGCCTTCTCGCTGTATGTGTCAATTACAGTCAACTGAAGTTATTCTAATTTTTTTTATGTTTAATGCAGGTCGGTATATCGAAGATGAATGGTATCGGTGGAAAGCCTGCTTGGTCATGGATCTTTATTATAGAGGGAATTGCTACCATTTTGGCAGGGGCCGTCTCCTTCTGGATCATCGTGGACTTCCCGGACAACGCAACATTCCTTACCGAGGCCGAGCGGACAGTCGTTATCCGTCGCCTGCAGGGTGATGCCCAGTTCAGTGCTGCCGGAGAGAAGATGCAATGGCGACACATCAAAAAGGCACTGACCGAATGGAAAACCTACATTGCTAGCAAGTACACCTGACTCCGTAACTTACGTCCGCTAACAATTCGTCTTCTAGTGATCGTGTACGCCGGAGTGGACATGCCTTTGTACGCATTCGCCTTGTTCTTGCCGAGTATCATCAACCAAGTAAGCCCATGACTTATCCTTTTTTGAATCACATCCGCTAACATTTGTGAAACAGCTTGGTATGTTCTCATACTCGAGTATCGTTTCACCGACTTATTGTGTCCTAAGGGTATTCTGCAACTAATGCGAATCTACTAACCGTCCCCGTTTATGCGCTCGCATGCGTATCTACTTGTCTCGTTGGCTTCCTCGCCGACAAGTACGGCAACCGCGGGTTGTTTAACTTGTGCGTTGGTCATTCGTTTGCTGCACCATGGTTCTATTGCTTACTGCCGTGTTCTTATTCCTGCAGAGTTGCACTTTCCACTGGTAAGTTTTCGTGATGCACTCTTATTCACATATCCCTTATACTGGTGGGACGTTCACAGCTGCTGTGGGATACATCATCTTGGTCGTCTCACGGAACGCCGCATTGTCATACTTCGCTGTATTTTTAGGTGCTTGGTAAGTCGGTTCTGCGATATAACTAAAAATACAGAGTGCCTAACGAATTACAATGTAGTGGCATTTACCCTTGCATTCGTGAGTGTCACCCGTTTCTATTGTTCCAAAACAGTGACGCTGATCACCCCACGTTCCGCAGCAAACACGGTGTAAGCGAGATCCGTTAAACTTTTTTATCGCCTTCTGATCAGTCGGAAATAGTGCCTGGATGTCCAACAATTCAGAGGGAACATACAAGCGTAGCGTCGCTCTTGCCATGGTCATCAGCTGGTGAGTTGTGTTCCAGTGCACGTGATGCATGACTGACGCCGAACCAAGGGGGAACTTGCAAGGCGCCATTAGTTCCAATGTTTATCGTGCAACCCAGAAGCCTTGGTACCCACTAGGCCATGGACTTGTGCTGATGTACATCGGTTTTGGTATCATCGCCACAGTTGTTTTCAGGTTCCTCCTAAAGCGGGAAAACGCTCGTCGGGACCGTGGAGAACGAGATGAAATCATTGAAGGGCGCGAGGGAGGTTTCGAAGTCAACGGTCGGTTCGCATCCGTGGAAGACGCCAAGAGAGAAAAGGGTGACGAGTGGAGTGGGTACAGGTACACTCTGTGATGAAAAATTAACGGTCTGATATCAACGGTTTTGATTTTTAACGTCTTTTTCCATGTAACTTACGATGTCAACTTACGAATGGGTGTAACATATATATTACAATACGCCGTGCCCTATGGACTCTGCGATGTGCCTTTTAATGGTGTTTACCCCGGTTATAAATAAAAGAAATCATCAATCAAGCATCTCGAAGGAATGGTCATTAAATTTGAGCTAATCGTTAATAATAATAGTACTCCGACAAAAGATTTCTGGCTTCATCGCGTCTTGTGGGGCTCATTCATCATGTATCATGTACCAGCCTTGAATTTCCCATAGGGTCCCTCGGCTACTCGGGGAGTGCTTTGCGTATTCTCCGCGCCGCCTCAGCCTTCCGCGCAGGCCAATTAGAGTGGTTTGATAGACGCACAACAGTCACTCTCGCTTGGCGGATATAAAGACAATAATTGTTCCTCCTTCAAGCAAAAGATAGTCATGTAAGAGCGAACGGAGTGACTCCAGTTACATCCCTTTTAACAATTTGCTGCGAATAGATGTAATATACATTGCAGTACATCGCGGCTTTATCATGTTCCATGAACCATCGTCCAGTGAGTTCCGCACTGCGCATTCCAATGGCGTTACCTCGGTCATAAAGGAGGCCTATCAAGTATCTCGCAGAAATAGCTAAAGGACTAATGCGGCGCTGGATATTTGATAGACGCGTGCAAGACATGTGATTATCCTTATCCCGCGTGGACGAACATGATCCCCGAGGTCAAGTCCCCGAAAACCGAATAGAAGGAAGAAAATCGGACTTCATTACATTATGGCCCATCGACGCCAAGCAAAGATAAGCACGCAGGAGAGCCAGCGTATCTTATGCTCCAGCAATCATATCGACCATACATACCCAGATTATAGCCTCAGCGCGAACACGCCGTGTGAATCGTCCCAAGCATCTATGACCAATTTGTTCGGAGATAATGGATAATAAGATAGCACCTTGATAGCTCATGAAAGAGTAATTGAAAGGAATTCGAGACGTACATACTTATATAAAAGTTCGACTCTCGGGGCTGGAGGAGAAACTTCGGGAAGCTGCTTTCGAAATGCGATCAGAAAGCTCGGATTTCCCCACGACGCTCGCAGTATTATAGTAGTATCACGGATGGCCGAATCTTTGTGAAGGCCATCACTTGGGTTTTCGAGAATCGAGAAGACCGAGGCTTGGCAGTTAATTTGTCGCGTCAGGAAGCACAGATTGGCAGTCGGCATGGCCCACACGGGGTCTGGACCGGTGCTGCGGCACGAAGTAAGTACTAATATGTACTGGTTATGCAACACCACCGGAGAATGCGTTCAATCGCACGCCCGGGGGGATACATTACGTTGTAAGGACCTCCGACCTGTGCGTTGTATGTCATAATTTCATGCTTTCAGTGACCAATCTGAGACCTCATTACAGCGCGCCCGAAGTACAAAAGACGCATGGAGTTATTCAAAAGAAGCAAGTGGAACGCTGGAGAGAACGCCTGAGAAAGCCTTGCCAAGAGAACGTTGAGATGAGCCGAGCAATCTTTGTAAGCAGTTACTGGTTACCGCCTAAGTCCGCACCTGCCCTAAACTCTGTACAAGAAGTCGCAACATATAATTGAACCCCAGAAAGGACTCAGCGCATTGGTTTGCGCGTCATTGGACTATCATCTTCCTTCCTTCCTTCCTGTATACCCCATCTCCCTTACATTTTTATCTCTCCTTGTTTTATTATCAAAAATGGGTCGCCCTCTTTACTCTAAGGCTTACCAGACCGATCCTATCATCAGAGAGCCACAGCCTCCCTGTCCATACCAAAAATGGTCATATATCAATACTTTTGACCCGGACTCTGATGAGTTCTTTGAAAACGACCAGGCAGTCTACGAGGCCTTCATTGACCGCGTGACTGTAGAACATTCGGAGGATGAAGAAGAGATGGAGGAGAGAGAGGACATGGTTGTCATCAGACTAGATATCTCCGGCGAGGACGGTCTTAGCGACCGTGATAGCCCAATGGCTGTTGGCGCTGATGACCCCGCCCAGTACATCGCACAGGCCTACCGAAGGCAGAGAGTCGAGGCGGAAACGCCCATTCAAGTTCGTCTCGCAACTCATAGCACCCCTCGTGAAGTCCAGAGAGACACGTCAGCGTCACCCGAATCAGTGGTGATCAACCCTTCGGGGGATAATGTGGCACTATTAGACGCCCCCTCCACGGCCAGTGCGCCCCACGCAGTCACATGGTATCTCCCATGGCGCACATCTTGAACCTCGAGATGAAATCCCGCTTCCATCCCCCAGCGCACCCATTCCTGTTCCTGGCACGCGCTCCCATCGCTCTTCATCTGTTGAAGGGTTATCTTTCTCCTCATTCTACCACCAAAATTCACCACTGACACCGCCTACGCATCATACACCCTTTAATCATTTTTCCCCATCACCGCCTCCTACAGTCTCACCTCGTATCTACACTTGGGCGTCCCGTCGCCAGACATATTCGGCCACCGGCACGAGTCCTCTCACTAACACCAACGCACGCATGTCTCATGCCCATATTTCCCCTGCACTCGTCCGTGTCTGAGACGTCATGGCTTGACTCGTAAACCTGCCAAACCGTCCCAATCTCTTGATGCATATCGTCTTTCTTTCCTTCATTCTGCCTGGGGTTTACCGTTCTCGAGGCGTTTCATCACGCACAACAACATCATTAGTATCCTGCTCCATAAACACAGCTAATCCATTACTTATGCACTATATACAATGGCCCTCGATGACCCACGTCATCGCCGTACTATCCTGTGCTTCTATAGTCGTGAGGTGGCATAGATTAGGACTGTGTTCTCAATTCATCCGCTTTCAACATTGTACATCTCATGTGCTGTGATCAAATCTCTAGATGAATCTGACTACCTATAGCTACTGTGATCAATTCAGCCCCATCTAGCATCCCATTGTCCAATACTCTCTTCAAGCACAAAGTTTCCATTTTGACCGGGCCCAACGATGAAACAGCCGGTGTCCTCCGCATTGGGTCCTGGTGCTCGCAGAGGTGCATCTCGGACCGTGTCCAAAGAAGTATCAGATGCCAAGGAAAGGGGGATGATGCCAACAGGTGATGTACAGTAACCATGCCTCGTGGTCGCAACGAACGCGTGGTCATCGGTCGCAGATGCCAGATGTAACCTGCGCAGCAAACCATCAATATCTCCCATAAAACAATCGAGCTTCAAACTGACGTCACCGTGTCAAGAGCGTGTTTAATGAATGCAGGGTGCAGGAAGCCCGCCCACGTCATGCGTGTCACGTCACCAATATATGAAGGAGCAGGAGTTTCGTAGACAGCAACGTAAGGATTGACACGGTCATTTGCTTTGAGTCTACCGAACCGTTATTGAGGACAGCTCCAAGTGGGAAAGCATGGACACGTACCTCTGGGCTCCTAAGCAAGCCATGCCTACCCATTCAAAGAGGTCGCCTATACGTTCATCCCAATCCTCCGTGCTTTCCTGGGGCAAGGGAGCAAGAGTCGGGACTGGGATAAGTATATCGGTGGAACGACAAATTTTGTGTTGAACGGTCACCGCTTCGTGTGACTCGGAGGTACCTGCCTGCATGTCTTGAAGAACACAATCACAATCAGCTGAGAACTGGCACGATCTCCAGTCGACACACCTGCTTGACAATAATTAATTTCCCATTTCCCGGGCTGGTCTTCCCTGAGCTCATCCCAGAGCTTCAGAGCCGCTTTCTGTCTCGCACGCACAGCAGGAGACTCGGTCTCTTGTCTTACCGGTATGCGTATGACTATGCTAGGTCTCGATCACTTCTTTTTCGTGCGTGAACCGGAATCCTAAAAATGCTGACGTACCATACTGTTCTGAACAGCCTTTGAAGGGAAGTTTCTTCCCGACTAAGCCAAGTTTTTCATACAGTGACTTTGAGACGCAGAGGGTGAGGACGCCTCTGGGGTCGATGCACCATGTATCATCGCACTCGGAAGTGGATGGTAGTGCAGTTATGTTGCTGTTAGATAGAGAACAGAACCGATCTCAGTATTTCTGTCGCCTTCATTGTGCAATTGGGAACACCTCACCCTTCCGGACTCTTGGAGGCAAAATCAAGGAACTCTGATAGTGTACAGCGTCTTTTGCAGTATGTGTGCCTCAGGGATGCAAGCTCCTTCTCAAGTTCATCGGAAGCAGGGAACACGATGTCAAGCTGGGGTAGTGTCAAGCATTTCGCATTAGGAGACGTAGAAAAATAAATGTACTTGCTGCGTGAAAGGGTGTACTGCGCCAAATCGGTCGAGTTGGGCGGATGGCAAAGTGCCATTCGTTAGCATCACTCTCGAATGCGCCATTGGATTCGGAGTGGTCGATGATCGCAAAGTTTGGTGAAGAAGATATATAATCGAGAGATCTTAGATCCATCGGCCACTTTGTGGCACTTCAGTAAACACTGAAAGTATCACCTGAACCGTCATGTCATCTATGTATTATCTATTTGCGAGCTATCTTACTATACGCGATTCAGGTCACCGACCACGATATTGTCGATCAACCTAGTCTTCCCAACCCATAGCGCACCGCTCAAAATCACAGGTATGTCTCCAGCCAACTGAGTGTTCGAAGACGCGTCCAAAACGTCGAATGTCTCCGAATCATTCATCTCGATATAATCCAGCCGTACCTCTACTCCGTCAAGGGCAGCCTGTGTTTTGACCTTGTCGATGACAGCGACAGCCCCCGAAACGCAACGGTCCTTGGATTCGCCATTCGACCAGGCAGACTCAGCGTATTGAAGGGCTTTGAAAAGCGTAGGGGCGAATTTCCGCTCGTTTACAGAAAGATATGCGTTTCTAGATGATAAGGCTAGCCCATCATTCGGATTGCGGGTCGTGGGAACAATATGGACGTGGTCCGCCTCGGGGTGCGGGAAAAGTAAATCCTTGCAGAGCCTCCGAAGAAGTAGGGCTTGTTGAATATCTTTCTGGCCAAAATACGCATTCGTAGGCTGCAGCCTTCGTTAAGCTAGGTCGTGTATTGCGGAGAGGCCATCTCACCTGGACTGCATTGAATAACTTAGTCACGACTGTCGCGACGCCTCGGAAAAATGTTGGCCTGCTTGCGCCTTCCATCTGGTGTCCGTATCCCTTCATCTCCACGAATGCATCCCTTCTGTGTCGAAATATCCTGGCTAATGCCTGATGGATACATGTCTTTGACCTGCGGAAGAAATACCGGCAGAGGCTTTCCTGACAGCCTCAGCCCACAGTGACCTGTTGTGCTGTAAGCAGCTCCAGGTCTCTTGGCAGGGTACGAGGGTATGTAGCAAGGTCTTCATGCGGGGCAAATTGGGCTGGGTTCACGAAGATGGAAAGAACAGTCAGGTCATTTTCGGCCAGCGACTTTTGGACTGAATCGGTCCATGATTAGTAAGGGGATATTTATAGACATCAAAAAAAGTCCGTGGGACGAGCTCACCAAGAGACAGATGTCCGTCGTGAAGAGCTCCCATGGTCGGCACAAAGCCCACAGATTTCCTCTCATCGAAGGCTTTCTGCCGCCATTGTCTGTACGATGCGACAGACGTTAGAAGAGGGATGGGGGATGGTGGAAGCGCTGTTGACATTGACATTGATCGGTGGAGGAGCACAAACGCCTGGGTGGCCGAGCGCCACATACATACGAAACGTGTAAAGTGATTGGATCAACTATGGTGTGCAAGGAGGGGAGCGCTGCGATTCATCGTACGAAACAAACAGCTGAATTTCGGTTGGTCATCTTATCTAGCCGGTATTATTACACGTGATCACTTATAAAAAGTCACGGGGCCAAATACACTCCGAGCTGAGCGAGCTCGTTCTCATTCTCATCCGTGACCCGTCTTCTCAAGCATCTTGGTCGTGTTTCCACTCGAGATGGGTCAGTGTCTTCTTCTCTCCTCTAACCATCTTCCCATTGTCTAACAGTCCCTTGTTCACGAACCCGTTCTTCTCAAATACACGGATACTGCCAATGTTCTCAGCAAAGGTGTATGCCACCACATGACGAGCTCCCATCCTAGGGATCGCCCATGCGCTCATAAAGAGGCCGACAGCCGCAGTCATGATACTTCGTCCATGGTGGCTCGCAGCAAGCCAGTCTATCACAACATGACAGACATCAGCCATGAGATATAGCTCCGGTGAACCAGCGTACCTCCAACAGCATACTGAATCGTCGGATCACCTGCTTGCTTTTTTGCATTCTCTTCTTCTAGGCGCTTCCGTTCTACTTCATCCAACACCTCCTCCATTGGACTTCTTCTCAAACATAAATCTCCTATAAGAACGTCTGTCCCGTTCTCTTTGACCTCCCTAAGATACCGCACAGGGCACGCATCCACGAACTGAAGCGGACCATCAGGAAAATTCTCCTCGCTCTTCCTTAGATACCCCAATGTGGCATCGGATTGCCCTTTAACAAACTGGAACCAGGAGTCCGCGTGTTCTGGTAGATATGGTACTGGGGGTCCTTCTAACCACTTATGAATGGCCGGATCATTCATGTGGTGCATGTTTATGGATTGATCTCCCTCTCGGGGAGGGGTGAGGATGATGTTTTGGTGCGGTGCTGGAAGCCGGAGGAATGGTTCCCCAGTTTTGGGGTTAATCTCAAGGGGGTGAAGCTGGCGTGTCATACTTCGAGTGGATGTAGAAGATCTGCTGACGCCTAATCTTTAAACTAGTGAAAGGAGTCACGAAGAAGTATGTTTGAGTCATGTGGAAAAGCGCTGAAGGCGAACTTGCCCAGGTTGATAATGATATCAAATTGCCTAAGATGGTTATTAAGCGCCTGCAAGGTGCTTGCACGAGGAAATCATTTTTTTCGCCGGTGCGAGAGTAGATCATGATGTGTACAGATCCTAGTATGTATTACGATGAATACATGTGTTTGGCAGTGAGGCTCACGTCGTCTTCCTTTCTGCGAGACGTGCATGCCGCTTCAGCCATTCAGTTCTCCACCGTATCCACTCAGTTTCCCTGCCTCCATCCGCCCAGATGGCCCAACCATCCCTTAGCTGTAGCCACACGCTTATTGGATGGTTTACTATGGCAGATCGGGTTCGTCCAAAGATAGAGTTCGGGAATTTAGCTGGGAGGAGTTCGGTAAACACATAATGTAAAACGCCCAGTGCAATGCCAATTCCTAGGCCCCATTTGACTTGATGAGGGGTGTGGTACAGCAAGTCGAGTCTGACAGAACATTGAGCGCCTAGCCACTATTCCCATAGAATCGTCAGAAGGCTTACCTTGAATAGGCAACGATGCCGGACCATGCAGCTAGCCCAAGGTAGACCACCATTCGGAAAAGCTGATCGAGTACGACGGATCCTGTGGATGCAAACCGGTGTCGAAAATACATGTGACAGATCAGGAATGCGGAAAAATAGCCCATGTACTGGCTGTGCGATGAGGGAAAGCCGTAGCCATTAAGGTGAAGCTGACTATCTGATCATAGATATTTCACGAGTTGTCTTAGACTGAGACAGTTTTATTTGGCAATGATTCGAAAGATAAGTACATACCAACTGGACGCTCTTGTTTAATAATGCGCTTCAACAGTAGATTCAGTCCCTCTGAAAGGAATTGTCCTGCCCACATATTGATGATAGTCAATTCACGTGTTTGTACTGTGAGTATCGCAAACGCAGGCTGTTGAGGGCGTATTAGCGCTTGTGGAGCTACAGTTTAAGGTTGTACTCGCACCATCAAAAGGATTGGACTCAGCGACAGCAGTGCAAGTACAAACGAAGTATCTGAGGACGCATTATCTGAACCTGCGAGTCAGCAAAGAAAAGGGACGTGAACATCTTTAAGTTTCACCCACAGATCACATGTGTCAGGTCCAGGGAGACGCGGTGGGCGGCTAGGTCTGTCATTATCGTGGAGTGTAGGTACCAAGAAGTAATTTTTCTGGATCCGCTCCTGATTGTGTACAGGTAATAGCGGAGACTTGATGGACCGACCAGATATGATTGGGTTCCAGGAGATGCTGTAGCACGACTGGATCAAACACCACAAAAAGTAGTATCACAGCCACCGTCGTGTCTATCATTGAAAGTCAGCTCAAGTTGGCCAGCCGCTCTGCACGTGGGATAATCAGTACACTAAGAAATTTAGGAAAGTTTGATGTTGAACGTGTTGTAAAACGCGTATGATACGCTCAGTAGCTGTAGCTTCGGCAATCCAACAAATTTGAGCGCTGACTCACCACCCAACAGCCATTTTGTCGAGTCATTATCCGTGGGTCCGATGACCACGAGGTCGATATAAAATATCTTGAAGATGTTGCAAGTAACATCATTCGCGCCAACTCTTTTCATCCAAGCTGGCGTCCATCCCAGACCTCCTCGGGCAGCTTCTACAGCTCGCAGGCTTCGAACACTTCAAATCCAAACGCTCCTATCAATGGCACCTCGCCGCCTGTGATGGCACCTACCGCTTTGGATGGACTCGGTCCATTGGTTTCGTTCTTTCTTTCGATCTCTGCGCTGAGAGACTGGGTGAAGCTTTTGATAATCGGCAGCTTCTTTGAGACCTGCCGACGCCTCCTTGCCACAGGTCTGGTCGTCGGTGATCGATTCTTTCTATCTCACCGCTTCATTTGAGGACCAAGATGACAGTTACAGTGAGTGACCCCCTGGTCGATTATACGGCAATCAATAACAACTGGCTGTTATTTTGACAGAATGGATGATGGTCTGGCTATCGAAGCAACCAGCCTGGAGTAAGCCATGCGATAGAATTGCAATAATTTTCTAAATATATTCCTCTGGTTCACAGAGAATGTGCGCAATGTAAATATAAGCACTGTTTCCTTCGGTGAAGAGTATTCAGGGAAACGTTCCCCTTTCCGGAGAGGAGCTTGATCCATCCTGGTGTGGACTGCAAACTTTCTTACCTGCCAGCAGCCTCTGGGTCATATACCCTGTGGTACAAATACAGATGGATGCGGATTACCCGTATTTCGGAGCCAGTACAAGGTTGGGGCCCGACCCACAGGGACACATTGCAGATCAGGTAACCTTTCTCCTAAACATCGGTTGAATTGTCTGTTTATCTGCTGCTGAACAGCATCGTTACGCGCAACCATGACATTTTAAACGCCATCCTACAAGAGGCCAGAAACGCCTATAAAATCGTGCAAGGCAGCGCCATTACTGTCTACGTTTCTGATTCGTGAGTCGTTATAAAGATAGGTGTACCCCTTTTAACATTTTGCAGCTCGAACTGCTGGAGAGAACTTGCTAGACGAAACAAGCGGCCTCTAGACTCGATTATATTGGAACCTGGAATTCGGGAACTCGTCGTTCGAGGACGCGAAAGACTTCCTTGCCAGTAAAGAGTGGTATGCTGAACGAGGTGCGTTATTTTAGCCTTGGAGTGAAGCACAGAGGTTCGAATTAATTCTAGGGATTCCTTTCCGCCGTGGTTATTTGCTGGTAAGATAGCTTTCGTCCTAACAGTCTCTTTAAGATTGTCATCGAATTTCCATTGCAGTATGGTGCACCTGGCTCAGGGAAGACTTCTCTGATTCATAGCATCGCGGGCGAGCTGGAACTTGATGTCTACATCATTTCCCTCTCCCGCAGCGGGCTTGACGACACTGGGCTTTCAGAACTCATTTCGGATCTTCCCGAGAGATGCATTGCTCTAATGGAAGACATCGACGCTGCCCTCCACAACAGTCTTACACGAGAGGACGCTTCCACGCCACCTAACCAACCCGAGTCCATCCCCGGTTCTCCACCCGCTCCTAGCACTAGTAGGGTTTCGCTCAGCGGTCTACTCAACGCGTTGGACGGCATTGGCGCGCAAGAAGGGCGGATATTGTTCGCTACGACGAACAAGTATTCGGCACTTGACCCTGCTCTATGTCGTCCTGGTCGTATGGACCTCCATGTTGAGTTTAAGCTCGCGAGCAAATATCAGGCAGATGAGCTGTTTAAGCGTTTCTACCTTCCCTCGCGCAAGCCCACGGCAGATGATGAAGAGACTAAATCGAGTCCTCCTCAAACGCACCATAATGGTCCCGCACATGGCGGGAGTTCCACCAACCTGATCGATCTCTGCATCCCAGACGACACCGCCGACACCTCTCTTTCCTCAGTTGGATCTGAAAAATCTGGGCCTGTCGGTCCCACGTATATAGGCACGCGCCACAGCGGACATGCACCAAGGCTTTCATCGGATCAGCTTTCTGCACTTGCCGCACAGTTTGCATCAGCTATTCCAGAGCGTGAGGTGTCGATGGCTGCTCTGCAGGGTTATTTGATGTCTCATAAGAGCAGGCCTTGGGAGGCGGCCAAAGAGGTCTCTGTTTGGCTTCAAAAGGAGCTGGTAGATAAGAAAGCCCGGAATGAGACAAAATCATGACGCTGTAGTTTGGTATCGTTAATCATCGCAGCTTTATATCTCATTGTATCTCTTCATCCTCAAGTCAACTACGCACGATACTATGTAGCAATCAAATCAAATCTCATACTGATTTCAAACGAGCTGAAACTTTAATATCTTTACGTCAAGTTGGCCGTGATAAAGGATAAGGGACAAATTCTTTTCTTTGTTACGTTATTTCTTGAGGATCCGGCTCGGCGCAACATGATATCGGTCTGCCCAAACCTATTTCAAATATACTTCGGAACACTGAATCAATACCACGATGGAGTTGCAAAACGACATTCTCGTGTTCCCTTCCCACAATTGTCGATCACGTATCATTTCCCGTGCTACACACCGCTGTCAGTTGAGATACTCCTGGAAAGCGAGTGTAACCATGCCAGTCCCTTCTTCGGAATGGGCCAGAAGCTGACATGTACACGAGTACGATGATTTGAAGGATGCCATAATAAGCCTGAACTCCAGCGGAAGATGATTCCTTCAGAAATGATGAGCGGTCAGACGCAGATGAGCCAGTCACAGATCAACGTACTGATATCTTTGGAGACAGCAAACCAAGGTTGAAGCAAGAAACAACGGCAAAGCTAGCATGGGCAGAACTTCAGTGGAACAAGATAGTAACATTTAAATCGAGAGCTCACATTGCAAAGTAAAGTACGTGAGATTGTATTAAAATTGTGAAACAGCCGCAGGCGGTCCACCCCGTCGACGGTCGTTGCAGTTCACGGAAATGTTGTATGACAATCCATATGGCAAGACACAAGGCGAGGAGCTCCCATACAGTGATGAATATTCAACTTTCAGCAATCAGAATTGTAAAGGTACTGATGAGTGCCGGAGAGGACGAGTTCCTTTGGTATTCGTCGCATGAACTGCGTGAGCCTGGAGTGATTGATCCATGATTAAAGCTTACCTCCTGAAACATGACGGGTTACTATTCCGAGAAGAACTCCACAGCAAATCGAGGTAGCCAGGAAAGATACAACGAGAAAGGTGAGCATCTTTCTGGATCGCTGATACATGGCATGTAACCGAGTGATCATGATGACTTGGATGGTGTTTCAGCAAAGTCAATCTCACTAAGGTAAGTAGCTCACCGCCCAGCACGTTGAACATGATGTTAGAGGTCCAGAATTGTACGATCTCAAGAATAGTGCCTGAAAATCATAGTTGCTCATCGGAGAATTAAGTTTTTCAAACGAATAACGAACTCACATCTGTTATAGTGGTTATCGCGAGTCAAAAAGCTAGTCGAGAATTTCACTCACCCCTACGTAGGGGTGTAGTTAGTTGGACGGGAATGACAGACATTGGTACAGAGCGCTCAATACTTCTGTCACCGAGAGTGACGGGTGAAACCCTGCGTGCCGCCAGTCAGAATAAACGAACGCAGTGTATGCAAGAGACATGCACAGTATTCTGATGCTGATTGTGGGAGATAAATCGTTCGTACAGTGCCATGCCAAGCCTTGCAAACATACACAGAGAATAGTAATCCAGTGTAGCGCAACTAGAATATTGTGAAAGTCAGGGCAGCTTGAGCTGGCCAACTGCGTTTATAACATAGGCCACGTACAATGAGATATAGGCCAGTCATGAGGGACCAGCAGTGCCTCTGCCCCGAATTAACTGTTGTTGTTCTGATACGAGACTCTGCTCACCCAGAACGGTTCAATCTATGAAACGATTCTTGGTGAGATAGCTACTCCGGTAATGACATCACTTACCTCTCGTCCGAATGTCAGTGCTGGAGAATACCGTAGGATATCAATAATTCTCTCGACAGGTACTATGTTGTTCACCCCAATCATACATCACCGCAATGGAGGATGCAACTACGACCAGTCAAGGATGAATTGAGACATCACCAACATCATCCGATTACTATTCACAAACCTACAAAATAGCTGTCGACACGATAAAAGTTGATTAGCGGTCACCAACTGAAATTATTCGAAACTAGGGTCATATTCAAGGGATTGATGTTAGTGAGTGGTGAACTTTGATGGTGTTCGCGTTGCATATACCACGAACGCCACCATCCAGCGCTTCTATCGCCGAAACAGGTATGATGCAGATGAACATTCCAGTGCTCGACTGTCATATTCTTGCACTAGGCCAGCTCAAGGACTGAACGCGCGGAATGTCTGAACACCGCTGTTCGTGGTTTCTAAAAGTTGTTTCCAATATTACTGTCGCACTTCCATCAGTGAAATCACCCGGTCATTAAGTCAACACAGGCCTACTCAAACGACGGCGTGATAACCTTTGGAAGAGCCTGATTGCCTGTTGTCTCAATAAATCCTATCTGTACTCTCCGCGGAGCGAAAAACCTCATCCGGGGCCTGGTAACAAAGATCTATCAGCATCTGTGAACACCGTACGGCAGGACGGTCGAAAAAGGACAGAATAGATACAGCCGCAGACAGATGACTCGCCTTTGCCACTGCCAAGAACCCCTCTTAACGCCTCTGGGCATGTCCTTCAATGTTAGGGAGGGGTGGGAAGGCTGGGACTTGTGACTCACCGGGTCAGATTTTGAAGTCCAGATGGCTGCGGCGGGATGCAAAGCCCGTATCAGCTTGCAATACTAGCGAACCTCGTACTAGGTTGGAAAAAAAACGAGCAAGAAGCTTGACACACTCGTCCGGCTCATCAGAAACCACAGTGACCGGATTCAAGCTTTTGATACACTCGACGATACGTTTCAGATCACTAACACATTGACGTACCTTTGCCGAGAACCCAACTAGGGACCTTTTCCCAGTATCAGACCATGACGCTTATATGCCCTGGTGCATGGGAACATGACCTGATGAATGTCAAATACAAATACTTGCCACCACCTCACAAGCGGACGCACACCCAATGCCCCCGAGGCCGAAGACACATCGGGTGACAGTTAACCCTCAGTACTTGTGGATGGTGATGAAAAGGGGCTGGAAGGAAGAACGTGGAGGTGAATGTTGTTAATGAGAGCAGCCCAAGCAATACGCATCGTGTGGCGCGCTGCGAGGGAACAGTCTGAGCTATGACTGTCTGAAGTAAATCGGCAAATAGCCGCAATTGGCGGACACGTTCGTCATGTTGGGGTGGTCACAGCTGAGCATCTCTCATTCAGACAGCTGCACTACAAGAGATGCATGAACAGATGGAGAATAATATCGTATCGACGGAGTTCCTACACGCAGGACTCATGCGGCATCACAGTACTGGCCCTCCGGCAGAAAATGCATGTACCATCGGGATCACTGGCAGAACCCAGGAATGCGAGAAGCCAATCGTTTGTCAGGTAAATGGAGGGTGCTGATCACAAGGCGAATCGTTCCGAACAGGAGGGTTCAACGTTCATCGTTTATCTGGGAGAGAAACAGAAAATAGTGTACTGAAGGAAAGCGTTGTGTTACAGCGGAAGGTTTTCGATTTTGATAGGTGTCGCGTCAGAGTTGTAAGGTCACAGCGGGATGAACATTTAGGTGCAAGCTAGCCCATTTGCAGCCGAGATCAATCAAGTGACGTACGACGAGAGTCTTTGAGACTGAATAGACTAGTGCCTTACTTGATGATCACTAAGCTATTCCGTAACCTGTTCCCAGGTTTGCGTGACGGTTCATTGCTCTGATCTAGCGTCAACCTTTCCATACTTATTCGTGGGCATTATCATGACACTATAGCCGAGACACCGTCAGCCGTCGCCTCATGCACGCCTTCGACAGATGGCGAGCTTAAACATGAGAGTCATCGTTGAGGCAGGCACATACTGCAGTGTGCGCCCTTACCTCCATCACCTTAATTGATACTAGGCGAGTTATCTGTCGACTGCGTTTCAAACTAGAAGGTTCTATTTTATTTTTCTGTTCTTTAACGTCTTGTTACAGAGTAACAAGATCTTGGATGTCCCCCCAGCGAGCGAGGTGGAAAGAAGCGCGATGCTGACTGATGACTACACCATTCACTGATGGAATCCTAGGCTGAACGCCATGGCGAGAAGCTCTCGGTAATGGCATTGGAAGAAGAACCCACAATGTTCGTAACTTTTGCAAACTCGGTTGTCCTAAGCCCAATTTGATTCTTGAATCAATAGTCCCTTTCTACGTAGTTGAATTCGTGTGACAGAAATTACTACCGGCGTCGATGAAGGCCATCAGGAACGGTTGTTGTTCCGCGTCATAACTATTTCCGCGATGAAAATTGATGGCGCTGTACATCTTGGGATATCAAGTACAAATGCCATCGTTATACTCCACAAACTCGAAGTTCGCTGCTGACCGACACCAATCCCTTGAATATGACCCTAGTCTCGAATGGTCTCAGTTGGTTGTCGTTAATCAATCATTATATTTTTGAGCTATTTCGCAGGTTTAAGTCTGGTCATGTTGGTGATGTCTTACTCTAAGTTCGCCTCTGGTTTCACAGTTGCATGCTCTGTTGTCGTAATATTCTATTGGGGTGAGCAAAGAATTACTGATCGAAAGAATTATTGATGTCCCAATGGTTTTTCTCTAGCACGGTAGGTTGATGTCGTCGACGAAGCACTCATAATGATTTATAGTTGGTCTGGGTGAGCAGAATCACATGTCACAAAACAGCGTAAGACAATTGATTCGGGGAAGAGGCAATGACGGTCCCTCGTGGATATTATATTTTGGCGTATGCAGTTCATCTTATATGCGTGGCAGTTGGCAACTTGCACTGACTTAAATTTTCTAGGTGCGCTACGTTGGAACACTATTCTGCGTATGTATGGAGGGTCAACGGCTCGACACTGTGCTGATAAGCTATCACTCTCAATCAGTATCACTATACTGTGTAGGCTTCTGACTGGCTGTACGCAGGGAGTCTCCGTCTTGGTGGGAGTGAGTGTTCCCACTGATCCCTGTCACTCCCGTCCGAATAATTCTACATAGGGGCGAGGGAATTTTTTACCTGCTTGTTGGTTCAATATTATCACTGCAACAGCTGTGAGTTTGCTCGAAGCACTTTGTCCTCCGAGGCTCATCCGTCACTTATTTTAAGGTATTATCTTGAACCTGATCTCATCATCAATTTTATCATAGTAACCATACTCGGGGTGAGCTACTCAGCTGCGTACCTCAGTGATACAAGCCTGACCAAAATCATGCAAGTCATCATTATCACTCGTTTAGATGCCACGTATCAAGCATCGGGAAAGATGCTCATCTTTCTTGTCGTAATCGTCTCGGCTGTCAGGCTCGCTGGTGGGGTTCTCATCGGAAAGAATAAGCAGCCGTCTCAGGGGGTAAGCTTTTATGGATTTAAGCCTTTAGTGCATAGGCTCGTCGGATGAATTCCAGAGGAACTTGTCCTCTACGGCACCCATCAAAGCGCTTACGACTTTGGGGATGCCAAATCTCTGATTGCCGACACTTGGATAATCGACACTGCATGGGAGATCTTCATCATGTATCTTTCAGTCTGGATCGTCATAAAGCACTTCCGTGAACTGTGACGTTTGGCGACAGGATCGACCGTCGGGGACTGTTTCACTTTGCGCGTGAGCTCCTAATTCGAATGTGATTATCTTATTCCGTTCAACATCTCAAAGACGTAGTCTAGACTGGTTACGGGTCTAAGTCGGATGCTGCTGTTGCTTTCCTTGACCTCTCGCCGCCTCCAAATATTTCGATACCCCAAACTGCGACTGACTCATCTGCATCTGGCTACTCACCATTCTATAGTATTCAAATTCCGTGGGAATTGTATTTATGAGGCATTTCCGTTTGCGCTGGACCACGCCTCATTCTTAGCGTTCGAGAATCTAGGCTCGTGGCTGACTTCGGTTCAGGAACTGCCATGACATTCGCTTTCCGGGAACACGTACACGACATGTCAGCTGACGGTGGTGTGTGTCACGGGAAACGATCAACTTACCTTTTGATTGAGCAACTACCCCGAGGCTAATACTTCAAGAGAGTAAGTAGTTCACGCCAATTTTTCACAAATCCGTGCACATGGCATAATTTATTCTAGAGGACTCAATTCATGCATGACTCATGACTCTACCCCCAGTCTCGCTCTCGTCGTATCTGCTCGCCACTCCCGCCTGACGGCTGAGCTCTCACTTCCGTTCCGCATACAGTCAAGGTGATTATATTCCCACGCATGTAAGATAAAGCCCCTCGCTGATAGCCGCTGTCCTCCTCATTTCCACTCCTTCGAAGACAGCGTCAACATTTTAATAGCCTGCGAGCGCTTAGTTTGAGGTTCAAGATTTCAGCTTATCACCCTTACTTGTCAAGGTCATATGAAAAGTCCCAAATGGTGCTGGGGCGTTGTTTAATATTCTCCAGCCTCTGTAAGGTTAGATAAGCCTGCTTGTTGAACAAGGGGAACCGTTGGGTCGGCGGAATGCAACAGCAACCTGTGACCTTTGTCATGCGTGTGATCATTGATATCCCTTTCAACTTTCTGTTACTTAATTGTTGAGGGCAGCGATTCTTGACATCGGCAGCATGTCGTACAATTTTCATTAAGCCATTAAACCACCACAACCCTTACAAGATAACGACAATCTGTGTCTTATATATAAGTAAGTACGTCAGTGGTCAACGGCTCACATTCACTCTTTTTTTTCGTCATCGATCTACACAGTTTCATGGAGTCGGATCAAGATGTTGTCTCTGCTCTTTTCTGGAATAACACTACATCTGGTTCGTCAGCTCCGTTTAATCTGGTTGTGAACGAATCACCGTGCTGAACTTCATCGTTTTTCCAGTAGCGATCGCTACACTGATATCCTATGAATACAGTCAGTAGCTTTCATGAACCTTGCATTGCGGCTTAGCGTAAGGTTACCTAGTCCTGCAGTTCGACAAAGAGGTAACGAAAAACTCGTTTTCTGTTAGTCGAGTACTCATATCATGTTATCGCAGGTCAAGTTTGTCTGGGTTGGTATTCGATCCACAATGGTATCAAGCTCCGGAAACTGACACAGTATCCAGGAACGACAGTGGTCACTGATGACATATCTCTACCTTGCTGTGAGCTCCGCCCTGCCAAAGTGTTTCATGGTTTGTAATTTTGTTGCTATGCCAGGTTCGATATCTTGGTCTTTTCCTTGCATTGTACGTCGCAGCGGTTCTGTCCTCCAGATGATATATCGTATGTTGACACTGACCCAGGGTTTGCGCGTTCTGTATGTGACAGCATACCAATTGAGCCATCATTAGCTGACTAGCACTAGGGGGAGGTCTATTGTATATGCCTGAACGAGTGAGTGCATCGATGATTACTTTCCTTAGAGAATTCCTTGAGCCAGATTCAGCCGTACGTCAGAAATTCGGTTTACAGCTAAGCCTGATGAGTTGCTGACCTCTTATTTAGCTGCAAGTATATCGTCCTCAACTTCAACTGCCTTCATTCATCATGCAATTAAAATAGGCTATGTTCTTGCTCTTTTAATGGAATGGGGTTTTTCGGCATATTTTTGCTTGGCGGAAGGTAAGTCTTATATTCTCGTATCTCATTGTGCGTGCCGATTCTGCATCCGCAGTCATTCTCATCTGCCGACTTTACGCCCTATCCAACCAATCCAGGGTCATACTTTATGTTCTACTGGGATTGTTCATACCTATCGTGGCGCTCTCGATAGGGATGGATGTATTCTTATATAGTCGACCCGCAGCGTTCTCGGGTGAATTTCTACTTGAATCAAATTGTGCGCAAGCTGACGTCTGGTATAGTGAAAGAAATAATAACTCCGCAAGCCAAGTACTGCACGTCTTCCTTCAACATGGGGCCTATGCCTGCGATCTATGCCTCCATCCCCATCTTAATCTATGACATTTTTCTAGTTGTTCTCGCGGTAACCATCCTCGTGAAACACCTTAAAGAACGAAGAGAAATCAGAATGAGGCCTAACATCTATGTCTTAATGATCGTTCGATATCACATCATATACTTCGTCCTGTAAGTTCCCCTTCGTCTCATGAGTTATCTACAAGTATTCATTGAATCCCACTAGGAATTTGACAAACCAAATCTTATTGGCAGTATTATGGGCCAACATCCCGGTATTATAATGCCATAACTTTGGAGAAATCAGTTCTAACGTATACACGCACAGACGGCAGCGATGAGTCTCTCACAGATGTTCATCGATACCGCGCCATTTATTATCGCACCCCGTCTAATCATCAGCATTTGGGATATGCATGTCGACGAAGAGTGCGTACGTATCAGTACGGCGTTCGCTGATTGTGTATGTTGGACTTCGCCACCGCCATTCGAGCAGCACGAGATGGACTCCCATGCATGATTGTTCCAACCAGGATGGGGAAATTGTGATTTGCCCAGGAGGTACGAATCATTGTCATGTTGGCAAGCAGGCAAATCAGTACACACCAGTAATCGCCGCTCGAGAGGCGCACGCCCGATATGTAATATCCCATCAATACCAAAAGTGATAAGACATCGGCGCCTAGCGATCGTTCCAGGCCCTTTTGATCTCGTGGCGACGTAGGTGCGTTACAAGGGATGGTGAAAGATGAGTTGAGTAGAAGAAATATATGGTTGCAGATTTGACTGTGGTGCATGATAGTACCAGACGCATGTGCTTGATACCATCATTAACGCTAGACAAAAAATTCAGAATCCTTCGTCTTCACCACAGGGTCCACAGAGTCTCGATGAAATTCGATGAGTATAATGGAGCTTATGCATGATTCAAATAATAAATATGTGTTGTGAGTTGACGCGAAGCAGGTCACAGCTTACAAGGATAGTAAGCCTGAGGGAAGTAGAGGCTCGTTCTCAGCTTGAAGCTTCAATACATATGTGCATTTGCAAGTTCGAAATCTCTCGCTTGCTCCCCATGTAACTTTGAAGGGAGTTGAATGTACTGTAACAACAGTTTTTTTTTTTTTTTTTTTTAATCAATTTTATTGTCCTTCGGGGTCGAAGACCCTATGTAGGACATAGCCCTGTTCGCGGGGGGCTTACTCCCGCTTGTACTAAAGTAAATGTATGTGGGTACTGGCGTGGTATCAGTGGAAAACGAGTACTCCGTCAGCATGGTGTCGGGCAAGAGCCGACGCTGATTTCGTACAGAGGGGATGATGTGGTATGAGATGCGTAAAGTATATGAGGCTCCTCCTTTCCTACATTGGTGTCTCGGCCAGCGAGACGTCTTCCCTCCAGTCTCGGAGTTGATTATTGTTTATCCTTATTGTAGTTTGTTAAATATGGACGATTAGTTGTTGTGTCTGTAAAATAGTGAAACATTTGAATGTTCTTAACTGTCCGTAATCTCACCGAATGTTGTCTTGAATCTTCCCGTTTTGTTAATGTATCGCATTAGAGGTTGGGTGGCTTTTTCGGATGTAAGGATAAACAATATGGACGTCGCTTGTGTGTGAAGGGTGTTGGCAAATTGGTGGCGTTCATGGACGTATTGTGGGCAATCGAAGAGGTAATGATGGATCGTTTCATCTATGTTGGGACATGTGGGGCAGTGAGGTGTTGTGCTTTTCCCTATTCGATTGAGATGAAGGTTTAGTGGGAGGTGGAGCCCATTCAGTGTAAAACTCCGTGTTAGACAGGCCAGCCGAGGGACATAATATCCCATATTAAACGGGCCAGCGGACCATGGGCCGATGTCATAATATCCTCGATGTTGATGGGTGGGCCAATGTGTATATAATACTCGATGGTAATGGATGGGCCAATGTTGCCACTATGTGTAAGGGATTTGATAGAGATGGGAGGGCCGAGATATTTGAATGATGTAGACTAGTGGGCAGATGGAACTGTCGATTGCATAGGTGGATGGGCCGATTGACATGTGGATTGTATAGACAGATGGGCCGATGGAACTGTCGATTTTATAAATGGATGGGCCGATGGGACTGTACATTACATAGACGGATTGGCCGATAGAACTCTCGATTTGAATGATGTAGACTAGTGGGCCGATGAAACTGTCGATTATATAAACAGATGGGCCGATCGACCTGTAGATTGTATAGACAGATGGGCCGATGGGACTGTACATTACATAGATGGATGGGCCGATGAAACTGTCAATTATATAAACGGATGGGCCAATCGACCAGTAGATTGTATAGACGGATGGGCTGATCGACCTGTAGATTGTATAGATGGATGGGCCGATGGGACTGTAAATTGAATAGACGGATGGGCCGATGGGACTGTACATTACATAGACGGATGGGCCAATGGGACTGTGGATTGTATAGATGGATGAGCCGATGGGACTGTGGATTGTATAGACGGATGGGCCGATGGGACTGTACATTACATAGACGGATGGGCTGATGGGATTGTAAATTGAATAGACGGATGGGCTGATGGGGCTGTACATTACATAGATGGATAGGCCGATGGGACTGTGGATTGTATAGATGGATGGGCCGATAGGATTGTACATTAAATAGACGGATGGGCCGATCAACCTGTAGATTGTATAGATGGATGGGCCGATGGGGCTGTACATTACATAGACGGATGGGCTGATGGGACTGTGGATTGTATAGACGGATGGGCCGATAGGATTGTACATTAAATAGACGGATGGGCCAATCAACCTGTAGATTGTATAGATGGATGGGCTGATGGGACTGTACATTACATGAACGGATGGGCTGATCAACCTGTAGATTGTATAGATGGAGGGGCCGATAGAACTATCGATTTTATAGACGGATGACCTAGGAAGACAGATATTAACTTGGTGATACTGGACGTTGGAATATGTTACTCGGTGCTCGGTACTCAGGCCTGAGTGGTTGGTTATGGGTGGTCAGGACCTGGGACTGACTCGGCGTGTGGTGCTTGGTGCTTGGTGCTTGGTGCTCGACACTTGATGCTTATGACCTGATCGAAAGTATTCAATGCTCAACATTCGGTCGGGGCTCAATCGCTTTCTCAGAGGTATGGAATTTATGAATATACTAATGACCCTCCCTGGCCGATGTTTCACCAAATGGAATCTTTACCGAATCAATCATGGCCCATCCACATGAAGGAACACCTGCATAAATATGGGCTGAATCCCTCATATACCATGCCCAAGCAACCCGATCCCCTGCTACTTCATGGACCCCATGCCTGACTATCCTTCCTGAAAATGCTATCATGACCCCGGGATCATACATGAACTCCAGCTGAAGGCTGGGCATGCTCATGTGAGCGTTAGAATAATTCCCCACAGTTGTGAGAATGTCAAACCACTTGGGAGATGATAAGTGGTCTCTATGATATGGGGTTTGCTGATTAGAAATGACAGAGGGTATTGAAGACAGAAGCCCAGAGCTTGAGGGTCTCTGACATGTTCGGAAGGTTCTTGGTTTTGGCCGACTCACTGAGGCTTGAAAAGGCACGCATGCCTGCCCAGTACTGTCGAGGATGCATGACCCTGAGTGCTGCTGAGGCTATAGCTGCCAGCCTCGCAATAGCTTTGAGGATATCCTCGGAAAGTGGACCCTTCAATGAAGCGGATACCTCCGAATCTGAGACAGTCTACAGAAGTGGTGAGATTAACTACCGAGGAACATCGGCATGTCATGGCATCTAACCTCATGCCCCTGCTGAAACCACGCTGGGGATATATTGATGCATCCGGCAGCAATGTCACTGTTCCTGGAGCCTTGACCGAACCACTCTTCATTAGTCCACCAACTGCCACCAACTTTTACACTTTTTTTGAGTGTGGGAGTCAGCAATTGCGAGGCCTTCCAAATTTCTTCCTGTAGTATATTGAGTCTTCAGGATCAATCGGGCAATGAAGAATCTGAAATACCTGGGTGGTGTCCATGAGTGCACCAGGGAGATACCACACGATGATCGCACCGGTCACATCGAGAACTGTAGCAGGCATGTCGACAAACTTGGTACCCTCATGGCCAGGAGGACACCTGTCAAGCAGCTTCTTCTCTCTCTCTTCATTATGGCCAGTGTCCTTCGGGGATATCAATTTGCTGTATCTTGCAATATCGATCTGCGTCTGAACTGTAATCGAGGAATCTGAATGATCAAATGGAAGATCCGGATCAGCAATCCGACTCACTGGGATTGTGATATGCTTTGATGAGGCGATTGACCAATCAATCACAAGCCATCACCAGATCAGTGTCTAGGTGAGGAGAAGGTATGACCGGATCCCCTCCCATCTTGTCCGCATTGAATTTCTGTTTGGTATATTCACTCGCCTCATGGGTGATGGTCAGGGCCCAAGAGATCCAGAAGGATATCTCAATCTCGGAGTCTGGGGACACATTCATGATGAAGGGATGTATTTGATGGTGGGAAATCCAATGGCAAGTATAAGATGATGCCTATGATTCGGCTTTAAGGGGGATATCAGATCCAGGGTGGCGGAGATTGCGAGGATCAGATAGGGCCACATGATGCATGATCTTGGTAGAGAGCACTGATGACCGAGTACCGAACATCGAGTATCAAAGATGCACTGAGTACTGGTGATTGAACTGAGGGCCGAATACCAAATATCAGGTATCCCAGGTAGGATCACAGAGTCAATGCTCCATACCGAGGACAGGATCTCCAGGATCGTGGACTGAATGCTGCACAAGGATCGATTACCAGAGAGAGTTCACTGAGTCTTCAGTACCGAGTACTGATGACGGAGCTCCAAGGACCAAGTCCTCAGACCCGAGTCTACAGTAACGAGCACCGGGCACCGAGCACCAACCGCCAAGCACCGAGTGTCGAGCACTCGGAAATTCATTCTTCAGGCATTCAGTCGCAGTCATCAGTACTGAGGATCGGGCGCCAGGACCCAGGACCTGGGTGTCCTTGTTACTTGGTACTCGGTAAAGACCAAGGACCGAGGACCGAGCAATCAGACCCGACGGTGCACTGACGAGTGCCGAGCACCGAGCACCAACTGCCAAGCACCGAGTGTCGAGCACTCGGAAGGTCATTCTGGAGGCATTCAGTGCCAGTCTTCACTACTGAGGAGTGGGACCCAGGAGACCTCAGTACTCGGTATTCGGTAAAGATGGAGCACCGAGCAATCAAACCTGACGGTGCACTGACGAGTGCCGAGTGCCGAGTCCTAACTGCCAACCACCGAGTGTCGAGCACTCGGAAATTCATTCTGGAGGCATTCAATGCCAGTCATCAGTACCAAGGAGCGGGACCCAGGACCCGGAGTCTTCGGCCCTTGGTACTTGGTAAAAAGTGCTGATGGGTCGGTCCTCGGTGCTCACTCTGTATGTGGGACTCGGTGATTCTGTACATTTGAATATGTCTACGGTATATACATGCTGGCGTGCTGAAGCATAACAGCCTTCCTATGGATCCCAATCATTCCTGCAATCCATTGCCGCACACCCCCCTGGCTCGCTGCAATCGGGTGAGGATACCAGTGTACATATGTATCTCACCCATCTTATCTCTGATGCCCTCCCACTGTTCTTCGATCAATGTCACCAATCATTCTCGAATCCACCGAAGTCCCATAAGAGATGGGATGGAGGTTTGATCCACTGTCTCCGGAAGAATCAGACCATCATCCTCAACACCGCCCTGGATGTTTCGATTCATCAACTGTAATTAAAATGGTGCTCGGTGCTTACCAGCCAGTGCTCATAGTGGAATCCACAACACTCCATGACCCGATTCCATCACCAAGGTTCGTTTGGAATGGTGGTGTGCCCCATCCACCACAGAGTATCATAGTCTGGAATGATGTGCGAGGGATCGCTGGGAGCTGCGCGATCTTGAAGCCGACCCAGATGAGCTGCGAAGACATGGTCCGGAACCTCGGTCCAGCTTTGCTGCGGGATCAAGAGCAGCAGATGAGCGATGGGGATTGGCATGAATGAAATGATGTTGTGTGCAGCTGAGTACTGCAGGACCAGTGTCACAAAGGTCTGTCGGCGATGTCAGAATTGACTACAACATAGACATCATTCACTGCTCACCGAGATCTCCCATTGAAGCCCAGTTTTGAAGTGGGTGATTCGTGCGCACAGCAAATCCATTTCAGCTGCTTCTTTCTGATATTGAGCAACACATGCTCGGATTCGTGATGCAGCCATCGCCAATGTAGCTGCAATATCTGCGGCGCTGAGAGTGATCGGCTGATAGGGAAGATCTCTATCTTGGCTAGCAGAAGTCGATGTACCACGTGGATGTGAGTCAGACATGTCCAATGGAAGAGTAGACACAATGGAAATAAGAATAACAGTAGTTCAGGGCGTCAAAGTACGAGTGGCAATAACAATGACAGTGGTTCAGGGTGTAGATATATGGGCAGCTGATGGATGGATGACATTTTCAAACTCTGCCATCATTCCCGTGACACAACCGAACCCCAGGCCACACAATGATTCACATTACTAGGATGTATGCTAGAAATTTGCGGTGGTTAATATTCACTCATCTTCGGGATATATTGGCATCATCGTAAGATCCTGAAAAGCAGCCTGTGCATCCTGTGCAAGCAATGAGTACATTCGGGATTGTCTTGCCACGTAGCAGGCATGACCCCGAAGCCAGGCTGTCCAATGACTCCCTCATATGTGCATCCCATTGGGCTGCTTTGTGCAAGAAGAAGTTGCATGTCCAGTCCATCTCCAGTTCCACCACCGTAAGTTCTTCAATCCATCGATCCCTCAGAGCCTTTGCCCAAAGCCAATGAACTCAGTAAACTTCACACCGGTTTGGTCAGATCATCCCCGCATTTTGAAAGTATGCCCGAACTTACATTCGTCATTCCACAACTCACTCGGCCCCGATAAATCGATGTTGAGAGACCAGAACCAGGCAAGGGACTCATTCCGCTGACCTCAGGCATTTGGATCACCGACTGCAGTGCTGATCTTGAGCTGTTCTCGGAGCAGAGGTTGGTATTTCTGAAGCTGGTGCTGCCCCGGACCAAGTTTCATCATTTGCTTCCTTGTCCTGTTGTATATACTGGCATTCAGAGACACGGCCTGCTGAACCGACATCACCTGGGACCATGCCCAAGTCTTCAAAGCTTGTGACTTCACCTGCCTAACAGTGGTTCGGAAAAGGACCACCTTGTTGCACAAGTGTATTTGGAGATTGTGAAGGGCATCATTGGCCTGTCCTTCACGAAGCGACATCTCCAGCAGAATCAGATCCTCTGCTAAGCAGTGTTGGAGTCGGTCCAGCCCGACATTGGATGGCAATGGGATGACAGTGAGCTTGGGTGTGTTTCGGTAGGTATCGAGAGTCTCGGTGAACTCATCTGGGCCATCATCAAGATCATCGAGAATTGCACAACTCAAGTCCTCCGGATCTTCATCACTATCGAATCCATCTCTGAAATGCAGGAGAGTGGACTGAGTGAATCCATCGATCTGTCCCTGCACCCAATCGCATTGACGGGCGATGCTTAATCTCTGGGTCTCAGTAGGTCTTTGTCCGAGTCTACAGACCTCGATGAGCAATGCGATCTGAGCTTCTTCGATCGCCAATCCCATTGGTATCCATGTTGTGACCAATTGGCGGGAAGGTGATGAATGATGAGCATCATTCTCCTCCAGTAATCTCAGCTCGATCTCCTTCTTGCTCGGTGCTGCAGGCGCCATAAGGTCAAACACTTTGATGTCCATGGAATGATCTCACCCTTCCGGATATTGATCTCATATATGTCCATTGCAGCGGGATCATGTATTCTGCTTGACTGCGCGACCCTTTCACTCGCCAACCACAGAGTCTTTGAACTTTCTGGTGCCCCCTCATTGAGTCTATCAAATGCCTTCCCACTTTCGGCGATGCCATGCTTTGCCCCTTTGAATTTCCGGCAAAGCGTCCTTTTCATGCGAATCATCTTGCAAAAATTGGAATCGTTCATCTGAAAATCTAGACATTCTTTTCTATGTGGCGACGACATTCCCCAAGTGGAAGGAGATATGAGGTTGAGGGGGGCCCACAGGGTCTCCATGATCTCTCCATCGATGTGACCTATGCCTTCGATGAAGTTCGACACATATCTCACATAGCAGCTGTCCTGATGTCCATGGATATGCCAAAGCCTGATTCCAGGAACTATGGTCAGCTCCGGAACCATTGTCAAGAACAGACCTCGATCGACCCGAGTGCGAAGATGCTTGTTGTATTGACAGTTGATGTCGTAGAAGGTGACGGCCCTGGTGATGCCTTTCATGTTGTATGATGCAGCCTCGCATAGGGCATAATCCATGTTCATCTGTCTGAAATCAATTCGTGGTTACTTCCAGGCCATGGAATGTTGATTTTCACTGACCTCTCGCCTTTCTGAAAATCTACAATCGAGTGGGGAACAAAACAGCCATGTTGGGCACAGGCCACCCCCCCCCCCCCCCCCCCCGATCCCGGTGGACTCCAGCTTGTGCTGAGCCGCATTCACTTGATTGATAGCTCGATGATTGTTGCAGCTCGACCTTTCCAAAGAATCTGTAGCTACTGCAAGATGCCTCTGGTACCTGTCCTTTCCAACCATAAATCCAAATCCATTGGACAGCCATACTTCATCGTCCAGGTTGATAGGATGCAGGTGTTCCGCTTTGAAGTTCCCATCCATCACAAACGACCTGGTGTATTTCCAGCTTGAAGTTGTTAATATCCTCATCCTTTATTGCATATTCACGAAGACTCACTCATCAAGTGATTCTTCTGTCGTCAGAGATAGATTAATGCTGGGCTGAGGACATGCCGGGCAGAACAATGCTAGGTCCCCTGGCTCGCGGTGGTTGGAATGATGGCTGAAGCCATGCCACTTCATGTTCTTCAAGTGTCGCCACTGCCGGGAGACCCTCATGAGCTCTCGGTATTGATCCTGCCCATGTCCCCTGTGAGTATAAACATCCTTAGAAGGTATAGACTGTCCCCTACTGGCACGAGGTGTGGAAATGTGCTTGAGGTCATTCGCCGAAGCTTGTTGTAATAATTCATTGCCGAGGTGCCACATTCAAGGTTGTCCAGCAGAAAATCATCGAGAACGCTGAATGTGAACAAGGTCTTCGGCCTGTTGAAAGATGCAGCGAACAAGCTGTGTCGAAACATTTGAATGTCTGGACTCATTGCATCAGGACAGCCACAGCATTGCACCTCGAGCCAGTGGACTCCAGACCTGTCGACAATGACCATGGTATTGTCCTTTGGCTGGAACTCAGGGCCCGAGACAGATGGTAAATCTTCTGGTTTGATGTGGTCGTTGGATTCATCTTCTTGAAACAAATCCCACTTATCCATGAGAACCGGACATTGCTTTCCCTCATGACCGAGGTGTATCACGAGTCCGACATGAGCGAGACAACTTTGCTCGAAGAACTGACCATTCCACTGACTGATCCAGTGGAAGGGATTGCATCGATGTTGACTCCTGCAGCAGCCCGTGCAATACAGAGGCTCCCCAAGACAATCTTGACATTTGTATACCCCATTCTGATCACAGATGGAGCACCTCCTATTTACTGGGGGAGCTTCTCAATCGAGGAGGTGATGGAGATATGATTCCTGCTTCGGCAGCCATTGCCTGAGGTAATCGTTCTGACTCTGCATTGAATTAATTCAGCCATGTTTCGATCGACCGTGCAACATCTTCAATGAACTTGCCATGGTTTTCGGCAGGTGCAAGGGCTCAAATGATCCTTCATTGAGCTCATATGCATCATCGGCGATGTCTTCCCACAAAGGCGGAGCCTGAGCAGGATCGAGTGTTGGTGATTCCGGGGGGGATGGAGGCATGCACCTGCGGGCACGTTTCATCATGCTAGCCAGTGGGACCTTGACCCATCTCTTCCTACCTTTCCTGCCCCTTGCTTCCACCCTGTATGATTTCTGCACAGGGGTCGATGGAGTGATCTTAATCTTACTTCTGATGTCGTTGGCTGAGGTTTCGCTGAGGGAGGTCAAACAATTTGTGATTCCATTATGGGGTCATCCAGTCTTGTTGTAGGCTTATTACGAATTCATTTGGATGCAAGGCAGTGCGTCCGAAATTCATTGATGAACCAAGATGTAAGGTTTGCTCAGATTTGAACTCAGGACAATTATTTCTTCAACGTTGCCTCCCATACATGCATCCTGCACTCCATTTTACATCCTGTACTCCATTTTACATCATGCACTCCATTTTACATCCTGCACTCCATTTTACATCCTGCACTCCATTTTACTATGGCTAGATCGGGGGATTCCATTCACTTCTCAGACAGAAGACACAGACGACGTTTACAACTGAGACAAAAGCTCATGGAACAAGAGATCTTGGAACTCAAAAACTACCTTCCTGAGTGGACTGCCGCAAAACAGCACGAGAAACCAGGAATATTCACAGCCATAGCTCGAGCGGCAAGGTTGTTTGCTCCGAAGCTTGACCATGGACAATGGAAAAAGAGGAAGCAGGTGATGCATCCATGCAGGTTGAAACCTTAATGTTTTCAACACTAATTGTTTGTTGTTCGCTCAGATCTATAAAACCTGGTTGTTCAACAACAAGAAAAAGAAGGAAACGAAGGACATGATAAAGTATGGGAGGAAATGGACCCCTAGGATGGTGGTCTATCAGCAGAACAGAGATGATGTGCTCAAGAGGATCGAGGCGGAATACGGGGCGAAGCCAGGAGCTCCGGATATGTTCAAGTATTACCAGGCAACCATCCGGAAGGTGATGGAAGAATTGTCTGATGAAGAGTTGGAGAAGGCGAAAGAAACAGCCGACGAATGGTCCAACAACATTCCTCCTCCCGAGATCCAAGTGCAAGTCGCCAGTAAGAAGGGACCCGCATACATGGAGCACTTCTCCAATGAGATGTGGAGACAATGCAGGATGAGAGTGTTTGTATTGTCTGCCTGGAAGAATGAGCAGGGCAAAGTGCTATTTGGAATGTGAGTGCATTGCAAATGTCATCCTAGACCTGATATCTCAACAGATTTCCTGTAGGCACGATGATAATGAGGCATTGGGAGACGGGGACAGCTTCATGAAGACAAAGGACTGGGAGGATATCGAACCAATTTGGCAGGAGTATGCACAAGCACAGTTCGGTGAGTGTTACAGCTATTGGGATGTGGAGGGTGACATTGATGGTTCCTGTGATAGGTGCCAAGGCAAGGGATGGCGAATGACAGGAGAAGGGACATCAAAAAAGACCTATGAAACCGGCCTTCGAACTGGACATGAACGGGGAAGGCATCCCTTTGCTTCCGGACACCGTGCAAACAAAGCTCGAGGAGAAGAAGGCAATAGTGAGGGCGTTTCTTACAACACACTCTCGTGAGTTTGCAGTGGCAACATCCTGCGAGAATCAGTTGACCGGATGTGACCAGGACTCTGTTCTGGCATTGACAAGGCTGTCGTCCCTTGGAGCGCCATCGTAGAATGTGAGGATGACTTCATATCACCGATGTATCTTCTGAGCGGGGTGCATTTGAAGGACCCTTCGAAGTTGCAAAACTCTGATGCAACAGCCTTGCTGAACTTCTGGTATGCTCGCCAGGAGAATGGTGATGATCCGATCTTCCTGTTCAAAGCATGGAAGAACAAAGTCGGCAACATGATGAAACCAGTCTCGACCGGGGGATCAGACAAGTCATCGTCCGACAAGTCTCACGCTTGCATCCCTCACTGGGGCATCATGATCAGGAGGCCATGGGATTCATCAACGGAATCCGAGATCAATGGTCGGCTGCACCATGCCCTCGCTGCCAATGCCCACCGGCTCTCCGAAAACAACCAAGTGTCATTGGAGGATGATAGTCTGGGGGATGATGACTCTGGCATGGATGAGGATGGTGCTAGAACCGTCCATAAGGGGGTTCAGGTAGCACCAGGACCGCTGTCAGCCCGGATCATCGGGCAAGGAGTGCGACACCCGCTCCCAAAGCCTCACCCGGTGAGGCCAGCAAGGCCAGTGCAACAGGCTGCTTGTCCACTGCTGGGGTCACAGATGGGTGATCTCCTCGCAGGGTTGACTCATGCAAACCGAGGAGTTGACCGTCAAATGAAGCTGCGACTGAGGAGGAGACACATGCGTCCCCGGTGTCAAAGGAAATCCAATGACAGAAAAAGGTGATTGTGGGACCTCCGAGCAGAACTCGAAGTAAGACCATGGAAAAGTCATTAGATATTCCTAGGAGAGTCACTAGAGCGAGGGCAGGGAAGTAATTGCATCATACCACATCGTGTCAGTGTAGTCAGCCGAATCCTCCGAGAGTACTGAGTATCAAGAACAATGACCATGTAGTCTGTGCAATACACAGATCATCAACCATCAATGCAGATGACAGAGTACCGATGAATGATTGCCGACGACTTAGAACCGCCAATTGAATACCAGCGGCCTATTACCGACCACTGACTGCTGAAGACCGAGCACTGAATATCGACTGCTGAAGACTATGTATTGATGATCAACTGCCAAGGACAAAGGACTTCCAACCAAATACCAATGGCCGATTACCGATTACCGAGGGCCGACGGCCGATTGCCGATGACCGATGATCAACTGCCGATGTCTGGTCGTTGGCAGTCGATAGTTGGTTGTCGGCAATCGGCCGTCGGTACTTGGCCATTGGCACTCGGTTGTCGGCAATCGGCCATTGGTATTCGGTTGGAGGTCCTTGGTCCTCGGCAGTCAATCTGCATAGGGCCAAACGCCAAATTGCCAACGACCGATGATCGACTGCTGACGACCAGGATGCTGAGGATCAGCCATCAAGTGCAAAGGGCCAAACACCAAATGCCTTGCTGGTAGGTGGATGTTGGTCGGCAGTTGGCAATCGGCATACAGGACTTCATTGTCAACGGTTGTTTTTGTGATCGTTAGGGCTTGGGCATCGGTACTCGGTAACCAATGCTTGACGATCACTCTTCAATGCAGAGAATGGAGATCTCAGTTGTCGGTCAAAGTATTTTTAGTCAATTGTGCCCAGTTGTGAAGTCAAAGGGAATCTCCTATTCCATGTGTCTGGTGGAAGCCACATATGATGATTGTACACTAATATGAGGATTATGGTTGTGTGCTATCTACATCTTCAGGTATCCTACTTTGACCCTGGTGAATTTGGGTCTCGAACCGTTGAATCAGTGAATCTACTACTTTGAGCATTTCGATGCTCGCCCGCTCGGCCCTCTGCATCCTTTGAAGCTCCTGATCGGCCTGTGCCAGCTTGTCGGATGTCTCTGCCCAAGCAGTTCAAAATGGTCGCTCTGCCTCCAGGAGCTGCAGTATGGACGGGTCAGGAAGGTTTCCATGAGTAGTTGTGAAGTTGGCCAGTCGGGCTTCAAGATTCTGCACTACGATAGCAATGAGAACAACATGCTGACATAGACCTGCAATTAATACTTACATCCGACGTCATGATATGACCCAAAAGGCCGGAACTCCCGAACCATAGCTTGGAGCTCCTCGTTGTCGAGTGCCGGAGGTGCCAGAAGGCAGTCAGCATTGGGTGGATTCACTGATGGAGTGAATCAGGTATGGAATTCCTAGTGTTGCAAAGCACTTACAATATTCCATGGGTTCATTGGACATCTCTTCTGGCCCAAGGTACAGTGCCGGACTGATGGCTTGGCCTGGGGGATCACTGCTTGCATGGTGGGATGGCTCGGGCACACCAATCCCACCATCAAAGTTGTCTTCCAGGCCGAGATATAGCTCCTGACTGATGTGCGGGGGCATGGATTCGTACTCCACCTCATCGTCCGGCCCAAGATACAAGTCATCTGATTGTATGTGTTAACGAATAGAAGTATGTAGGAAGACATCTTACCGAACATCGGCCATTCCTCTCCCATCCACGGATCTGTCAAGCTTGTCGACGATTGTGCTTGACCACCGTCATCGATGTCCATTTCAATGATGTCAGTCACCAGTGGTTCCATGAATTGCACTGTGGGGTGAGAGTGCATTGGGCTTGATGGTCTAACTGATCCACAGATCTCACAATTTGATCCTTGAAATGAGTGGATTATTCACAAACTCCCGAAATGTGAACATTGTGCAAATAATCCACAACAATGAAATATTTATTGACCGAAGTTCGATTGACTTGTGTCTTTGTAAAACTGCTTCCTTGCCAGCTGTCACTAAATTTCATAACTTTTATTATCGATACATTCATCCTCAATGTCCAACCAAGCTGACAAGTCCATGGCTGATCTCAAGGAGATCACTGGCCAACTTCTTGTGATCGTCCGCGCTGCCTGACAAATTCCCCCTGGTCCAAGTCACTTCACTCTGGCAACCCAGGCAAGTGAATTAGTGGTGCGTATATGATATCAAACACATATTATACATGATTGCTCATCTTCTATCAGGCAAGGGCAGTCCGGGATCATGGCGACTCAACATGCCTTCCCGGTCTTGTCTTGTCTTGTTCACAGGAGTTCATCCGGACTTGCAACTGTTCTCCGCAGGAGACCCTGAACTGGCGGAGCATCAGCCATGACGACCCTTGACTCATGCAGCACAGCTGGCGCAGCAAGGCCCTCACCTGGCAAGCCTTGGGCGACCACTCGTTCGATCTCACACACGAGGTCGATGGTGGTGACACTGACAATGCTCCCGGTCCCTCGACAAGCATGGATGGTGATGCTTTGGAGAAGGGGAAAGGGAAGGCGAGGGAAGTGGAGCCGGAGAAGGAGAAGGAGAGGGAGAAGCTGAAGGACGAGCAGGAGAAGCCGCACAGGAAGTGGCCTTTCTCCCAGATGTCAAAGCCGGTCCTAAAGTCGGCGATGAAGACACCGAAGAGGGGAAAGTCAGGGCAGGAACGGAAATCGAGGGAATTGGTGGATTCATTGGACAAGGAGGAGGAAGAGGACGGGTCCTCGAAGGTATGTTTTGTTTTTTCTATGTTGATGTTCACTCATGCAGTGGTGTAGCCACGCTCAGACACACCATCGGTGATTGTCACTTGGCGGGTTTCCCCTGCCCAACCATCAAGGCCCTCTGGGCCTCCCCGATCCCCGGGCTCTCCGAAGAAGGCCCCCTTTGGCCCTGGAATAAGCTAGACTGCTTACCTCGGGTCCCCAAATCTAACATTCAGCAGACACCTCCGCTCATGCGCCCTGACATCCCCGAGTCATCTCAAGCGACTTCCGAGAGCCCGAGGGATGTGGCCCCAGTTGTGGATGCCGGGGCCATTCTCATTCCGGGACCGGTGAGTCCCACAAAGATATATTTCGCTGTCCCAACTGACTGACCATCCCCCACAGAACAACCCATGCAGGTGTTGCACGCAGTATGAGCTGCTGTGTACCACCAGGTTCGATAAGCGGAAGGGCACGGCCCTTATGTCATGTGTCCTGTGCACGACGAAGAAGGTCAAGTGCATCTCAGCATGTCTTGGGTCCCTAGCCTCCACCACTCGAGGACGGTCTACCGAGTGCTTGAGGGCCTCCTCGACAGGCCCATTGACCTCCCAGTCAACAGTGCGGACCTGAAGCCAATCCTGGGGGCCGTCGGTAGCTCCGAGTGAGCCTTGGGGCATCCCACCCAAGCCATGGTCCTGGGGCCGAAGCAAGCCCTTGGGCTCGGCGACAATGCCTGTCCCCCCTGCAGCTGGTAAGTCAATTCAATTGATGAAACATTTACCGTTATTGATTCAATTCCAGTCATTGCATCATCGAGTTTGGCTGCTCCCCATGCAGCCCAGGACCTCCCGATCCCAGACCTCCACTGGATGTCGATCGCGAGAGCGCAAATCGCATCGCAGCTCTGGAGGCTTGTGCCTCTGAACAGGAGAGCACAATCAATACACTCCGAAGGCTGCATGAGAGCCTTCGGCGTCAGATCATGCAGCAACATCCATCATTCCCCCTCCTGGATTCTCCTCCCACTGCAACTTCGTCTCTACTCCTTGATCAAGCCGCTCCCGGGTCGCAGTCCCATGTGCACTTGGCACCCTTGGCACTCATCAACTTCAGCATCAACTCGACAGGCGAGGAAGCCTCCACCATTGTTGCCCCAGTAATGGAGCCAACAATCCCGCCCTCTCAGACTGAAGCAGCATTGGACACTGCTCCTGCCATTGCATCGACAGTTCCCGTCAATGCAGTTCACAGCCCGGCCGATGATGGCGCCTCCACCTTCGCATTGGCCTTCGCACTTCTGGGCCCCCCGGAAATGTACCCCAGCCCTTTGGAGACTCCCGCAGACAGCCTCCTGGAAATGCACCCCAGCCCTTTGGAGACTCCCGAGGATGGCCCGGGCGCCGCTGAGATTGTTGAGTGTGGGTCGCCCCTCAACCTCCTTTCAGAATATGATTCTGGTGATGAGCAGGACGCCACAATGCAAATGTAGATATACCACGATCCATTGTACTATAGTGTGAATACTATGAATTGTTTGTACCATAGAATTGTAGAGTACTCAACAATCAGTACCGCATACCCAACATTATGCAAACCTCTGAGCCCCGTGCATGTAACAAAGAGTCCCAAGGACCGAGTCCCGAGCATCTCGGTGCTCAGTACTCGGTCTTTGCCTTTCCGCTTTCAATCCTTGGCTCTCCGAGTCCCGAGCATCTCGGTGCTCGGAACTCGGTCTTTGCCTTTCAGCTTTCAATCCTCGGCTCTCCGACCTCGATACCTCAGTAGTTGGTTCGGCTCTCAGTACTTGATACTGGGTGACTGGTTCGCAATCCCCAACCCTTTGTACCAGTACTCAGTTCTCAGTACTCAGTACCTGGTTCAGCCCTCGGTACATGTACTCGGTACTTGACACTCAGTGACCGGTTCGCAATCCCCAACCCTTGGTACCCGGTACTCAGTTCTTGGTACTCGACCCTTGCTACTTGATCCTCGCTGCCTGGTTCGATATCCCCGATCCTCAGCACTCAGTTGTCAGCCCTTGGTCCTCAATCCTTGGTACTTGATACTCGGTGCCTGGGTCGCCATCCCCAGCCCTCGGTACTCAGTACTCATTTCTTGGAACTCCACACCCGGGTCGCGATTCACCATCCTCGATCCTTGGTGCTCAGTACTCAGCTCTCGGTACTTGACCCTCGGGACTTGATCCTCGCTCTGCGGTTCGCCATCTCCAATCCTCAGTACTTAGTATTCAGTACACGGTACTCCATTGGCCATACTCGGTACTCACGGTTTGCCACCCTTGATCCTCGGTACTCGGTCCTTCAGTACTTGATCCTCGCTGCCCGGTTTGCCATCCCCGATCCTCGGTACTCAGGACTCGGTACTCGGTGCTCTGTTTGCCATACTCAATACTCATTTATATGACGGTTCTTGCTCCTCGATCCTCCATGCTCAATAATCATTGATGCACCTACATCATCTAACCGATTGGTCTGATTTACCACCACTTCAACCCATCCATCCTCACAGCATTCATTCATCTCGGTCCACCCATACATACTTTACATATCCACCTTGGCCTACCGGTGTATAAGATATTCATTCACCTCGGCCCACCTGTTCATCTCATATACATATGAGATCCATCTATCTCAACCCATCCGTCTATATGATATATGTCTTACCTTGGCCCACCCATATACGATATACATCGATCTCGGCCCATCGGTACATATGAGATTCATCTCCCTCGGCCCATCCATCCATATGATATGCATCTCTCTCAGCCCACATCTACCTCGGCCCATCTGTCTATATGATACATCTATCTTGCCACATCCATCCATATGATTCACATCCACTTCGGCCCATCCGTCCATATAATATACTAATACCTCAGCCCACTCATCTTTATGATCCATCTCCCTCAGCCAACTCGTCTACTGTATTCTACTCTAGATATTACCTAGATGGGCCCACCCATCTCCATCGGGAATAATTTGCCTCTTGGCCCACCCATCTTCAATGAGGATATTATTACATCAGCCCATGGTCCGCTAACCCGTCTAAGACAGTGTATTATGTCCCTCGGCTGGCCCGTCTAAGACAGAGTTTGGTCACTGTAGTATGTGGGAGGTGACGGGTACGGAGTTGGGTATAGATGCTGGTCTGTCGTCTTGGGAGGGTAGCAATGAGCTTGATGAATTTGTTCGAAGGCATGGTAGGGTCAATGTTCTTTGCTCTTGCGTATCGCAGAGATTTCTTCCATTTATCAACCCATCTCTTGTTCAGTGCGTCATTGTGCCACTGCTTTAGGGCTGATACACTATCTGGAAGCGGGTCGTCTCTGAGAAAGGTGGGGAGTGATCTTGGTGCACTGTTCTGATTGGGTCCTTCTGCTGCTTCTTTTGCCGCTAGATCTGCTAATTCATTACCGAGTACTCCTTCGTGTCCAGGTATCCATCTTATCGTTAAGTCAAAGTTGCGCCCCTGCTCTCTTCTGCGTTTCGCTAGGTATCTCGTCATGCTGCGGAAGTTCTCTACTAAGTATCCACCTGGTTTCAGTGTTATGACTCTCACCGGATTGTATTACTGCTTGGTTGTCGATAAGTATGGATGCTGGGTATTGGCTGTTCAGCTCCGTTGCTAATAGTTTGACCGCCAGGGTTAGACCAACTACTTCCACTTCATAGACCGTATGTGATTTGTCAGGGCCGAGGTGGTACTTGAGTATGCAAGGTTCCTTGCCTTCCCTTATGACCACCGCTGCAGCACCTATCCCTCCATCATGCCCTGAGCCGTCGGTGAAGATCTGAATTACGTCTTTTAACTCCTTCTGCTCCTTGATCGCTTGTTCTTTCTTGGGTGTGATGTGGGTGCTATGGGCATTCGGTGTCATTGCATTTGATCTGCAGGTAGGATCTAGAGTTTCAACATTATCGGGGAAGATCTTGAAGGTGGCTAGGAGGTTGTGTAGAGACGATTGGTGGTGTTTGATGTTATAGTGCTTGGATATGTGTTTTAGGTGCTTATGGAGGGGGTGGCATGATGGGAGGGTAGCTAGTCGAAGTGCCACTCGGTGACAGGTGCGCTGAAGGAGTAGGTCTGTGGGGAGGAGATTAGTGTGGGTGTCAAGTATGTCAGTGGCCGTCGATCTCATGGCCCCAGTGATACTTAGTGTCACGATTCTTTGTACTTTTGCTAGTCATGCAGCTACTCCTCTCGATCCTCACTGCTCTTTGTTGGAACCATCAATGTATATGGGTCTGAACCATATGTCTGCTCCATATGTGAATTTCGGGATAGTGACCGTGATATACAGCTGACTGCATTAGCTTTGCTGATACTCCATTGGATGGTTTCGAGAGGCAGTGGAGTTGGAGTACGTATTCGGTTCCTTTGGCGATAGCGTGACCTATATGATATGACCAAATTAGCTCCTGATCAACAATTAAGCCGAGAAAACGATGGTGCTCAGATGGGTTGATGATTGTGTTTTGGATGGTGATAGGGGGCCTTATTCTTGTTCTACTATGTGTAAAGTTGATGAGGGCAAACTTGTTGACTTCAAACTTGGAGTTGTGATCTCTTGACCATTGTAGCGTGCCGTCAGGTCTTTCCATCATATCCTTGAGGGTTCTGTGGGTGCCTTTGAACGTGGAACCAATAGCGATGTAGGCCGTGTCGTCGACGAAAGCTAGGGCGAGTTCTCCATTGTCTGGGTTGGCAATATCTATTAAGTTGGCGTTATATATGAGGTAAGCGATCATAGAGAGGGGGTCCCCTTGTCCGATGCCATTGCGGATCTCTATCCAGTCTGAGGTGGAGTTGTTGAATCTTAGTTGAGTACAGTGATCTGTGAGCATTCTTTCCGTAAATTCGATGATTTCTGGGGGGAGTCTACATTTGTGCATGTTGTGAGCTAGACGGTTGGTGACCGCATTCAGGAACGCTCCTTCAATGTCCAGGAAGAGGATGGACGCTACTTTGCCTTTTTGCCAGGCATTTTTGATCGTTGTTTCTAGCAAGTGAAGAGAGTCGGTAGTTGTTCGTCCAGGGCATCCTCCAAAGTGCATATTTGGCAGGAGATTGTAGCATTCTATGATATGGGTGGTTTGTTCCGCTACTAGCACCATTAACAACTTGCAGGTCATGTTGATGAGGGCTATTGGTCTGTAGGCTTTAGGTATGGAGTAATTGGCTTTTCCTGGTTTGCGTAGAACCACCGTGGTGAACTCCCTCCAGGGATCATAATACGTCTTAAGGGAGAATACGGCGTTGAATAGATGGAGAAGGTATGGGGTGAGTATTGATGATGCATGTTTAAAAATGATGTTACAAATGCCGTCTGGTCCAGGCGCTTTGTAGGAGCTCGTGTTGTTTATTGTGCGTTCAATTTGTTCTTCGGTGATGGGCATGAAGGACGTGACTGGGGTTGGGTAGTTGAAATCTTCTGGGATTGTGCTTGAGGCAGGAGGTGGCGGGAAGAATGAGTCGGTGAGTGCCTTGCTTTTGTCGGCATTTGTGATAGCTTCTGTGGGCAGTCCGTTAGTATTCTTAGTTTTGAGAATGGGTACACTTGTCCTGCTGCTGTCTCCTGATGGCGAGGAGACAAATTTATTCGCGGTATAGATGCTTTGCTGGTCTAATTCTTCCAGGAAGTCGATCCAGTGTTCTTGTTTAGTTTTCCGAATGGACTTGGTAACTTTGTTGCGAAATTTGTGGTGTTCCTTGTGTATTGGGTGATCTGGTAGTCCTCTTAACTTACAGGATAGGCCACTTAGCTTGTTCTTTTCTTTCATCATCTTCGTCAAGTCTTTCGTCCACCATCTCTTTGCGTGTGGGCTGGGCTTCGTCATTGGTACCTTGTCTTCTATTGCTTGTTTGAGGGCATTACTGAGGTTGGAGGCAGCTGTTTGGAATTGTTGCTCAGAGGTAATTATTGCCGGGGGGGTATAGTGTTAAGATGGTGGGTGAGACTACCGCAGAATGCTTCCCAGTTGACGTCTCAATAGTTGTACATGGTTGAGTTCGATGTGTGTGGGATTTCGAGGTCTAGAGTACAAATTATAGGGACATGGTCAGTACAGGGTGGGCGCTGTATCACATAGGGTGAATGCATTGAGGGAGTGAGCTGTACAGAATACGTTATCTGGTCTCGTCCAGTTGCCGCTGCTAGAGGATTGTAGGGTGGGTATGTCTCGGGGTAGCACCATACTCAAGTTGCGGTCCGCCATTAGCTCAATTATGCGTTGGGCAGCTTCCTGTGCTTCTGGGGGGGAACAGAGGTGGGTGTTGTGTGCTTCTTCCCATAGGTGATGATGGGCGTTGAAGTCGCCCATGAGGATGATATGGTCATTTGGGCTGGGGCGGATGGTGCAAATTTTGTTGTCTAGGTAGGTGTTCAATAGGGGGAGTATTTCGCATTTCTTGCTGTCGTTGTATATATTGAAGATGGTGATTTTGCCGAAGTTGCCGTTAAGTTGAACAACTACTACATCTGCTGATGGGAATGGGAGTTGATGCCAGTTATTAGTATTGATTCGTTTATGGATGAGGGTGACTGCTTGCGATCAGCTCTTGTGGGTGTATTTGTGCATCAGATAGATGATGTTCCAGTCCGGTGTAGCCCTTGTGTTACCTAGGAAGTCAATATGAGGTTCCTGTATAGCTACAATGTCATAATCTTTTGCTGTGAAGGGACCACTTAGTATACAGTGTTGAGCAGTAGATGACTTATTGAGGTTTTCCTGCCATATGCGTAGTCGGACAGTTTCGTGGTCTGGTGTATTAATCATAATGATAGTTGGGATTGGGGGCTGGTGTGTGCGATTGGAAGTAGGGGTCGGGGTTAGGAGAGTATTGCGAGGTGAAGGGTGATGAGCGGGATGACATTCTCACTTGTGGAGGGAGGTAGCAGCCTCGTGTGCTCCTGGTTCCTCTCATTTGAGGTGCTTCTCTTGGGACGAAGTGCCTGTCTAGGGTTTCTTGGGAGCGGCGTGGGGGTTCTTGCTGAGTCTTGCATTGTGGTTTGGCATAGGGTTTGGGTCTGGGGGGTGCCTGTGCATGAGTCCAGCTTTCATCCATTGGGAAGTAAGGTAGGGTGTTGTCTAGGTCTCTGGCGTCGAGGTCCGCGCAGCGTTGATTGAACTCTGGGCAGTTTCTGCTCCAGCTGGGGTGGTTGTCCGAATGGCAGGATGTGCATTGTGTGAGGTCTTTGTTGTTGCATTCGTTCGTTCTGTGGTCTTTGGCACAGTTAGCACATGTGTCCCATTGAGCAATGCAGTCTCTGGTGATATATCTGTATCGTTGACATTTGGCGCATTGTACTGGTTCTCATTTGTTTTTCTTCATCTGTAGCTTGTTTTTGTTCAGCATAATGCCATCTCTTATACCTTTATTGGTGGCCGATGGGTCTTTGAGGGTGATGATGAGGTGGGCAACTCTTTGATTGGATGATTGTTTGGCTGGTGGTTTGATCCATCTTGCCGAAGTAATGGAGTTTTCTTCCCATTCGTTTTCTTGTTCTAGGTCGTGTAGTTGTTCTGAGCTACTGGGATCAAATGTTAGAGGAACAAATTGGATAATTACAGGGTAGGAGTGGTCTTTGAGGACCGCTCCAGGGTCCAGCGCTTGAAGGAAGGAGTCTTTGTTGTGTTGGTCTTTTAGGTAGTCTGCCGCCTGAGTATTTAGCATTTCGATGACTGTGCCTCCATTATGGAATTGGGTGACCAAGCGGATACCTAGGTATGGGGTACCTTCCTTGGTGATTTTGGTAAGGGCTTGCTTGATCTTTTCGGTGAGTTGTGCGTGAGATACTTTTCCTGGAGCTATTTGACTATCGACTGGGATATCGATGAGGAGTTGGCGTGCTTTGACTGCATTTCGTGCGGCTCTTTGAGTTGAGTGGAGATTTGCGTTTGGGTCGTCATTGATTCCTGAGAGTAGGGCCATTTTGTATCCATTTTGTACTGGTATTTCCTTGATTTGTGTTCTGAGAGAAACAACTGCTTCCTGCATCTTTTCGAGATGAGAGTTGATGCATACTGGTTTTTTGTTTGTTTCGTTGACGTCATCTAAAATTGCTGATGTGAGTTCTTTGAATTTGTTTTCTGCAGTACTTAGGCTTAGCGCTGATGATGATATGCTTTCAGTGGCGTCTTGTAGCTTGGCTATGTGGGGGGAGACTGCAGATAGAACTAGTTTAGCTATTTTGTTTGCGGTTTCTATTTCCGCTGCCTCTTCAAGTAGGTAAGCTACTGCTCTTATGGCGAGTTGAACTGACATGGTGACTCCTGGCATTTGGGTGATGTGGAACAAGATGTCTGAAAGATTGTCAGTGGAAAAGGGCTTGCCACTCATAGCCATTGCTGTTTGTTCTAGGTGGGTTTGAGCACTTACCGCATCTGTGACTTCACTGTCTGTAGTTCTTATCTCGTGCATTTCTAGTCTAGATGATGATCTTGTCGCTGGGGTAGCTATTTTCTGAATGGTTTTTGGTTTGGGTGGTGGCATTATGCTTTTATGTTTTTTTTTATGTTTTTGTGTTTTTAGTGGGTTGTAACGTCTATTTATATGTCTAGTTGGCAAGAAGGAACGAAGGGAGGAAACAGATAGGGCAAGAAGATGTGGGAAAGGTGGAAAAGGTTTAGGAATTATGGTCTGCTTGAGGCGGTAGGTTGCCATAGGGCGGTACTGACGCTGTTGGGTGCACTGTTGACAAGGAAGTTTCAGGGTCCTAGTCAGGGTGCCACTTGGTGTAGGTCCAAGAGGCAATAACAACAGTGTTTTGACTAACATATCACTACAACTTGATTATAGTAGCATTCCCGATTGCTTCAAGTTGGTTTAGTACCAAGTGGCACCCTGACTAGGACCCCGAAAATGACACCACCCAGCGCCCAATGTTGCTGATTGGTACAATGCTGTCCATTCATTCTCTGCTTTTAATGATGCACAAGACCTTGTGCAAGCCGTGCTTTTGGTCAGCTACATGGAAGACAGAACCATTTGACATAGGCAAGATGTTTTGGAGGCTGGAATGTGGACAGGAAAAGTATGGGGATGGCTTTGGGAGGGATTGAGAATATAACATGAACTTGTGCAATTAAATATCCTGAACAGTAACCACTGAGTACCATGTACCACTGTCACTTCACATAGCACAATTTGGAGTAGCTCACCTCTGATGCTGAGTGACCCACCTGTGCCATCATCAATGAACATGGTATCAAATAAATGTGCAACACTGTTGGATGTAAATATTCTTGAATGTCCAGGACATGCATGTACACTATTAATTGTCACTAGAGGATCACCATGGCCATGAATAGTGTTGTTCCTGGCCTGGCTCGGCTCAAAAGCTGGGGCTAGGGCTCAGCCTGACACAGCTCAGGCTTTGGGAAAATGTGAGCCGGGCCTGCATAGATGGCTCAGGCTTGGCCAGGGCTTGTCACTAGAAAAAGTGCAAATTTCATCTAGTGTTAGTATGTGTACCTCCGCATCCTTGGTATCATCAACATTGCTATCTAAACCATCATCTTCTACATCTTCAATCATGGTATCCCAGCTTTCCCTTTCCTCAGAGTCAAGCCTTCCTTCAGCATCCATATCAGTAACTTCGGTTGCAATACATGGGTCACCTGAGTCTCGAAACAAGAGGTCCCTCTTTATCATGCACTTGAGACACTGGAGAGCTTCAACAATGTCATATTTCAACCAGTTCCGTCACTTACTGATTGTAATGCCAGCAGACAAGAAGGCCCGCTCACTCGACACTGAAGATCCCATTATCGAGAGGAAGTCTCCTGCTATTGCAGCCCAGACAGGATAACAAGGAGCATTAGCTGCCCCCCACTGGACAATGGATTGTCCACCAAGGTGGTCCTTTGAATTAAGGTAAGCACATCTGGAAAAACACTATTTCTCTTTGTATCATAAGTAGTCATAGTTGTATTACAAATATTGCCCAAAGCACCTAGAGGTATATACCTGTGCAAGACAAGTGCCTATCTTTTTAAGACACCCAGAGTACTAGTAGGGCTCCTAGAGTAATATATATACATAATTATGATAGTCAATTCAGCTTGTATGACTGTATTAATTTCTTGATATATATGTTATATTACCTCTTGGGACTATGAAATTCTTATTGCTGCTGACGCTCTTATTACTATTCAAGCTTTGATTGTTATAGGAGATTTCAATAATATAGATGCTATCAAAGCTACTACTAGGTATCAAGCTGCAGATGCTTCCAGTGCATCATAATCTACATCTATCTTACCCTCCTGCCTGCCATTGCCACCGGCACCATTACCATCATCCTCTATATGAAGAAGATAGGTTGTATTAGATTCTTCCCTGTAAATATTGAAGCATGAGAAAAACTATCATGATAAAAAAGAAAGATGCTCACAGAACATTCTGGTACATCTCTTCCCTCATTTTCATTGCCACCTTGAAGCCTTCTCCTGAATATTCTTGAGAAAGCGTAAATAGAATTGATACCTGCATCATATGTTAGTCTAGACACATGTCTGTCTGAAATAGAAAATTAAATACTTTGGTTTATAATACGCATCTCTGAAGTCTTTTTTGATAAATACTTCAGTCTCCCAGCAAGAGAGAGTGCACTCCATCTAAGATATACATGAGATAACACATAATATTTAATATAATGAAATTGACTTACCACTGTTGTGATGAGGGCAAGGAGGGGTAGAGGAGAGTTTCTGAAGTGTTGGATGTAACGAACCCCATCAGGGTTATTGCCTATAAAGAACAGATGATACATGCACAGAAAAAAATGGTTGCCAAAAGGTTTGTTCTGGTTGAAAGTCTTATTCTAGAACAGATCATTAGATACTAGATGGCATTTGCACTCATAGAACATACCTTGATGTCCAAGTCACCAGAAATAAAAGGCAAAGAAATATCTTCATCGCCTTCACCTCCCTTACGAACTTTCTTAAGATCCTTCAGCATCCACTCAACTGCCTCCACAATGTCATTTCTCTTCATCCCTGAAAGTCCCAATGCATCACCTATAGTCTCCCTAGCTTTGTTGGCCACTGTTCCTCTCATAGATGAGACGCCCTTCCACATTTGATAACACAAGTTAGAATTAAGTCAGCTAAGAATCATAGAGGTGGTACATAGTCTATGAGCATCGCTTTGATCTTCTGCACCTTCAACTCTTGCTCCATAAGTTGTTTTAATTCCTTGCGAGAAGCTATAACTTCCTCCAAGCGCTTCCAGGAGAAAGAAGCTTTGGTGGTGCTGTCAGGAAAAGTGTTTTGAGTAGCAATATACATGCGTAGATAATCATGTCCTGCTATAGCAAGATCTCTGACACTCTTCTCCAGTATAGACAAAGTGACTTGCTCCTTTCTGGTGCCATTGTGAGATCTCTTGCGCTTGCCAACAGGTGGACCCTCTTCACTGACCTCAATTATCTTGAAGTACAGCATTCAAAGGTCAAATGATATATTGTAAGGCAACTTGACACTTACGTCATTACTATTACCCTCCTCTCCATTCTCCCCTCTGCTTTCCTGATCATTCTCAGTATTTGAAACACCTGCTGATCGCCTAGGTTTTCAAAAGATTCAGACATAATAATAAAAGTAAGCACCCACATTTATTATTTTTGTCAAGACACTCCATCTCTGTCTCCATCTCCTGACTCTGGTCCTCTTCATCAGAGTCAACTTGTCTATGTGATGAAGATCTAGAGTTGATGACAGGAGGCAGACTTCTTGCTAGAGCCTCCTCATCTTCATCTAGGTCATCATTATTGGGATCAGTAGGTAGGTTCCTCCTGATGCGCTTTGGAGAGGAGGGTTGGGAACACTCTTCCTCCTCTGTCTCTTGGGACAATCTGTGAGCAGCTAGTTTTCTGGATTCTGGTGACAGTGAATTTTGTATGCAATTTTTTTTAGCTAGACTTACCTATTTTCCTTTGGGCTTCAGCAGTCTTATTAGCTTCCATACGTTCAGCTTTATGTAGCCTTTCCAGTTCTGTCCTCATAGACTGTAGTTTAGCTGCTGACATAGTAACTTCATCTTGATTGACACTCTCCTGTCTTCCAGTGTGAGCAGCCCTACCACCACGTCCTCCATGGCTTGAAGTACTCTTGTTAGAGCTATTCCTGTTTGTAGAAGGGGACTTAGTAGGCCTGGCTCTAGGGGGCATATCAGAGAACTATGAAGAGCAAAGAATTGAGGCATTGGAAAAACTAGGACAGATAGTACAAAGTGAACCAGGGTGTTACAGGGACTTTACGTAAGCCCTTCTGCCCCGCTTATTCTTTTTACCCTATCTGTTACAAATGCTATCCGTCACCACAGCGACTTCCATCTATCTGTTCCTTCGGCTTATCTGTACTGATATATGGTTTACCCATTATCTCTGACTCATACCCTATACCCTTACCGCATTGTTGGTATCACCCTTGACCCTTACCGTTCAACTGGTACCATCTGCTTTCGTATATAAAGGACTCCGTACGCTGTAGTAGTCCTTAACTTGAATCTACTTAGTATCATCCTAAAGCCTCAAGACAGAGGGATAGCAAGACTGCTAGATAGCAAGCTCATTGCTTCTATCAATCTACTTCTTATTCTACCTTAGACTCTCTGTCTAGGTAGTCATACAACCAAGAGACGACCATCGCACCAGATCGATACCCCTTGCAAGTATCTAGTGTGGAACCAACTGAGTCCGTAACATAAGATTCAAGTTTCCACCCCAAATGCCTCTCCATTGTGAGAGCATACTACTGATTCAAGTTTCCACCCCAAACACCTCTCCATTGTGAGAGTGTACTACTGATTCAAAGATAGCGTCGAGCAGACCTCAGAATCGCTGGGAACGAGCTCCCACACCATCAGATACATCATCCACATCAGAAGATACTGAATCGGACTACGAAAACTTCCATCCACTCCATCCACAAACTCCCAGATCCCCGCCAAAACCACCCCCCCAGCTTATCCACCCAGCCATGTCTGGATCAGCTACCGCTGCTACCAAAACACCTGTAGAAATATGGATTGGTACCCCCACCAAATTCAACGGAGACAGAAAGGATTCTGGAAGATGGCTATGATCCATAACTGCATACATTGACGTCAACGAGAAAATCTATGACGATGACAAAAGAAAATTGTCTTCACCTTGTCATATATCACTAAAGGAGCCACTGCTACCTGGGCAGACAACTTCATGGAACATGCCCAAGACCCCACCAATGTCGACAAATACGGAACTAATGACAAATTCATCAAAGAGTTCAAAAAGGCATTTGAAGAAGTAGACTCAGTAGGAGCGGCAATCACTGAATTACGAAACCTCCATCAAACCCACTCCCTCGGCGAGTACCTCGCCTCATTCAGACAACTCACCACAAGAGGAGGCATTGCGGATGACAGAGTGCTCCATCAATTCTTCTTAGATGGCTTAGACAAGAAACTCTGATGGAGACTCCTGATCAATGGGAGTGATATCGGGACATTTGAAAAACTCTCAGCAAAAGTGGTAGACTTGGGCAACAACCATCAACAATTGCTGGCCATCACCACAAGAGAAGGACACAGTACTGGAGGATTCCAAAAGAGAAACGGAAACCCCCTGAGGTACACCCCTCCCAAGAGGGAAACCAGAGACCAAAAGAGAAACTGAAACCCCCCGAGGTACACCCCTCCCAAGAGGGAAACCAGAGACCCAAACACAATGGACGTCAACCATATGGGAGAAGAAGAAAGGCAGAAATGCTTCAGAGAAGGGCTCTGCTTTACATGCAAGAAAGCGGGACACAGGGCTAATGACCCTAAATTCCATCCCAGAAAAGGAGCGTTGAAAGGAAGGCAGACCATGCCTGAGAAGGAGGAACAGGGACAGTCTGGGATTACCCAGCTTGATGATGAAGATAATGACAAAGACATGACCATAGCCAAGATACGAGTCAAGAAGATCCCGGCGGAGAAAGGAATGGATTTTTAAATTGAAGGCCTGTCGCAATGTCAGCACCTTCTACCTGTATACTGTATACTAAAGCCATCAGAAAAACCAATGAATTCCATGTTCCTATCACGCTTTTTTCTACCAAGTATATGAAAACCATTGCCACTACAGCCATAATCGACTCAGGAGCAGGAGGATCGTTTATCGATCACCTCTTTGTCAGGAAACATAGGATCGGAACTCGCCCTCTTACTGAACCATTCCATATACGAATGGTTGATGGAAGCACCTCTTCATCAGGAAAAGTCACTCATTACTGCATCCTCGCGGTTAAAATTGACCAGTGATGTATGCTCAGAAAATTTAACATCATGAAACTATCCGCAAATGATGACATCCTCCTCGGAAAACCTTGGCTCTCTGCCATGCAACCAGATATCGATTGGAAAAATGATACCATCTCCCTCACGAGGACAAAGTGGTCAAAAGAGATTGAGGAAATGATCAATGACGAGCGAAAAGCCAATGGAGTAACACTTTACAAATTTCCCCCACTTCGAAAAGCGACTGTAACTGACGAACCCCCTGAAGATTTCTCTCCTTTAAAGAAACTACCAAAAGGATCAAAATATGCTCTAGAAGAAATAGCAGAAAAACGGTGATGAAAGAAAAAGGCAGCAACCAAAAAAAAAAAAAAAACAAGCCAACCCAGTATTCGATAACTATGAAGATACTTGGATTGGACGAATCAACCTTGCCAAACCAGTTACCGATGTCTCCACCTACCAGCTGGAAGATGATGAAGTCCTAGTTGAATATTCCTCCGATGGTACAACCATCTGGATGATCGAAAACCTAGACACTGATTCCCTGCTGGTACGAGATGGAACATCCGACCAAGAAATCAAAAGACTCGGTAAACCAGTGCCCCTGCAAAACACATGGGTCCTTGCCCAATTCCTACACAAGCAGCTTGAGGAAACACAGAAGATCAACAATAAAGTGTAGGAATTCACCATGAAAGACGTACAGGAGAAAATCAAGAAAACCTTCAAAGAACTCATTCCCGAGTATCTTCACAACTTCCGTGACATCTTTGCCAAAGATGGATTAAACCAACTCCCCCCAAGCCGACACCTAGTAGACCATCGCATCGAAACAAAACACAGATTCATACCGAAATCTACCAGAATGTACCCTCTTTCCCCAAAAGAAACCGATGCAGTAAAAGCCTTTGTCGACGAACATCTCGCAAAAGACTTCATTCAACCATCAACATCACCACAATTGAGCGGTTTTTTCTTTGTAGGAAAGAAAGGAGGAACTCTATGTCCCTGCCAAGACTATTGATATCTTAACGAATGGATGGTCAAGAACGCCTATCCGCTTCCGCTGATTCCCCCTCTCATTGCAAAACTCAAGGACACCAAATACTTTACCAAGATGGATATCAGATCAGGGTATAACAACATCCTGATTCACCCTGATGATCGATGGAAAGCCGCATTCTCTATGTCATTCGGCCTATTTGAACCAAAAGTCATGTTCTTCAGGTTGTGCAATTCACCTGCGACCTTTCAAGCATACATGAACGGGACGTTCAAACAGGAAATTGATGCAGGATGGCTGATCGTTTATATGGATGACATCCTCATCTTTTCAAACACATTGGAAGAAAACCAAGAATGGACAAAGGTCATCCTTCAGAAACTGCGTACCGAAACACTGTTCCTTAAACCGGAAAAATGTACCTTCAATGCCCAGGAAGTGGAATACCTTGGTATGATCATCCACCCAGGCAAAGTCGCAATGGACACGGCCAAACTGGAGGGTATCAGCCAGTGGCAGACGCCAACTACTGTTAAAGAAGTATGCTCCTTCCTTGGCTTCTGTAACTTCTACAGACACTTCATTGCCCACTATTTGGACATTGCATGCCCTATGATTGACTTGACCAAGAAAGACCAACCTTTCCTATGGACTGAATCCTGTGGTAAAGCCTTCGAACAGTTGAAACATAGCTTCCTCACCGAACCTGTGCTATGGAACCCCAACGCAACTCGGCAGTTTGCCCTTGCCACCAATGCATCACTATTTGCCACTGGAGCAGTTCTATTACAAACCGATGAAAACAGCGCCTACCATCCTTGCGGGTATGTCTCCCAATTGTTCAATGCTGCTGAGTGTAATTACCAGATTTATGACTGTGAGCTTTTAGCTGTCATATGTGCGCTCAAGAGTTGGTGCCACTTCTTGGAAGGCAACCCCCATCCTGTCATCATCTTCACTGACCATAAGAACCTGCTCTACTTCCACTCTGCACAACAATTGACACGCTGCCAAGCTCAGTGGCAGCTTACCCTTAGCGAATTTGACCTCGCTTTTCACCACGTCCCCAGAGCAAAGCTTGCTGCCCCGGATGCCCTGTCACACCGACCAGACCATGTCATCGGTGACCTGGACAACACCGATGTTACCCTCCTCCCTGATTCCCTCTTCCTTCATTTGGTCGATGGTGTACTCACACACCAGTTCAAAACCCTTACTGAATCCATGCCCGACTCTACCATTCAGACAGCCCTCCAAGCCTTAAGCAGCATCTGTGCCCCGCCCATCAAATCTGCCCTCTCTGATTGGGCATTTACCGATGGTGTACTGTTTTATAAAGATCAGGCCTACATCCCAGCCAATCTTCACCAAAAAGTCCTTACCCTCCATCACAACCACCTTACTGCGGGCCATCCCAGCCACACTGTCACTGAATGGAACATTAAGAAAGCCTATTGGTGGCCTGGCATGGGCACCTACATCCGCAACTATGTTGCCGGATGCACTATCTGCCAACAAATGAAGTCTGACACCCACCCCATCAGCCCCCCCTGATGCCGATCCCGTCTGTCGCCACCTGTCCCTTTGAGCAGGTCTCCGTCGACCTCATCACTGACCTTCCCCCGTCCCATGGCTTTGATTCTGTCATGGTTGTGGTTGACCATGGCCTAACAAAGGGGGCAATTCTATGTCCCTGCAAGAAAACCGTCACTGCAGAAGGCGTCGCCAACCTCTTCTTTAAAAAGGTGTTCACATGCTTCAGCCTCTATGACAAAATAATATCCAACAGAGGACTGCAATTCACCTCCAAATTCGCCAAAGAACTAGGGTGCATCCTTGACTACAAGGTAGCCCTCTCCACAGCCTACCACCTGCAGATGGACAGACAAACAGAACGACTCAACCAAGAGCTAGAAACCTATCTCAGAATCTACTGCCAAACCACCCCCACCAAATGGTCACAACACCTACCAATGGCCGAATTCGTCCATAACTCGAGAAAACATTCTGCCAGGAACACATCATCCTTGCCCTGATGATGGGATATGAACCAAAAAGCTTGCCCCAGGCATTCCCCGAAACATCGGTACCAGCAGTAGAAGAACAGCTGAAACACCTCAGAAAGATCTGAGAAGAAGCATTGGCCTGCCACGCCCTTGCTCAACAGCGAATGGGAGAAAGGACGCAAGGAAGAAAGTATACCCCATGGAAGAAAGGGGACAGGGTCTGGCTATCCGCAGCTCATCTATTAATGAAACTCCCATCAAAGAAACTCGCACCCAAAAGATATGGACCATTTACAGTGGAAGAAGTCTTATCACCTATCACGTTCAAGATCAAACTCCCAGAAACCTGGCGAGTTCACTCCACATTCCACACTTCTGAACTATCCACCTATCATGAAACAGAAGTTCACAGCCTGAACTATAAAGAACCACCACCTGACGTAATCAATGGAGAAGAAGAATACGAAATAGAAGCAATACTTGCCCACAAAGGAATGGGTAATCACCGCCAGTACCTCGTATCCTGGAAAGGATATCCCAAATCGGACAACTCTTGGCAAACCGAGTCAGACCTGACTAATTCCTCCGAAATACTGAAAACATATAAAAGAAGACTCGCCAACAGAGGGGCTAAGAAACTAACCTTGTAAATGCCCATCAATTACCATGTCTGCCTCATCAAACGACTCAAACTTCTTTGCATCCCACCCCCAGCTCGCACCCATGGACAAAGACAAAGCCCTCTGGGAGGCACTCATCCTAGACAGTCGTTATGCAATAGAAATCAACAATCTTATCATCACCCGAAATGACCCCATCCTTTTCAAACTCATCGCAGCATTCAGAACGGCAGATACACTTACCGCCTGCATCATCGACATGCAGGAATGCAAGTGCAGAAAATTCGGGACAGTATCCCTCCGCTATGCACAGACCAAAATCAAGACCGCCATGATGAAACTCCTAGCCATGAAGAAATTTGGCAAGCTAGTTGACAGAATCAATAACGGAGAGTTTGCAGCACAACCCACAACCCACACCATCCCCCATCCAACCAAATCCCCTCAATGATGAAAACATCGAACTAGTCCTACCATTCACACCCACCGAACCCCCTACCGAAGAAAACATACCTCACCCTGCAATACTTGTCATCAACCCCATCGCTGAAGAAAGCGAGTATGAAGGAGACTTTGTAGAAGTAGAAGGAACTGCTACGCCATCCATCATGCATTACTCCCCACCACCCACTCCAAAAACCCCCAAACAAAAACCACTACACATCCCTGAACCAACCGGCCACACCATCTCCCCCAGTAAACAAGCCCGCTGTAACAGAGGGAGCACCATCCTCCTTTCCCTTGGGTTACCACTGTCAACTAAATACCCCCCTATCTTCCACGGTGTCGCGCCCAACCCCGAAACAGGTGAACCAGAAGATGTCATTAACACTATGGTAGACCATATCTGTCACACCAAATTCGAAGCCACTGAGACAGAACAAACCCATCCTGCCAACTTTGTATGCCACTGTTGCGAGGCTTACGGCCATAAACATTGTTACTGTCACCAGTACTTCTGTCACATTTGCGGCGTCTTCGCCCCTGGTCACTTCACTTCATACTGTCCACATCTCAATGGACAAACCATCCTTCGTCGCGGTCAATCTGACCCCAACTTCCATATGCAACTCTCTTGCCTCGAATGTTTCTACAATGCCCGCCAGGGTATTATCCCTAACCACGACGATGAAGATGATAAAAGGCTCGAAGTTAACAAGATGGAAGGTCTAGACATTGATGATGTTTTCCTGGATGACGCTCGTCTTGACACATGAAGCCAGGTGACTTCACACTTAAAACGGGAGGTGATGTTACAGGGACTTTACGTAAGCCCTTCTGCCCCACTTATTCTTTTTACCCTATCTGTTACAAACGCTATCCGTCGCCACAGCGACTTCCATCTATCTGTTCCTTCGGCTTATCTGTACTGATATATGGTTTACCCATTATCTCTGACTCATACCCTATGCCCTTACCGCATTGTTGGTATTACCCTTGACCCTTACCGTTCAACTGGTACCATCTGCTTTCGTATATAAAGGACTCCGTACGCTGTAGTAGTCCTTAACTTGAATCTACTTAGTATTATTCTAAAGCCTCAAGACAGAGGGATAGCAAGACCACTAGATAGCAAGCTCATTGCTTCTATCAATCTACTTCTTATTCTACCTTAGACTCTCTGTCTAGGTAGTCATACAACCAAGAGACGACCATCGCACCAGATCGATACCCCTTGCAAGTATCTAGTGCAGAACCAACTGAGTCCATAACACAGAGTTACTCCCAGGCAAATGTCAACATATTTTGTTTCTCGGTATGTCCCAAAGGACAACAGCCTACTAGGGTTAGATTGCAAAATATGTTACATTATGTTACATATTGCTTATGATAGGCATATACATCTCCTCATACCATATCATCCTGTCATATACCTGATCCGACTGCTCCGACTTCAATATCCGCTCTGCTTTCTGACCACTTCCACTCCATCCATCCTCTGCTCCAATCACCATCCACATCCACTCCTATGCTTCCGCTTGACCGCCCAACCAGTTCCCTTCCATAACGTCTCCATTCAACTGGAACTGCTTTCCCCATTTAGATATATACTTCCCCCTTTCGGTACATAGACCCTTACTCCCAGATCACCAGTAATTCCTCTTACCACTCGATCACTGATCTGATGCATACATATTGATATCCACTCCGACTTATGTCTTCACCTGTGTAAGTACTTACAAATTATATCCTTGGTACATAGCTTTACAACATAGTTATCCTGATCACTGCCTCATACTTAGAAGTATATAACATATCCTGTACTTAGATATTTTTCCCTAGTCTTGATATTACTTGTCTTCTTGCAGTTTCCACTTGTGAGAATTCTCAGTAGGACCTTGCCTCCTCTGGACACAAGTTCCATCTTGTTGTCACCTCCGACCCTCTGCTCTGACTTAGAGCCACGCTCTAAGTCTTCTCCTTACTTCTCTGCCCCTATCAAGTATTCCCCCTGCTCCTATCAAGCATTCCCCCTGCTCCTCTCTACCCTCCACACTATCCTCCACCTCCTCCGCTCTCCTCCTAGTCGGCCCGCCGCTAGTAGCTTTTACCTCCCGACCCTCAAAGCAGACCTAAGCAGACCACTCGTCCTACCGTCAGACAACGTCAGACCTGCTCCAAATTTGGGGCACATACTCGGCTAAGGGCGCAGCGCAAGAGCTGAAGCCAAGCCCCGACCCCTCTGCCTCTTGAGCCAGCACGGTACCTAACACATCCTATCTTCATCCACATCTACATCATCTAGCAAAGCTATGCAGCCTTCAGATACCAAATGCCTTCAATACCCCATCAGTCAAACTATCTTTGGACCTGAATTTTTCTGTGGCCTGCCCTCTTTTAATCTCCATGGCTCTGCTTCCACTGGTCTTGTTCATACCACTCTTCCCGCCATACATGAAGATGAAGGTGATGATTACTCTCAACTTCCAATGCTACTCCTCCCCATATCATGCAGTATATAATATTTATCTTTACCTTGTGTAGTACTATTCATTGTGTAGTCTGAGAATAGGAAATTTCACAGCGCACAATCAAAATGTCATTGAAAAACATGAGGTTACAGGTATAAGATTAAGCTACTACATCCTCAATGGAAATGATCATTAGGTGCCCAGCCATTGTGTGTGTCCTTCCAAGTGTCAATGCTTTTATCCGTATGCAACACAAAGGAGGCACGCTTACCCTTGTATGGTAAGTTAAAGTGCATTGTTTCACCAGAATGGAACATAGCAAAGTCACCACTGCAAAGTTCCAAAACCAATCGCTGCTCGAACATAACCAAAGCCCCACCCCTGAAGTCGCCCAATGGAAGGACAAGACAAAAGTCCTTGTCAAACCTATCACGATGACCCAAGGTAGATACATTCAGGTTGACAACAAGCGAGAGAAACAGTGTCACTGGTGATACTTTACCACCTGGTAGATCTTGAGCAAGTTCAACCAGGACCTTGTACTCTGTATGCAAGCATTCCTTGATCTGCCTTGGCATCAATATCGCTCACACCCTACAATAGCAAGCCACTCACCACTTCATCAATCCATTCAAAAACCTCACCAAACGCCAGGAGAATGTTTTTGTACAGTTGTTGGTGCTCCAGAATATCTCTTGACTGGTAGGGTAAAGTTTGGGCATGGTTTGTCTGACTAACATCCTCTGTTCTCATATAGTGAGGATGAATATCAGTGGGAGCTTGATCACCCTGCATCATATTTAGTTTTTGTCTCACAGGGAATCAATGTTGAAACCCACCTTTGTAACATAGCGATTCCAAATAGAAAAGTGCAGGCAATGAAATGGACTTTCAAGAACCTTCTCCGCCACCTTCTTCAAGGTAACACCATCACAATGCTCGATTTGCTTGTCCTGATCTTGGCAGTCATCTGCTTCAAAGTCGTCCTTCAATTTGCGCATGCGCAAGACCTTGTTTCTGTCAAAGCATGCAAGGAATGAACTGAGGAGGTTACTGCAGACGGATTTGGGTAGCGTTGGACAGATGAAGGCCATCAGACTGTCGTCTGAATTTCTCAGATCAAGTGCTTTATGGAGGGGTTAGTTTAATTTCCACATGGCAATTACCTCAACTTGACTTACCCTTCGAACGCATCCATAGGGATGCGCAAATAGGTGTCTGTGTCCTCACTGCTGCCATTAGCATATCTTTGGTCCAACTTAGTATGCACATGAGCATTGCAATTGGCAAGCGAATTCTAGCACACTCACCTTATCGCACAGATCATCAAGATCTTGGATGACTTCGCCAGCTTCTGCCCTTGCTCGCTCCTGTTTGGTCCAGAAGATGTTCTCCTTTTGATCAGTCTCAGCAGGGAACTTGCAGTTGTCAGGATGATCATGGTCAAAGGTCATCCGGATGACAGTAACCCCTGGTATCCTGTGAAGGGCTTGATCCACAGCATGAATGGTGTAATACGAGTAACCGGGGTTGACCCTATGATCCATGCTAATTTGACCATCACCTCTGATAACAATCATTGCCTCCAATACTGCAGTAGTGCAGTCCATCCAGGAGTCAATATGTTGAGAAGGAAGAACATAATTGCTGATGGAAAAATAGTCAGGGCATGTGATTATTTGAAAGAAGAGATTATGAACTACACACTTTTGCTTGAAAGCATCCAAAACTTTGTTGGTGAATGATAGGTTGGTACAATCTAGGGTCTCATCTAACCCAACGCTGGCCAGGAGCAAAGGACAGAACACTTTTTCAAGGGACAGAGGCAGATGAGATCTGATCCAAGCAATTGCAGGGATTATGCGCTCAAGAATCAACATGGGCGTTTCTGGGTGAGGACACCATTAGTTAATGAAGCATGATGATCAGAGGGGGCTCACTGCATGTTTCTGGCTGTCTCAGCATCTTTCCAACTTCCCATGGAACACAACCTCCCAGTGTTGCGATTTTCCACTGCATGTCGAGGCCTGCGATCAGAACCAAGATGTAGATAGATCCACCAGTGGCAAGCGATATGAACTTGCATCCAATTGCGTTCCAATGATTGAAGGTAGTCTGGGCAGGGGCATTGGGCAACTGAGCAAATGGTCGTTGTAAACCTGACGAATGCTAGAGCGCTCCTTGTAGGTGTTGATGAGGCTAAAATATAAATAGTCAATGTGAGAAGGTAACGCTAAGTAAAAGCTTACCTTTGACACTGTATCGCTAGCTGCATATATGTGAGCATCGCAACAAAGCTGGACCCAGTCTGCTGGTGGGAGATTGAATGACAGTGTGCCATCATCTCTCCTATGGAACCCCCCCTAAGTTGACATAGTGGGAGCTTTGGAGATAAGACACAATCTCCTTAACCCATGTGCCAACAATGAGAGAAGGGGAGGCAGCATCTATGCGAGGAGTGGCAAGGGCTCCAATGAGGGCATCAGTGGTAATGTGGTTGGAACGAACTGCCTTAGCCTGTTCCCACCAGTTCACATGTGCAACAAGGGGGCACCCGCCATGAGGACAATTGGGACCAAGGGGGGGGGGGGGACATTGCCATCATCAGGACGAGCATACAGATGTTGACAAACCTTCCTGGTATCTGGTCGGATTGCACCACCTTCAAACTCATCCCCCTCCTTTCCATCATCCATACCTACACTCTCATCATCATATCCAATGTTGCTGTCAGGACCAACACTGTCTTGCAAGAATAAGTTGACTTCTTTGAAGTCACTGATGGTTTGCTTGTCTGTGGGAAGGGTTCCATCACCCACAAAAGGTAAGGGCGAAGGCATCATGCCAGAAACCGGTGTTGGAAAGGCAGATGTTGGAGGTGGTGTTGTTGGAGGTGGTGAAAGGGAAACTCTGGTATGAATGGAGGAACTCGGGGTTGGAGGGGTGACAATATGATGAGGGCACAAATTGTATACTCTATCTAGCAATGATGACAACATGTCACTATGGTGCCGCGCCTGAACTAAACCTAAAAGCACTTGCTCAATGAAAATAAGTTCTTCTGTAGTTAGCTGTAATTTAAAGATTTCCTGATTGCACATACTTGCAGTCTGTGTTGGGAAATGTTGTTGGCAAAATCCAAGTTAGGCTCATCGTTGAATCACCTGTGATCGGACGATGAGCAACATTTTCCCACAGATGTAACCATAATTCAAATTATCTTCCATCCATTGATAAGGCAGAATGGTCAACTGCAGAGGTTGAAGAACCCTTCACTGCGGTAACTGGTTGATCTATCAAGCATCATGATTAAAGATAGGTGAGTAGAACTTTGCATTCTTCATCAGAGGACTCACCATATAACTTCGCATATCTAGCTCGTCCTTCCTCCCTTACGCACTTCAAATCCTCAAGTGATCATGGATGCTAGTACAGTCCCAGACCCTGTCAGAGTTGCAGGTGATAATGTGAGTGCTATAGTTTCTGGCTGAGTAATCAGTGCCTATGTTCACTCTCTTGGAAACAAAGTGCTGCGGCAACCTCTGCTTTGTCTTCCGGTAACTTCAACTTCAGGGAGAAAGACCTCACATTGCGGTGTTTGCCTACAAACGGCCTGCACATTGTTAAAGTGAGTTCATCTCTGTATTGTCATTGCAGTAAAGCTAAATAATATTAGATGCAAGGTCTGTCAGGCTTGTCTCGCCGAAATATCCAACAACATGCAACACACACTACTGTGGACGATATCCTTCACAAAGAGATTGTGGTGCCAGATGAAACCCAGAGGTATTCCATAGATGCTACCTCAGTGGTATGGGGAAACAAGGTGTGGGTTTCCAATGCCGGTTTGTGTATCCCTGAGCAAATGAATATTGTAAGTACCTCTTAACTCACAGGAAGTGGCTATCACTCATATTCTTGGTGAAGCTTCTCGCAGTTCTTTAAGCGCTTGGTATCCTCGATATCCAACTAGAGTTTTAAAGTCTGGTCCGGTCTGGTTTTTTGCCCTGGTTTGAGCGCAATCAGACCAAACTGGTCTGTATATTTAGGCCCTCAAGGTAAGACCTGGACTGGACTGATGAAAACCGGTTGCCAGTGGTCTCAAGCAGTCTTGCAGTCGGTCCAGACTGGTTGCAGTCACAACCAGTCCAGGACTGGAAAAGACTGGGAAAGACTGAATCAATACTACCATGCATGATGTATTTACTAAGCCTCATGTACTCCTCGTGTACTACAGCTGCCTTGAATGTATAAGAAGTCAGCATCGTCTACTACACATCTCTTGTCCCCCCCAACCATGGCAGGCACTCGCATATCCACCCATCCAAAGAAACCTACTGAAAAAGCTGCTGCACAGCCCTGCATCACCAAGACTCGAACATGGGCACCAAGATCCAAACCATCACCAAAGAAATCTAAAAAGTGGAAACTTGCTCTCTCTAGTGACAATGACTTAGTAGATGACTCAGATGATAGCATTGTCACTGCTGCATGTACAAAAAAGGCTGCATCCAAGTCCAACTGAGCACATTGCAAAAGCAAGTCCATCGAGGTCGTTGAACTTGAAGATAGCACCACAGATGACGAGGAAGCTGAAGAACCAGATGTCATTGACAGAGGCGGGCCAGGTAGTACCGTGGATGGTGAAGACGTTAGTGAATTTGTCCTTCATTTCCTGGGAAGCGTCTAAGCGTCTAAATGTTGCAGAATGATGATGCTGGTGACTCGGAACATGATCATACTAGCATAGCACCAGATGAAATCAAAATAAAGAATAGCGCTGATGATCTACTTACTATTTTCTTGGATAGATGTACTGTAAAGTTCGTGAGCGAAACAGGGGAGGTAGAAACGAAAGTGGGCCGCTGGTGTTTGATATGCAAGTAAGCAATTGCCATCTCCAAGATCAATTAAAACTTACCTGGAATTCAAAGGATGGATATGAAGTTTGTTGCAAAACATGGCTGCCACAAGACATTCCATGTGGGTAGCAACTCCTCATGTCGGCAGCACATTTGGGGCACTATGCAGTGTATAAAGAGAAGTGTATGGCGCTGAATATTCGTGAAAACCACCATGCCATTCCATGTGCATTCGTCCATGCAGCACAAGAGGAAAAGAAACAAATGAAAGGTGGACAGAAGAAATTGGATATAATGTTCCAGGGTGCAATACCCCAGGAGTTCTCAAAAGATGAAGTTCTGCATGCTGTTGCAGAGTTTGTCATATGTGATGACCAAGTGAGTGAGAAATACTATATGTTTCAAGTTGACTGTTTAATATTTGATAACCGCCCAAAGTCTCTAGCTGTAGTCAACAAAGCCAGTTTTAGAAACTGTTTGGTCACAATGCGGCCGGCTGCCACTAAGGTTGATATTCCCTCAATGCACAATGTTACCAACTACATACACAATTCCTTTGTGAAGTTCTTTTCGAAGTTCAAGCTAGATATACAGGTAAGGATTGTTTGTATCTGTGGGCAGCGCCGCACTACACTGGCTGAAGCTGACTACTATATATAAAGAAACCAGACATTGGCCATGTGTCAACTACCACAGATCTTTGGTCTGTTGATCAAACAAAAGCAGTGTTCTTTGGTCTTACTGCTCATTGGATTCATACTGACCCGGAGTCTGGAAAATGGACACTTCATTTCCAAGTCATTGCATTCAAAGGAATATCTGGTGCCCACACTGGAGATAATCTTGGACACTATTTTGTTAGCTTGTGTGAGCAGGTGGGCATCATTGCTGGACAATCCTCAAAGGTACATGAATCTACTACTATATCTCTTCATACTAACATACATTTAACAGCTGTTTTGTGTCACAGCAGACAACATGAGCAATAACGATACCGTATGTGAGCAGATTGAAAGCATCCTCCATCGCCACAAAATCTACTCATTCAACACAACTCGACACTGCCTTCCATGTCTTGCCCATGTCGTCAATCTTGCTGTAGTTGCTGTCATGTCTGGCTTCACCCAGCTTGCCAATGTTGAGAATGCCACATCAATCTGGGAGTTCGACCTGAGCCTAGCTCACAACCGTGTACTCACTAATGAATTGGATGTCATTGCAGCTGTGCGGACAGTTGCTATCAAGGTACTAGTACTACTAACATTCACTTGTTGGCGCTCTACTAACTGATCTATTGAAGATTCAATCCTTGGGACAGTGTATCAAATATTTCAACAGTCTTCAAGTAAAATGTGGTTTTCTGGTCCCACTCAAGATTCCTCTACATAGCAACGTTAGATGGGGGACAGCAGATGGGATGCTTGGATGAGCATACATGCTCTGGCAGGTATGTGTTCTAGCATGACATTTTAAAAAAATACTAATCAACCGTCTACTGTATATAGCCTATCAACATGTTTATTGGCATGGCTGATGCACTTTTCGGGCCAATCACCACCATTCGCTGTCAAGGCAGGACCATCAAGTACATACCATGGACAGCCTTCAAATTCACAACGGCTGATTGGGAGTGCATAAATGACACACACACTATCATTGCAGTATGTTGCGCTGGTAGTATACTCACATGAAGTATCTTTGCTCACCACATAGCAGGATGCCAACAGTATTCAACAGTACTTCTCATCAGAACAGCAACCTACTCTTTGGTGCAGCATTCCTGCCATTGAAGAACTTTAGACCGCATGGGAAGCAAAGCTTACAGCATCAAAGTATATCCTGTACCAGGATGTGATTCAAAAAGGGCTTGATAAACTTGGAAAGTACTATCAGAAGTTTGACGACAAACTAGTTTACGTCCTTGCACTTGGTAAGCAATTATATTCCTACTTAATGTCCTTGCTACTGTTGCTGATGATCATTGTTACAGTACTCCATCCTTACTATAAGTTGACTTATATCAAGATGCAGTGGGGCGGTCCAGAAGAACAGGCAAGCGAATATGCAGCTGGCAATCCAAACACTGTTGATTGGCATGACGAAGCATTGAAGGTAGTTGAGAATACTATGGAGGAGTACTCAAAGCACAGTTCTCCACCTGCCGCCATCACTCCCATCCCCTCATATATGGACTTGGGTACTCCCACTGTTGATTCCAACTATGACTGCCACCGCCGCATGTTAGTAGACCAGGCATTGCATGAGCACAACGCTGGGTGGCGTGCAGAACTTCAATGCTACCTTAATGATATACCAGATGATGTCTCTAAAGATATTGACATTATTGAATGGTGGTCGGTAAGTTACCCAGACGCCTACTGTAATTTTCACTAACTCAGAATTTTAGAAACATGTCACTGTCTACCCAGTCCTTGCTAGCATTGCAAAGGATGTGTGCACCATTGCAGCATCCTCTGTGCCTTGTGAACGACTCTTCTCGGCTGGTGGCAAGACAGCAACTGACCGATGTTCTCGTCTAGGTGCTGAACACTTTGAACAGTTACAGGTACTGAAATTTGCATGGCATACAGCTATAGTTGACCAAGCTGCTGAGAATTCCGCAATTGTGGAAGAGGTCATGCTTGAGGAATTCAGGGAGCTACTGCGACTCGACAACGAGATTGCAGACTGGGAACATAGCGAGGATGAGATTGTTCAAGTTGTTGCAAGTGCTTAATTTTCATTGTGTCGTTGTACTACTACAATAGCTTTATGTATATCATGCTTCAACTTGACTATGATAGGGTAACTGGTCCTACAATGACTGGTTGCAACCAGTCTTGTACTGGTCTTGTGTTTTTTGTCTACATGAGGCAACCAACAACTGAAGTGTCTAGAATCTACAGCAACTGCAACTGTGGTCCAGTTTTCAAAAGCCCTGGTCCAGTTGAGTTGTGGTCTTTTTTTGGTCCAGCAACTGGACTTTAAAACTCTATATCCAACTGCAAATACAGACAATGGTAACCCAGTGGAACGTGCCCAAGCAGGATGCCCAGGACAACAGGCAAGTGATGGTGACCATTCAGTGTGCTATTGGAGAGATTATAGACAGCCACGTCACACCACACACAGTCAAGATTCATCCAAGACCTTTGCCCAACCTAGTCCCTGGCCCTAATTTCAACGCTTCCGCACCACCAGCATTTCATGAAAGCGATGTCGCATACTTGTACTGGACCATTTCTGTAGTTGTCTGGGCATACCTTCGCTCTGGTTTCATTATGAGCCACTTCCCATCCTCGTATGTTTCTGATCTTCTGGATCCGCGCAGAGTCATCTCCCTCACCCATAACTATGTCGCCCATCATCGTAAGCCAGATATTGCTGTGGTTCATCACCACACAGCTTCGTGTGTCTTGGAGTGGCATCAAATTGCTAGCATAGGTGAGATTCCATGACTCATTCTACCATTATCTTATCATTGAATCACCAATCATCACATAGGTGAAGTGAAGTATGCTTCATCAAGCGAGCTCCGAGTCACAGCACTACGATATGTCATTGACCAAAGCTGGTTTATGATGATGTCTTCTTACTCCCGTTGCTTCTGTCTTGGGTTCACCCAGTGCGGTCCCCTCCTCACACTCTGTCTCACTGATCGTGGTGGGAACTGCACGACAAAAGATGTCAATGCATCCAAGGCAGAGGACATCCCAATTTTTATCCAGGCAGTCGCTCATTTCACCCTTGCTCCTGACGATGAACTTGGGGATGATTGATTCTTCCCAACATTCTCCGGGTTGTTTGAGATGACTTTCCCTACCATTGTCAAGGGCGATCCTAACGAATACTTAAACAAGTTGATCATTGAGAGCCGCCTCTTTCACTCCTTCTCTTTTACTGGCAAAGGAACCCAGATCCTTCTTGCCAAGCCCGCCATTCTGTCTGCTGGGCCATACCCCCAACATGTTGTGGTGAAGGACTCCTGGCCCACACCTGCCAAAACGCACAAGGCCTACCTCATCAGGCATATACATGAATGCCTAATGCGAACAAAGCATGGCCAGTTGCATGTTGACCCCGAACTTCATGAGGACCTGACCATGCTTGACTTCCCCAATGTCCTTCACAAATATTTCTGCCAATCTGTCAATCCCAACACCAGAGAGCTGGTGCACGAGGCTACCAATGTGCAATGGTCGTGCACAGTGATAGATCTGAATGACAGTGATGTCATGATGCTGCAAGAAATGTTTAAGCGTAGGCTGCGTTATTGTCTAGTTTTCAAAGACATTGTAGTAGACTCTACCTGGTTTTCTTCCAGAAGGGAGTACCTCACGTGCATTATGCATAACTTGGAAGGTATGATCATTCAAAGTGTCTCATCAAGACATGGAACTCATACCATTGTATATTGTACAGCACACAGATTCGCAGAGAGAGTTGCCCAGGTTCTCCACAAAGACATTACACCTTCAAACCTCTGAATTGTCATCGACAACACCTCTGCAGAGGCTGCCATCCCTGGGTGGGTTGGCAATGATCCCCCTCTCCCAAGGCAAGCACAGTTAGGCAATTTCGGGCTTGGATTCAAGCCCTCAGACAGTTGCAAGTTTGCCGAGCTACTCGCTGAAAAACTGGCGAAGATGTGTAGGATAGAGGCTGGCAATGGTGGGGGCACAGGTGGGTTGATGCATGCTGGCAATGCCACCATCAAGAAGGAGTGTGCCGCCAAGCTCAAGGATAAGCCATCGCAAGCGATGGATCGCTTGGTGAGTAATGCCATTTGCCTAATGACTGTCTGGCATCACTCATGAGTTTGATGTTGTTGCAGGGATCACCTTTGTACATGAGCAACAAGACACTCGCGGACCCATTCGGCCAGTTCATCATCCACACCTCTAAGCACGACTTGGAGGGGTTCTGGTGGTCAATGTTGTGGGTGACCATTAATTGTGAAGGTCCCTACGGTCAGCTCATTGACTGGCAGAATGATCATTTTGAGAAGTTGAGCAATGCCGTGGTGATGTTCACTCATCCACTAGCTCCCTGGATGCTGTGGGTACAACAAGTGCAGCAGCGAGAAATTGATCTACTACACAGTTGGGTCTTTGCTGCCTGCTGCCTCACTTGAGAACAAGCGCATTCGACCCTAAAGGGGATTGCTACTGGGGAGTACTAGTCTCTGTCTAAACGACCCTAATCAACCCTATTGCAGGTAGGATGAGGATCCGCAAAAATGTGGAACAAGCAGAACTCAAGTGGAACCCAAGTGGAATGGAACAGAATGAAGCGGAACTCAACTGGATACAATGTGGAACGTACAGAGTCATCGGAACTTGCAGCTCAAGTTGAATGAAGTATATCACAAGGTTAGATTGATAGTGGGCATAAGTCAAAGCAGTCCTCTAGTAAGGTGAAGGAAATGTGGGAAGGTAAAAGATGGGATTTGATAAAAACACCCCCAAGCCCTGAGTACCACTACTTAAAGGGAAGATGTCATATACTGGATCCAAGTACCCCCAGTACCTCCTATGAGCATCCCCACTGCTGGCCTGACCCCCTGTTTCCCCGTCCGCTTCATTCCTCCTTCCCCGACAATGCATGAAGTGCATCTCAGCAGGATTAGCCCTGCTACCTCCACCCGACTCCGTTCCGCTCTTCCAACATTACCCCTATGTCCTCCGACCCCATACCCCTTCCATCCGACCCTATCTGGGGTTCCGCTCCTCCGCCCTATCAGTCTGCCTGATCCTATTCCTACTCCCTCCGCTTTTCCGCCCCGCTCGGATCCTTCGGTTCCGCTTGTATTGACCCACCCGACCATTAGTCCGTCCGACCGCCTCACCGGTCCACTCCTAGACTAGGAACCACTCAACTGGTCCTATCCCCGTTTAGTATTATAGTTCCGCTTTTCGGGTTCCCGGTAATCCCTATACCCTAGTGAGTTCTGATCCGTCGCATACATACTTTCCTCCAAGCCTTTTCTCATATGTCTCAGTCATCCTATTGTAATCCTGTACACTCAGCACATAGCCTTCTGCTATGCTATGCTCATCACTTAGAGTATATAAACCTATGTACACTTGTCTGTAGATACTCAGTCTGAATATTACCTTTTCTAAGCCCTGCTCTTCTGCCCTTTGACTTAAAGCGTATCCCAAGTCAAACTCCTGTTTCCCGGCCTAGGGGATTGACTCCCTAGGTCGGCTGTCCTCTGATCCTCCACTTCCCTGCTTCCCCATTCCTCCATCCTGCTGGTTCCGCTGTTCTGTCGTTCCTCCATTTCGTCGTTCCCCCGTTCCTACATTCCTCCGATCCTCTGTTCCCCCGTCCCTCCGCTCGTCCGACTTCCCGTGCGTCGGAACTAAACCCCGCACTCTTGCATCCATCCCCTCCGTTCTGCTCTGCGTCGGACTTCATCCAAGCAGTCCCTTCTGCTCCGCTTCTACTGTTGGTTCCAACCACGGTAGTCTCCTGCCTCCCTCCTGTCAGGCGGAACAACCCCCACCCGACTTTCCCGCGCTCACCTAGTAGTCCATCGGTCCTCCTTCAGAGGACCCCCATTCTGATGTCCTGTCGGAACCCATAGAACTCGCATTGGACTACATCCCGAAATAAGGGGCACGTACTCAGGTAAGGGGTGCAGCGTACAAGCTGAAGCCAAGCCCCCCAGACTCCACTTTACCCCTGAGCACGGTCTTAACAGAAGATTATTTTCAAGGAACACTGAGGTACAGGTAGTAAGTTCTCAGGAAGCAGAAGTGAAGGCAGGCAGTGCACATGGGTGCAATACTCCGGAATAGGGGTCCGTGCCATAAGGGCATGTGTCAATTTGATCCAGATAACGTTAGGAACAACGGGAAGAGAGATACAGCATACCAATGGACCTGGAAGGATGGGGACAGGACATGTGAAGGTTGTCCAACGATGCATGGGAATATCAGATAGTGCGGGCGGGTTCCAAAGGATGCGCGGGAATGTGGAACCCATCGGACGATGTGCGGGAAATGCAGAACGTGCAGAATATGTGGAACTGATGTGAGACGATGCAGAAAGGACAGGGTTTTATGCATACAGTGGGGGAATTCCCCACAACGCGACCACCCAAATGGCTTCACAATGGGATCCAAAACATCACATACCAAGACATTCTCACAGACCGCCTCACCTTGCTGGGCAACTGGAGGTTTTACCAATGCCTCATTCACCCCTTCTGGCATGACCCTGCAATTCTTCATGGGCTGGAAGAGATGTTTCGCATCTTCATGCCTGCCAATCTCATCTGCAAGAGTTATGAGACCCTTGACACTGAACATGACTTTGTTCCCTATGTTCCATTGGACGACTCAGCTGTGGGTGCGACTCACGAAATGATGATTGAGATCATCAAGCGTATGCTTAATGACATGAAAGATGAAGCTCCACCATCTCCCAAGGTTATTGAAGATGCATGTGAGTGTTACCAGGCAAGGTTGTGTCATGATTTTACTAGTGATGATGTGGAGGATATTCATATTTGCCAGGAGCATAGTGCCTCTCATGAATCACGCCAATCTCAACATAACAGGCACCCTGGCCTCAGAGACCTCATGATTCCCACAGGCGTTCAAGGTACTCAACCCTCTCCACCCCCTACATTCAGCATCTTTCATTTGTCTGGGTCCCCTGACTCTCCTCAGTTTCTTGTGGAGGACTTGGCCAGTCTTCCTCATGCATTTGCTGCCTCTCAGGCAACAAAGTCCTTTAACATGTCCTCCACACCGTTGGCTCAGGTCACTGGGAAAAGGCCATACATTGGGACCTACACACCAAAGCCAGGCAGGTCGTCTGCAGTGTCTGTGCCATCTCTGGCATCCACTGCTGTTGACCCAGTGGATAGAGCAAGGCTCAGGACAGATACAACAACTTCTTTAATGTCTTCATCTACATCTACATCATCTAGCAAAGCTACACAGCCTTCAGATACCCAATGCCTTCAATACCCCATCAGTCAAACTATCCTTGAACCTGAATTTTTCCATGGCCTGCCCACTTTTAATCTCCATGGCTCCGCTTCCACTGGTCTTGTTCATACCACTCTTCCTGCCATACACAAGGATGAAGATGGTGATGAAGACAATCAGTCCAGGAAGAAACCATGCTGGCAAGGTCTTTGATATCTAATTGTTTTTGAAATGTTTGTAATGTTCTCTCATGTTGTTCTCTAATGTTTTCCTAGTTATTCTTAAATTGTCTCCTTAGCTTCAATCGCATCATATGTATCACACCACGCAAATTAATATGGAGATCATTGTTTGGTATTGTTGTCGTAAAATGCAGCTGTGATTCAATGTTGAGCAGACAAGCATGCTCATCACAACTCACAATGAGCAGACAACAATTTGTTGTTCCTAGGAACCTTCCATATCCTTGTCCAGCTTCCTGTGGTAAATGTTTTCAGACTGAACAAGGTCACAATCATCATATTAGCGCTGCCAGATCATGTGCTTGGTACAAGAAAGGTAAACTAGCAGAAGTCTGTAGTACTGAGCCACCAGAGGATGAGCTGGAGCATGAAGATGTGCTAGAGGACTTATACCAGGAGATGTTTGAGCTGGTCCCTGCTCAACTAGGTACGTGTATGATTTTTAAAAGAAATAGGCAGAAACTAAAGTATCCGCCTATTAGATGATAATTATGATGATGATGTTATTACAGAGCTGATTGCTGGCCCAGGACCATCCTCCAGACATGGACTATTGGAAGATGAAGATGATAACAGAGTAGAAGTTGTTCATTTGACAGCTGGAAAGGTCATTAGAATGGATTCTATGCTTCATGAAAGATGGCAAAAGCAATTTGGAGTGCAGAAGGAGAATGAAGAGGAAGAACAGGGTGCTTTTCATCCCTTTGAGAGTTGCTTGGACTGGGAAGTTGCCTGTTGGGCTAGAGAGGAGGGGATAGGACACAGGGCTTTGGATCATCTATTAGCTATTCCAGGGGTTAGTAGACTTATACTCTACAAATATAATGACGTCCTACTGATCCAATACCAGGTGCAACAAAAATTAGGTCTATCTTATCACAACACTAGAGCACTGCACAAGTCTCTGGACACCATCCCTCCCAGGGCTGAGTGGCATTCTAAGAAGTTAGCCTTTGAAGATCGCCCAAATGATGGATACAATATATATGATTGGAACCCCATCAATGCTATATAATCACTCCTTGGAAACCCTGTCCATGCCAAAGACATTGTATACCGCCCCAAAAAGATCTTCAGGGATCATACAAAATCAGTGAGAATATATAATGAAATGTGGTCAGGAAAATGGTGGCATGCTATTCAGGTATGCGTTCTCAGACATGTCTAATATCAAGATTTTTAATGCAAAGTTCAGAATCGTCTACCAGTAGGGGCTGCTCTAGCTCCTGTAATAATTGCTTGTTAGGTACCATGCCAGGCTCAAGAAGCAGAGGGGTCGGGGCTTGGCTTCAGCTCTTGCGCTGCACCTTTAGCTGAGTACGTGCCCCGAATTTGGAGCAGGTCCGACATTGTCCAACAATAGGACGAGTGGTCCGCTTTGGTCCGCTTTGAGGGTCGGGAGTTGAGTGCTAATAGCAGCAGGCCAACTAGAAGCAGAGCGGTGTGGGGAATGTCCCCACTGTAGGCCCGTATCCCACATATTTCCCATGCCTTCCCACCATTTTCCCACGTGTTCCGCTACCCATCCACATCTTCCCCGACCTGTCCGCTACACGGAACCAAGCGGAACCCAGCGGAACAATCGCGTACCACATGCATTATATTCCTTCAGCCTTTGGAACATCCTCCTCCGTCCTGTCCATGTCCTTCCATCCTTGCTGGTGAGTACTAGCTATGTTCCCCGTGTCACTAACATGTTCCTATCTCATTTCTCATGTGTTACAGTACTTATACGGATCCTTCCACTACTCGGGACCAATTCCTTATCTCACAGCCTCACCCAGTTGTAGCATATTGCATTTCGGAACCCCTTCCTATATAGGTAGCAATAGATGGGATCTTAGTTTTTTACCTTCTGATAGACTCGACTCCACTTCCACTTACAGAGTACTTCCCAGTACTCCACTCACTGTTTAAAATATCTTCCCGAATCTATTCCTGATCACATTGCATCGTTCCCGCCCCCGTGAGTTCCGCTCGAAACGCCCGACATCAGATCCAACAACTTGGAGCAAGTACCAGACACAAGCCTGGTTCGACTTTGCCCAATCATCCTCCTGCAGGCTCGTAGTTTCTTTTCCCTCCATTTGTTCCCCATTAGTTCCGTTTGTTCCCCGTTTGTCCTGTTTGCTCCGTGTTAGTTCCGTTAGTTCCCCGTAGTTCCGCTCATCGCATGCTGAGTTCCGCTCATTGGGAACCCTCCGCATCTTTGTGTTCCCAGTCCTAGTGAGGACCGGAACCCTTCGGGTCGCTAGACAGAGTCTAGTCTTTGTTTCCTCGCACTTATTTGAGGACTCGCTACCCAGTAGCAATCCCCTCGGGACAAGTATAAGCCTCGCACCCTTGTTAGACTTCTGATTCACACAGAGTCTATTTTCCTCACCCACAGTGGAGAAGGCAGAGGATGGATAGAAGCAAAGGGGATGATTAATACTGAGCGGAGAAGTAAAGGGGGAGACTTAGAGCACGGCTCTAAGTCAGAGCGGAAAGTCAGAGGTGACAGCAAGATGAAACTTGTGTCCGGAGGTGGCAAGGTCCTACTGAGAATTCTCACAAGTAGAAACTGCAAGAAGACAAGTAATATTAAGACTGAGGAAAATATCTAAGTACAGGATATGTTATATACTTCTAAGTATGAGGCAGTGATCAGGATAACTATGTTGTAAAGCTATGTACCAAGGATATAGTTTGTAAGTACTTACACAGGCAAAGACATAAGTCGGAGTGGATATCAATATGTATGCATCAGATCAGTGATCAAGCAGTAAAAGGAATTACTGGTGATCCGGAGGTGAGGGTCTATGTACCGAAGGGGAAAGTATATGTCCAAATGGGGAAAGAGGTTCCAGTTGAATGGAGACATTATGGAAGGGGACCGGTTGGGCGGTCGAGTGGAAGTGTAGGGGGGGATGTGGACGATGATTGGACGGAGTGGAGGACAGATGTAGCAGAGGTGGTCGGAAGGTGGAGCGGATATTAATATTGGAGCGGTTGGATCAGGTATATGACATTGCTACAGACAAAACACAGCTCACTCAGTTCTCCTCATCAAAATCAGCATATCCTATCTTGACGTTGGGAAATATTCCTAGAGCAATACTGTGACGACTCTTTCGACAATAATGTCTCAAAGTGATCAGACCAGGACTCAAACACACAACAATAAAAGGATAGGGAAGATGAGTCAAACAAGAGGTGAGCAATGGACATCAAGTAGATTCCTATGGAAGGTACAAGAGGTTTAGACTAGAGAACTACTGAGTACTTACTAGGGTCTTTATACTACCAGAGAACAGTGCACGGACCAAGATGAGAAAGGTAACTACAATAGGAAGGCAAGATAAGTATCAGGGATAAGGGTTCAAGAAAAAGGGTATAGAACATATAGATAGCAGTGGAAGATCTGAATCATGATAGCAGAGAAGAGACGGAGATTAAATAGAAGATCTATCTCAGATAGAGATCCAAGATCCAATGGGTGCGAGATTGATCGATGACTTGATCGGGGATATAATCGGTGATTTTAAAGGAGAGATGTGGGCATAGGGTATAGGCGCTTCTGTGACTGGTTGATGGGATGAAGGGTGATAGATGTGACATGCGTGAAGAGTTGGAGGGGTCACATGACTTGGGCGCTTAGACTTAGATGCTACATAGAGGTAGGAAAAATGATTTGTTTGGGGAACTCATGACAAATACATAGGAAGCCATCTCAGCAAGCCTGCTTTCTACTAGGCTACTTATCAGTGGACAAGATTCTCAAGGACAATCTATCTAGTTGTGAAGTGTCTTCAAGAGCACGGAGACTTTTTCATGATTCCTTGTGAATTATCCTGGAACCCCTAAAAATAGCAGGTGCTAAAGGAGTGGAGATTACAGGTGGAGATGGATGTGTACACCTTGTCTTTCCTGTCCTTGCCTGCTATGTTGCAGACTACCCTGAGCAATGTCTGGTGACTTGTTCAAAGTACAGTACCTGTCCAAAATGTCAAGCTAGAGCTGATGAGCTAGCAGAGCTCAGTCAGTCGGCTGTACAGACACAGACTTGGACTATGGGCATTATTGAGGAGGTGAAATTATCAACCAATACCAGCTCTGCATCCAAGACTAAATGCATCGGAAGCAGTGGTCGGAGGAGGGGTCTTTCTACCCTTCTGGCATGGTTTTCCTCACTGTGGTATTCATCATTCTATAACCCCTGATGTGTTACATCAACTCTATCAAGGCATATTCAAGCACATGGTAGAATCACTTGAGAGTCTTTTGAATGAAGAAGAACTGAACGCCTGTATCAGATCCCTTCCCCCATGTTATGGTCTACATCACTTCAAGAATGGATGGTCCTCCTTAGGTCAGATTGGAGGAAAGGATCACAAACATATGGCATGCATTTTGCTGGGCTGTATGATAGGCAAAGTTCCTAGAGATGTGATCATCAGCTATAGGTCATTACTCGACTTTATCTATCTCGCTCAATATCCTTCACATGACGACGACACACTGGCATATATGGAAAAGGCCCTCAAAGATTTTCACCATCACAAAAATATTCTCTTCAATCTTGGAGTTAGAGAACATCTGGATATCCAAAAAATCCATTCCCTTCTTCATTATGTTGACTCTATCACCTGGTTTGGCATGATGGACAACTACAACACAGAAATGATGGAGTGTTTTCACATCGACTTTTGTAAAGAGGGATGGTACACATCAAATCACTGCAATGAGATGCCTCAGATGATATCCTGGCTAAGTAGAAGGGAGAAGGTGATTTTTTTTAAATATATTGATGTTCTTTACTTAAAATATATATCATAGGCATCTTCATTTAAGGCCTATCTCAAAATGACGCTGGAAAATGAGGAAGAAGAATTCTCTTACTCTAGATTCAAAGATCAAAGCATTCTCATCACAAAATATCCAGCCAGAAAGAACCAGGACATTCAAGAAATTATGGAGAGACATATCTGCCCTGGCTTTCAACGCAATCTGACCAACTTCATCAATTCCTTCAATGATAACAATATTGCTGGTGAACGACTTAGAAATGCTTCCCTTCCATTCAGTCTGAATGATTTAGGCAACGAAGTTGATTTGGACCTAGGGAATGAGGAGATAGATAGTGTCAAGGATAAACCCAAGAGCTCAGGAAGCCCAGCCAGATTTGATACCGTTGTAGTTATGATCAGTGAGGACTGTGAATCTACTGGATTACAAGGTAAGTGATAAAGTTTTGTTTTTGAATACTTGAGAATGACTCTATCATTTTAGGTGCTAGGATTGGACGTTTAAAAGTAATTTTCAGATTACCCACCAAGCTCTATGGTTCCTGGACAGCACCATCTACCTGGCCTTCTGAACCATTGGCATATGTAGAATGGTTTGCCAAACTAAAAACTGCTCCTGAGCCTCATCATGGCATGTATCTTGTTACAAACTCTGTACCATTGGCTGACGGTCATTCACCTGGAGCGATTGTCAAGCTTTCTTCCATACGTCAGAGTTGTCATTTGATACCTGACTTTTCTAATGGTGTTCTTGCTGAATGGACTACTGATACAGGTGTTAGATAAATGCAAAAGGTTTTATTTAAATAACTTCTCTAGCAAGTATTCTTATCAGACAATCTGGTAGACATTTTTTTTCTAGTTACTCTGTATTTCCTATAGTATCTAAAGCAATATTATGTTACACAGAGAAGCACTATTAATATATATGTCCTTATTATGACCTAAGATAGCTATATAATAGATAGTCAAATGACTATTACCTAAATAACTATAGTGTTTTTCCTGATGAGTCTGGACTTAGACCAGTACCAGAGTCATCTAATGACGTGTTCTGAAGTGCAAGGATGTATGCAAGAGATGCATGTAAGTCCCTGTGATTGACATTGACATAGAGATTATTGAGGACCTCCTTGTCCGCATCCAGAGGCTCAGGGACAGGAATTTTTTTTTTGTTGTCTGGGATTTCCTCGAAGGTAGGAGCTGGTGGAGAGCCATTGTGAAAATGATCCTCCGAATCTTGAAATTGCTAATGCAAGCAATATGAACTTGTTGCACTACATGTGAATGAGTCGGTTAGTAGCACTGACACGATCAAAAATCTGTTGTAGATCTGAAACATGACCAGAGTCACAGACTATCTCTTGTAGACTATCAGAGG